GGGGGGGGGGGGGGTCCAAAACCCGTTCTTTCGGTAAAAACCAAGATATCAAGTGGATCTTAACAACAATGTAGGCTTTTTAAAACAGGTATTGATTGGTAAAATTAATCTATTACATTTAATGTAATTCACAGCAAATGTTTAGCGAATAAAACTGCCACATGTGTTACAGTGGTATTATTTCCATACTGATTTGAGTTACCCTAAAGACCAGAGCGAGGCTCACTTGCAACATAGAATTCAATTAAAAACGGTTTTATTGATTTTATTTGAGTTTCATTTTGCTAGAATTATAGTATCACAATCAAAATTTATTCACTTAAATGAAGAAAATGTTAAAATACCTTGTCAATCACTTTTTACGTCGTAAATTCAAAAATAAGTTTTACACTATTCACAGCTGCTGTCCTTTCCACACGAGATGTCAGCCATTACTGAATTAAAACGCATGCGCAGATTATTTAATAATTTGAACTTGGAAAAGTCCGTCAGAACGAAAGACGACATATCCGTTTTAATTCACCTTGCAAAAAAAAAGTTTATTATAAATGTCGTCTTAGAAATAATCTTTAAAAATAAAAAAATGTTTAAGGCAATCATTATTTTGATGCTTTCTGGAATATTGAGCATTAAAAATGTCGCGAGTTACCCCCAAAAAGAAATGCTATCTCGTGATGTTTGAAATTATAATGATGTTGTCATTTGACATTATAATGCTACTTAAAAGTTAATATCCGCTTTTTTCTTAATTCGCGAAATGCAAATTTTTAAGAAAGAAAAAAAAGATATCTCTGTTTATATGTTTAAACTGAGATAAAGATCTGGCAAAGAATTGTGTATGACACTCTTAAAGTGTGGGGAAATACGTGTGTCTGTAGTTTATGAAGTTTGTCCCATTTACTAAAATGAAAATTCGGTTAATTGATTTTTTCAAGGTTGATAATGTCGTCTTCGTATGACCAGTCTTTAAAATTAATTTAATTCATGAAATTTAAAATAATTTCATCATTGACATTTTTAGATTATTTCATTGAATTTCTGGTAAAAAATGTTTAAATAAATTTTTGTGAGGTTGGAATTTGAATCGTAAATTTGCGTAACGAGTTTTACCGCGGCAATTTGAGTGTTTTGCGCGTGTTGTCAGTTTGGAACAATCTGGAGGACACAATTGAGCAACAATTCCTATGACGCTTTAAAGTCTTTTTGGAGTTAGAGAAAACTTGTTTGTTATTAAATTAAGTTAATATCGTAAAGTCGATTTTAATTTATAAAATGTATTCCAACAGTTTTGGTCCCACAATTGCAGCTTGATATAACCGAGCGTAATTTAATATCGAACTATAAATCTGGATTTTTTTATTCTTACTTTTTATGGATTAACGTTATCCATGCACTGCACTGTTCATATAAAGACTTTTATTCTTTTCCCCTTAGAAGAAATTATTTGGTCAAGCTTTTCTCTGACTGGTAGCCTTTAACGGCCCCTATAAAGGCTGGAAGGTCTGAGTCTATGTATAGGCCCCGCCCCCCCACCCCCCTTGAAAAAGACCTTAGAGAATAGGTAAAGGGTTGAAATGCCATTAAATCCCAATTTCTTCAAGGCCAGTTCATTGAAAAAAAAATTAGACCGAAAACTTTCAAATTTTGGTGCTTGGGAGGGTTGAAAAAAACGCCAAAAAATGTAAAAAATATTTTTTTATAATCAAATATCAAAGTGTGACACATGTTTCTACATCCATTTTTCAAAGGCTTTACAAAAATATAGTTTTTAGATCTGCAGATTTAGGCTAAATTAGATTTTTTTTACACATACCGGACTTTTATCCGCGCTGTACCCCATGCTTTAAAAAAAAAAGATTTACATAAAACTTTTAAATGTCAATTTATGAAAAGTCAAATTAGAGGGGGGCGTCAAGCGGCAAGCCCCCCCCCCCCCAACTTTCCCTAAAAGTTCGTTAATTAGATCGCCCCCCTCTTTTTACTCATACGTACATTTGAACAGAGTGTTATGAATCTATTAATATTTCATAATCTGAATTCTTTTCCCTTTTTTTCATTTGACAACTCATATTAGTTTCTATTTTAAAATTTGTGTTGTTTAATTTCTTGTGATTTTTTAACATATATTGTTATTGATTTTGTTGGTTTTTACATCAATATAGCTGAAGAAGGTTAACCCTTGAAATATATTTTCAAAAAATGTGGAACTAACTCCTATATTCTTTACTCTGAGGGTTGGCGCATCATCAAATCCGAATTTTAAGTCGGTTAAACTTGTCTCAAACATTCATATTTTTATATCTGTGAAAATAATTTAAGAGAGAAATGTGTTGAGCCGATTAATCCGTCCATGTGAGCCGAGATGGATAATCTGGAGGAGTTCGTGGAAGATCCAGTGTGTCGTATCTGCAACCTTGTCTCAGGGTTGGAGAAAGATCAATTATTTGAAACCAATGATATTCAAGCTCATTTCTTCTGCCTTCTTTTCAGTTCAGGTATTCGTTATAATCTGCCTAAATTTTAACTTTTGCTTTTGCTTTTTATTTGTTTTGAAAATGTTGATGTTAGAAAAATACTAAATAAGGCCCTCCCAATCTTTTTTTTTATCAGATACTAGTTGAATTGCCCGGCATTGACCAGGTTACTCATATTTACTTTCGCGTATACCCGCACTTGGTAATAAATCATGATTTTCCCCGTGCAATTAAAAAAATGCCGTATGATTTTAGCCTTTGTCACCCCCACCCGTTACCCATAGGGTCCCTTTAAAAAATTCAGCAAATTTGGTTCAGTTATTTGAACACCTACAGCGAACATAGAAATAAGCGAAGAGCTTTATTATATCGATAGGATTTTATAAATCAGCTGGAACATAACATATCTTTATTTGAGTTGAATAATTCTACCAAAACCCCTAACTAAGTTACTGACCATCTTTTTCTGTTAGGTTTGGGACAGAAAGGAAAAGAAAATGATGGGATCAAAGGTTTTCTGGCGTCTGATATCCGTAAGGAGATAAAGCGCGGTGCGCGCTTGAAATGCGTCCACTGCAAGAAGAAGGGTGCTACAGTGGGGTGCGCAGAGCCCAAGTGTAAGAAAAGTTATCATCTACCCTGTGGAAGTAATAATGATTCTCTTCAGCAGTACTTTGATCAGTTTAAATCCTTCTGTAAGGAGCATAGGCCTGTACAGAAGGTTTCTAGGACGGGAGGGAAGAAATCAGACAAGAAAGATAATATTTGTAGTATATGCCAAGAGAAGATTTTAAGAAAGGTATTTTTTTATTTAAATTTTTTTTCAAGATATGGAACAGTTCTTACTACTCCGTGTATTGTATAAGTTACCATGAAAACTATCCATACTTCACTCCGTGTTGTACTTTATAGTTGAGTTTCAAACTTTTATGCGGATTCATTTTGTTCGTTAAAAGTCATACAGAACCTTTAAAATTAAAGGCGGAACCTTTCCTAACTAGTTATCAAATAATTCTACACCCTAGATGCTACACAGAACTTGAAAGGACAAGCTGAAAAGGTTTGCGGGAAAATTATTCCATTAGTAATTGATCATAACATATCGTCACGTAAACTTTTATTAAAGGTTCCGCCCGCAATTGCCAAACGGGTTTAATGGGTTATCATTTTTAAAAAAGGTTCCTTAAGGCTTTGATAGATCCTATAAAGTGTTCACCGCCTTTTGACCAACATTACCGACCTATGATTCTCCCAACAGAGGGAGGTTAAGTTACTAGGCGTCCTTTAGGACAGTTTTTGAAATAACCACCCGCTCTGTGAAGTTTTCAGGAAAAAATTTGCGCATTTTCATTTCAAAAATTTTTTATTTAACCACGGGTTTCTTCGATCGCTGCGCTCTGGATGTTTTGTAGACAAAATTGGTCTTGGGAACCTTTGGTAAAGTAAAATTCCCTGAACTTCCCTGTAAAGTAGTTATAATTTACTTTGTTTAGGCCACCATGAAAACTATCTGGAGTCCATGTTGTGAAGAATTCCTGCACAGAACTTGTATACAAGGGCATGCTTACAGTGCTGGTTCTTATGTTTTTAGGTACCTTGTGAATTTTATACAAATTTCTTTTCTTTTTAAAGTTAAAAAAGGGAAAATTGATGGATTTGGGGCGGAAATTGTCAATGAGAGGAAATTGTCAATGAGAGGAAATAGATTTGAACCAATTTGATTAAATCTAATTCTAATACAATAGAATAGTTTTTATCAACTGTTATTAATAAAAAAAAATCCCGTTTACCCTAACTCATGACATTTTTCAAGCTATCAGATCATGTATAATGATGTTAACATGTTAAGTTATGCGGATGAGTTCTGTGTTGAAAAGGATGGCAGATAATATATATATATATATATATATATTGTTCAGGTGTCCGACCTGTAATAACAAGGATGAGTTCTGTGTTGAGATGAAGAGGATGGGAGTATATTTACCTGAGCAGGATGCAAGCTGGGAGAACGGGACTAACTTTCAGGTAAGGCCATAGCTCATTCTTGATTTAGTAATTTTATCTTCAGTTTTATGTATGGGAAGAAACATCCCTAAAACTCTGATTGGTTGATTGATTGATTGAAAGGTAAATTTCAGAGATAAATATTTTCCCAGGACTATCCACCTTATTTGCATCATTGTGGATTTAGATGAGGATCTGCGGGACCAGATCTACGGGATCAGATCCACGGGGCAAAATATTAAAAAATATATCTTTTTGCTCTCAAAATACACGATCATAACGATATTCTTTGAACACTCAATGGCAATGAAAAACATAGCAAACATGAAAAGAAACATTTCTGAAATCCGTATCTGAATCCTGATCCATTTGTTTTGCATCCAGCATCTGTTTCCGCATCAACATGAAATGAAGTTTTAAGTGATTTAAGTTACTTGGAATTTTGTAAATAGAAATGAGAGAGGTTGTTTATCTCCCACATGTTCATGTTGGCTTGAGTAAAATATCATAAAAAATGAAGTGGAATTGACGACTTTTTACTGTTTAAACCAGTGCTAAGGATCCATTTAATTTTGATGCGGATCCGGATCCCGATCCTGGATCTGACTGGAAAAAAATGGATCCGGATCCAAATCCGGATCCGGATCCAAATCCGGATCCGGATCCAGGTCATTTGTTTAAGATTTACTGAATTTTTTTTAACAAATAATAATTTTCAACATTTTTGTTTTATTTTTTTTTCGCTTATTTTTATCCTAAAACTTGATGAACCATTCAGAAATCAGGAAATTTTTATAATCTCTCTTTTTTTTCATAAGTTCAGATTTGGGTTTTAGGAGTGAAAAAGTTTTTTTTTCAGTTTTTGGTTGATTTTTTACACTTGGATCCGGATCCGTGGATCTGCATAGTTTTGCGGATCCGGATCCAGGAAGCCAAAATCATCCGGATTCGGATCCTGAGCACTGGTTTAAACGATCAAATAGTCTTAAAAACAAATCCTGACACATTTATCTGTCAGTCCCACAACAACAATCTGACGGTTTCTTTTTATCCTTACTATCACTAATTCTACAAATTGTAGGATATTGATGAGAATTCCGTTAAAATCTGTCACGCAAAGATCTGTTTCTGTTCTCAACCCGAGGGTAGAACCTATCACAAGGAGCATGGTCTCTGGGATATTCTACTCTGTAAATCCTGCGGATCCAAGGGAATACATGCTAAATGTGGAGGATTAGAGGTAATTTAGAAAACTGAGACCTTGCCATAAACTCAAATTTATAATCCCTATAACTTTGCAAATCTGATGATGTAAACATTTCAAACTAAGATTATGTGATTTAACAAAAGAATTTGAAATAATCTATAGTCTACGACATAGAAATAGGGATTAGAAAATATGAGTTTGTGACAAAGACTCATTTCTTTACATTCAAAAATAGACTTTACATAAAAATTAAATTTAATCTTTTCATTCTATTTTCTCAGGAAAATAAGGTGTTAAATTAATCACTGGAAGCTTCGGTTCATTTTAACTTTTTAAGTAACGAACTAACCTTTAGGATGCTAGAGCAAGTGTACAATGTATAGTAAACACGACGGGCTTTATCAGGCAAATTGGGACAGTATACACCCAAAGAACTATCCCTTCTTGTCAGTCAGGCAGTATTAATGTGCAACATTGATCTTTTTAATTTAATTTATTAAATTATAATTTCAAATTTTAGGATTTTCCTGATGCTGTTTGGGATTGTTACATTTGCAGGAAGGTTTTGAAGGAAGATAAACCTAAGTTTATAGAGCACACGGATAAACTGTGGAGTAGGGATGCAGAGAAGGATAAAACTCCGAGCACTGTTCACAACCCAAACCGTCTTTTCGAGGCCCTACTTGCAACATTGCCGCATTTACAGTCCTTGGAGGAACCCCTAGCTTGGAGTTCGGTAAGACCAAGAAATATTCGTCTCGTGCTCAACCATTTACTTCTTTGGGGTCAATTGTAATGTTCTCTCTCTCTTTCAAACTTTTATTGAAACTAAAGCGGTACAAAACTGCGTAAACTATATATATAGAAATTATAAAAAAAAATACACAAATATTTATAAAATGCTTCTCGCATTTTACTCTGTTGTAATTCTGACATTAAACTTGTAATATAAGTATTGCTTGCCCAAAATGTACTTACTTCTTGAATACATGCCACATTATTTTTTTCCTTTTTAACAATTTACTTTTCAATTAGGATGAGGAAAAGAAAAATCTGCAGTTAACCATAACACCGGTGTTCAAACCAGTTCAAGAACCTCAATCAACTTCCTCCTTTCAACCTTCCTATCCTCAGCAGCCTCTAGAGATTTTCGCTAGTCCTTCCGTCTCCTCCCAACCTCATCCTCGCCCTGCTCAACAAGTTGTCAGTATCAGTGTGGTAGACAAGACGACTAATGGCGCTACTAAACCTTTCAAACTACCCGGAGAGAACGGAACCAAACGTTCAACCAAGATTATAGAAGTTGGAAAATCAAAGAATATCAAAGAACTGTTCGATTACAGTCTGGAAGATATAATACGGTATTTTTTTTAAAAATTTAGAAAAATAATCTATTACTTGTCCATGTCCATATATAGATTTTTGTTCAGGGTTTAGCATTTTAGGGGGCCTAAATACCCCCTGTGGCCCCTAGTTTTCCCTTGTCCCCCCCCCCCCCCGGCCCCCCCCCCCCCGCCAATGATTAAATTTTGTAACTCCTAAATTATATTTTAGAACCAGACTTTCTGAAACTGTGGATTCCGAGGGAAGTATAACTTCTGTGCCGAGCCAGGTGTCCGTAAACGGGTTCAGGACCGGAGAAGGGTTCGGTAAAGTGAACTGTATCTCCTCCTGCAAGGACGGTTTCCAGAGTAAACAAACTCCGATGTTTCGTTATGTCTCCGGGGACCCAGGACCTCAGCGTAAAATGACAGATTACTTTCTCAATAGGAAGCACTAGTCAAGGAGGAAGGAGTTAATGGAAGCAACTGCTTTTCATGTGATGTAACACTGATCTTTCTATCCCTCTCAAGTTAAATGAATCCATACAATGCCTTCTACCCCGCCGAATCCTAATGAAAACCATAGAAAAAAGTATTTCTATTTTTCTTAGAAACTCTATTTTTCGGGATCAGTGAAATCACGTGAAATGTGTTTTTTTTAGCTACTGGGAGTTTCAAATAGTATGATTTTAAGAAAAGGTTAACAACTGCATGATATGCTTGAAATAAATAGAATATTGTGATGCGATTTCATATTTGTTTGGAATCCCTTTTTAACACCATACTGACGTCTGTTTTTCTACATCAGAGCACTTAATGAAAATTAATAACGCCTGTATTGCATATTGGTTTGAACAAACCAACATGTAAACATTGTAATTTTTTTTATCTTTTAATCCTGTTGAGGACAAGAACCTGTTCTACCTCTTCGTCCGCTAGTTGTACTGTACTGTACTGTACTGTACTGTACTAAACTGTCTCTATTTTACATTGTACATATTTTTAGTTTAATTTGAGAGAAAAATTTATGAAATGTGTGAACTTATTATAGAAATGTTGGTTTTGAGCAAGGTAATTTTGAAGTCCATTTTAAAGAGGTTCATTACTTAGGAATCAAACTATGGAAATGAGTGTTCTGATATGCCTAATAGCCTTTCTTTAAAGGGAGTGAAGAGTGACCGACATGGGGGGGAGGTGGTTGTAAATCGGGGTAGTGCAGAAATCGGATATTGCTCATTTTGGACCAAGTATGCGTCTCTAGGATTTAAGGATTGCGGAGAACGAGCAGCTGGTTTATTCAATTTTTTCGTGGGGAAGAAGCGTTCGCGTTGATTTAGTCATTAACAAAATTATGATTATTTCTTTGATTTCTAAAAGAAACAAAAATGCTTCTCGACGAACTTTTTGGGCGCATCTAAAAGAATATATATAATTCAGTGCTTTGGATCCACAATATTTTGGCTTCCTGGATCTTGCGATAAAAATCTTTTGTTTTAAAACTCAAAACTGAACTATTGAAAATAAGAGAGATTATCAAACATGACCTGAACTCTAGATGTTGTACAGAAGTAAGTAAAAAAAAAAAAAATAGATGACCTGGATCCGGATCCGCATCAAAATTTAATGGATCCTTAGCACTGGTATAATTTCTTGTTTCCATGACAAGTACTCAATTACTTAAAGCAACAATGTCTTATTTTACTGATTGTTTTGTATAATTTTTCCAGTTGGTACAAAAACGTTGGACAATTTCAAGTTTTCGCTCCTATAAACACATCAGTGGTCTTAAATGATTTCTAATATTTTGTTCTTCTATACTACGTTATCATTTCATCAATCCCTCTTTGCAGACTACACCCTTTAACGATAAAGATTGTTTTACAATGAACCCTGTGTCATTTTTATAAACCGTAAATGAAAAAAGTATATTTAACCCTGAAAATATGTAAGTTGAGATATGTATCAGTTTTAAAACAGATATTGTTACTTCATGTGTACAAAGAACATTTTAATTAAGTTTTTTCTTCAGAAAAATGTGGACGAAATTCGGACGGGACTGTTTACGATCCAGTCTAAATCTGTCCATCCGACGCTTCAGTGAAATAGAGAACCCGGAGAACTTTAAACGTCTCCGGGTAGAAGGGTTTAAAAGGTCCGGAGTTGAAATGTATCCGAGTGGATACAAGATAGACAGCAGTGTACGCAGTATACTAGATAGATATGAAAAGATGGAGAAAGGACAAACCGTTGATAAATCTTACAAAATTGCCGGAATTGTTACAAATATTAGGTAAGAATATAAATTTTTTTGTAATTTTAAGTGACTTGTGGTTGTTTGCTCCATAAAGAATTAGAGTTATCTGTGAACTTTTTAATTAAAAAAATACGATTCCTTTAACCTGAGTCCGCGACTTAAAAACTCGAGAAAATACGGCTCGGGTATAAGCTGTCGTTGGGCCTTATTTACGGCTTGATCTTTTCGATTCAAACTGTATCTCATTTTCCTAATAGTTCAGCTCAAAAAAACGGTTTAATATTGGTGGATTTTCATGGTAGGAATTTGGGCATTCCGAGTTTTATGAGAACAAGACTCAACATCGAGCCTTATTCTCCACTAAACCAACCAAGGTCGGTTTTATTCTCATTGGGCCTAACTCCTTAAGTCTAGTCAAAGATCTTGCAGCTGCCAATCACGTGACCCAAGCTGTCGTCAGAGTTGGGTTGAACCGTTGAAGATTGGGTCTTAAAGTTGGGTTACGGATCGAGCCGAAGTTTTTAGATCGCGGGCTCAGATAAATTGTTGACCGGGTTGAAATTAAAACAAAAGTTCTTAAATAATTAAAAAATTTATATTTTTTTATATCAGGGATTCCGGCAGAAAATTAAAGTTTGTTGATATGTTGAGTGACGGTAAGAAGATCCAGATAAAACTGCACAGTAACAGTTTCTTAAACCAGGAGGAGTTCGAGTTAAACACCAGGTGGATGAAGAGGGGAGATAGAGTAGGCCAGGAGAGAAATATTAAACTTCATTTATTTGTTTTTATCACTTTTTTTTAGAAAAGATTGATATAAAATTGTTAAAACTTATTTTAACAGAATGGCATGAACCATTATCATTTATTTGTAATTACTCATTTTTCAAATATTCTTCAATATTTTTATTTCTTACAGTTAAATCCACCATTTTCTTATTTTATATTAAAAAGTAAAATATTCTCATTAATTCATGAGTTTAATATTTTATCTCTCCTAGGAGTTCAAGGGAGTCCTTGTAGAACCAAATCTGGAGAATTATCATTAAATTCAAACCATGTAAGTTAACACTTCTCTCGGTACTTTTTTATTATCAGCCAATTTATAGTAATAAAAATAATAATAATAATAATATGAAGTGTAGTTTATACAATATACATATTTTTGAATTCGCAAAAAATATCTTTATTTAGTGGCGAAATAATTTAGTAACTATTTCATTTTTGATTCCTCTTGTACTATGTGATTTTCAAACACACAACTATATACAGGGATACCTGCAAAAGATGAGAGCGTAAAGACGATCTGAAACTCATACAATATGATGATCCCTAGGCTAAACCTATAATATTTTAATTTCTTATTTAGTGGTTTGGTAAAGAAAGAAAAAAGTTTAAGGTTGCAGTGAATCGTAAATATAAAGAAGTCTCATCCTTTGTAGGTAACCCTGTATGTCTCCCAAACCGGGGGGAGGGGGCTTTTACATATCACCTAACATTTCTTACTTTTACAAGTATTTTCTAGGTGACTCTCCTGGCTCCGTGTTTACACGTTCTGCCCAGCAGTCCTATAGGTTCGGATTCATACGTTTTTATTATTGTATTTTTAATATCTGTTAACTTTTGACGATATCATAGACAACAAAGCTAATACTTGATTGCCCATTGAGAGATCATAAGAGTTTTGGGAGCAACTGGTTTTTTACATTTTAGATTTACAATTTATATTTCGTCTCTTACAAGTGAGATTTTTTTCTTAACTTTAAGATACTTAAATTTTTAATCCAATATCTCTGTCTATTTGTTTGGATTCCCGATCATAACTCATTAAAGGGAGTGACCGGCTATGTAAGGTAGTTGAACTGAGTATGCAGTGTTGTGGAAAACTTCTTTCGGATTCATTTGAGACATAATAAACTTTTTAAAGATCTGTAAATCCTGAGTTTGAGCTCAAATTAGACGTTCAAAACTCCTACTTTGGGGGTGGATACGTTTTCAGAATTAGTTTTTTTAAATTATTAAACAACGACAACGAAAAATAAAGTAGAAATTATAAAGTAATCTAATTAGATGGCTAGGAACATATTTCTCAGAAGAAATTTGTCAAAAAATCGATGCTAAAATCGATTATTTCGTTTTTATTATTATATTGAATTTCTTATCTTTTTTGAATTTATTGGCAGATTTCTTCAAATTCTTCGTCTTTTCAATAATAATTCTAGAAAATCGGCGAAGATCTTTGTGAATAATGAGGAACCAGAATAATGAGAAAATAGAAACTAATAATTGAACAAGATTACTTATTTTCGATGATAAGATTGATTTTTATTTTCTCAACATGTTCCTATACATAACGTCTGTAGTTTATTGTAGGAGTTTTGAACGTCGAGTTTGCGCTCAAACTCCGGATTTACAGATCTTTAAAAAGTTTAATATGTCTCAAATGAATCCGAAAGAAGTTGTCCACAACACTGCGTACTCAGTTCAACTATCTTACATAGCCGGTCACTCCCTTTAACTCCTTGACCGATTTGCCTCAAATTTTAATTAGGGTACTCGTTAGAACCACGGGAATGTTCTAAGCCTAGTTTAAAAATTCTAAGTTAACTTTGAAGGGATACTCCAGGCAAAGCCTCCCAAGCTAAGATACAATATTATAACATTCTCTGTCCTTAACGATGTATGTATCCTAAGAGAATCCTACCAAAAGATTGAGTAAACGGTATCGAGATATTCTAACCAACCCGGAGCTCCGTAGAACCCTGGTTTCAAGATCAAACATCATCAAGTTCATACGACATTTCCTGGAGGAGAGAGAGTTTATGGAGGTTGAAACTCCTATTTTAGGAAATGCTGTCGGTTAGTTATTTATATTATCGTGAAAAAAGCTTTATCAAGTTGAGAAAAAACGAGAATTAACGAAAAACTACGAGACTGATAAAAATAGCCATAGATTAAGCATTTATTTTGATTTTTTTTTCTGCATTTTGTTAAAAAAAAATATTGAAATTTGAAGCATGAAAGAAAAGAATAAATATTTTCCTTTTCTTTACAGTGTACAAACTGTACATGTTTATAATAGTTTTCTAGAAGTTCATATTTATTTGAAATTATCTCTTAATTTTACCCTTGAAAAAAATATAAGATATCCCCATTTTACAATGTACATCTTCTATGTTCCTATATGTATGTCTATATTCATAATTTATCCTAAATACTCATTTGTGCTTTTAAATTTTTTCTAGAACATGGTTGGTTGGTTGGTTGGTTGGTTGGTTGGTTGGTTGGTTGGTTGGTTGGTTGGTATGTTGGTTGGTTGGTTGGTTTGTATGTTGGTTGGTTGGTTGGTTGATTGGTTGGTTGGTTAGTATGTTGGTTGGTTAGTTAGTTAGTATGTTGGTTGGTTGGTTGGTTGGTTGGTTAGTATGTTGGTTGGTTGCTTGGTTGCTTGGTTGGTTAGTATGTTGGTTGGTTGGTTGGTTGGTTGGTTGGTTGGTTGATTGATTGATTTTTATTGTTTGATGAGAGTTATTTGATATTTCATTGCAGGTGGTGCGTCAGCAACTCCCTTCTTGACCTACCACAAGGAGATGAAGTTGGACTTGTTCATGAGGATTGCTCCGGAGCTGTACCTCAAACAGCTCATCATTGCGGGCTTTGATAGGGTTTTCGAAATAGGAAAACTTTTTAGGTTAGTTTCACTTAAATACCAGAACTTAAAACTATTGGCCCTGAAGGTTTAAAAGATGCGAAGGAAGTAGTTCAAGAACATGTTAAATACCCCACCTGCACTCAACAGCTAGGGGCGGGTGCAGGAGTATGGTTTCTTATCTTAGATAGTTTATAGTTGCCTATATTTGATTTATTCGCGCTAGTTTGGTCTTCGGATACATGTAAGACGGTTATTGATAGGAACAAAGATAGTACTGATAGATTCATGACTAAACCCATTTTCTTGATAATATTTGCAACTCCACCTTTAAAGTTCTATTATATTTAGGAACGAGGGTATTGACGCTAGTCATAATCCTGAATTTACCAGCTGTGAGTTTTATATGGCCTACGCCGACTATACAGATCTCATGCAGTTAACACAGGCACTTTTCTCCGAGCTTTGTCAGGTTAGGATAAAGATATTATAGTGGAAATCTTCCTAGTTGGAATACACTGTTGTCAAGCCATAAGAAACCATAACTATTAACTTATTTTTATGTGAAATGATTATACAATAATTCTAAATCTACTTTTATTCTAGGCTCACAATTTCCAACCCCGGCACGGTTCCATAGAGCTTGATTTTATTAAACCTTACTCCAGGCTAGAGTTCCTTCAAGCTCTAGAGTCAGCTCTAGATACTAAACTACCAGAACCTGCAGATCTACATCATCAAGACTCATTCAAGTAAGATAATATCATTAACCTACCTTATGGCCAGCCCCAAATGTATCTAGATCAATGTACCAATTTTTAAATCTCATAAAGTGCCAATTATTTCTTTAAAAGCCATGAAGCAGATTCATTATGTTTTCTTCAAAACGGACTATTTCTTATTACTATAATATGGTAATTAGTAATATTCAAATTTCAGTAATTGTTAAGGTTTCTACTGGATATTTGTACACGTAAAGAAATCCCAGTTTCTGCTCCACTAACGGTTCCAAGACTACTGGATAAACTGGCATCAGCTCTACTTGAACCCAACCTAGTCCAACCAACTTTTCTCATCAATCATCCCATGATAATGTCCCCCCTATCCAAACCTTCTCCTGGGAACCCTGATATAGCGGAGAGGTTTGAACTGTATGCTGGTGGGATGGAGCTATGTAATGCGTATACGGAGTTAAATGATCCTGAGATACAAAGGAAAACCTTATTAACACAGGTATTTAACAATTTTAACAATTTTCACTTGAATGTTGATTTCCTGGGATATTCTAATTATGGTTTACAATTTTATTTGAATTTTAAATAGGCCGATATTAGACACTTAAAGGGACTGGAAGAGTAATTTTAAATGATCATGCATGCAAAGATGACAATGACCAATTCACAACGGTACCCTTGAACCCTTAATCTAATCAATAATGGGGAAGAAATAGTCTTTTTCGAAGTTTAAATGTGTTTAATTTAGATAATTTGATATAATTTCTTGATGTAGAAATGCGCAAGACACTGTTGAGAAACCATAATAGAAAATAATAATTTTTTAAAAATTATAAACATTAATATCTAATTCATACTTGATCAGACAGAGTTTTTAAGGGTACCGTTGTGAATCAGGCATTGACATCTTTGCATGGATCGAGTCATTTGTATTCACGCTTACACTCCCTTTGATATAGCTCAAGTAGCAAAATCTGTTTCAACTTTTAAACAACGTATTTATTGAGCATCAAAGATCAGAGTTGGAAATTTTTGATCTTTTTTCCTAGATTTTAAACCTTGTTGGTAGAGTTGAGATTAGATTTTTAAAGTTCTTAACAAATTCTAATCAATCGATATTGATAACCTGTTATTCAATAAAAGAGATTTAGTAATAAATCTGTACGTCTGGGACTGACCGTCTGGGTTAGTATTTTTCCTAGAGCAAATGAGGCCGTTATGCCCATGGATACACTGCGGTGGCAAGGAGCGTCGACCACTTTTTAATTGCATGATGGGTTACCTTCTAATAATTCTAATCCTGATCTGTTGTAAGAGTGGTATGTCCGACCCTGAGAGTATGCTCCCTGATGAAGGGTTCTGTACCGCGCTGGAGTACGGTCTTCCTCCTACAGCAGGCTGGGGGTGTGGACTAGATAGACTCACAGCTCTTCTAACTAATACAACTAATATTAGAGAAACTATCACATTTCCTCTCATTAAACCTATTCAATAATCCTATTCTTTTTATTAAACATTTTAGCTATCTAATTTATTAAATCTTATTTATTGATCCTTTTCATTAATCTTGGTGTTAATTTCATTCATTAATCCTATTCATTAATTCTTTTCATTATTTCTATTCATTAATCCTATTCATTGGTCCTATTTTCAGAATATCAAGCAACTATGAAATACATTCTGGTAACGGGTGGGGTTATTTCTGGTATTGGGAAAGGAGTTGTGGCGTCCTCTCTTGGTGTTATCCTTAAACATTGTGGAGTTCCCGTGACATCTATTAAGATTGATCCCTACATTAATATTGGTAAGTTTATTGGTCACATTAGAAATTAAATTAAAGGCACTAAAATACATTTTAATATTTCTCTAGAAGCTTTCACTATTCTTCAAATAAATTGTTTCTTTGCAAATTTTTTTTTAAGCTTTAAGTATTCAATTTTGTATAAATCACGACAAAATAAAATTTTGAGCTGTTTGTCACAACTTGGATAGAAACTGCACGGTGCACACCTTTTGTATATACATGCAGTACCATTTTTGATAAGCAACACAGTGTACAGTGCATATCTAGTATATTAGTAGTAGGGATGCTAATCGATTTATTTTATTATTTTTAATCTAACTTCCAACATTTCAAAACTGTTATGTTAGCTTTTAACAAAATATTTCTATCAGAAGAGATAATTGGGAAAAAAGAAAAAAAATACAATCGTTTAACACGTATTTTTCTGCATATATTTTCTCTTATGGTCGTCATAGTGTAAGAAAGGCAACTGTTTAGAATACACAATTTTGAAACTTGTAAAAATTCTTACATTTTTGGTAGAACCTTTTAAAAGACCAAAATCCCTTAAAAACGAACCATTTGGTTGGAGATCTCTACATGGGAGTAGAATAGCACTTCATGATTCCTTGTTTATTAAGATGCTGGAACCTTCTCCCCCTATGAACACGGTGAGGTGTATGTGCTGGATGATGGAGGAGAGGTTGATCTAGATCTAGGAAACTATGAACGCTTCCTCAATGTTAGTCTCTCCCGAGACAACAATATCACGACAGGTAGTAGTCGTGAAGATTTAGAACAAAAATATGAGACCAGAGCTGGGAACTTTTGCGTTGAACACCCATCACACATAATCACGATATCCACAAATGGCACTTATGAGTTTCACGTAGAATCTTTTTGATCTTTTTATTTAAATATCCGCAATCTGGTTAGTTTTTGGTTAATCACTTAACATGCTAAATTTTCAACTCTGGATCTAATCCTAAGCCTTCCTACATCGACTCTACGAAATAAAGGTCTTAACTTAGTTAGTTTCCAGGTATAAATAGTATTTTAACTCTAGTTAACGTTTTTAAAGATGATTATGTATTCATCAGAAAGGAATATAATTGTAATGTAATTACAATAGTGTGTAAAACCCAAAAAGGCAAAATAAAATCATGTGTACTGTTTTTAAAACCCGGATTTTTTCCAACCCTGCAATTAAAATAACTAAAAATTATCTTTTAGGTAAAATCTATCAGCATGTGATAAACAAGGAGAGGAAAGGAGATTACCTCGGTAAGACTGTTCAAGTTGTTCCTCATATAACAGATGCAGTTCAGGTACAATCTTAAAGGGACTGTAAGCGCTGTTTCAATTTAACATCATAATATGGAAGATATTATCGTTTTCCTAGTTTTAAATGTGGTAAAAGTAATTTCCAAACTTATAAACATGATTATCTAATTCATTAGTGATAAGACAACGCTTTTAAGGGCACCGTTGGGAATCGGGCATTTCCATCTTTGCATCGAGAGTGACTTGAAATTACGCTTACAGTCCCCTTAATCTTCTTCTCTGTAGAGCTTAAATAAACACTTGAGCTGACTGTAAACGTGAACCTCGGAACTTTTTATTGTCGATCCCTTCAGGAAGCCATAATCCCAAAATCTTTTAAGTTTGGCGGATTTAGTTGATTCATTTTTGATGTTAGATAAGATAAGATAAAGTTTATTGCTAAAATAAATGTATCTAAATACAGATAGAGTTTACAATCACAAAATTGATGATTATATTAACAGTACAAGTATAAAGCAATTAGGTGGAAAATAGCTCTTGGCTGTTTTGATTATTTTTTCCACCTAATGTTAGTAATAATATGTTTATAACACATTGTCCTATAATTTTCAAAAAGAGAATTTAGTAGTCTATTTTTAAATATACACGATTATTTAATAGAATTCTTCTATTATTTGAAATTACTCAAAAATGTGCCCCATTTTATAGTTTAATGTTAGAAGGGGTCATATAAGTAAGTTTTTGTCGTTCGATCCTTCCAATTGGTGTAAAACTATGTCGAATATTTGAAAATATCTCTGTTAACTTTAGCTATTGTTCAAGAAATAATAAAAATCATTTTACATCTATCTGAATTCTTCCTGGCTTTCTGAAATCTAAGGTGAATACGTAGTCCTATACCCAGAACTCTATATGAAGAAATCCCGTCCCCATGATTAAAACAGCTTTGATGAACCTTGGATAATAATAGAAACTAGCTGAAGGGCCCGCCGTTGACCGTGGAAAAAAATTGAATTTTTTTGGCCTTTGTCACCCCCAGGGCACCCATATGGGTTCCCTCAACAAATTTCAGCCCATTCATTCCAGCCGTTTGGCCGGCTACAGGGAGCATATATACGAAGGTCTTGTTTCATTATATAGACAGGCAAAAATTGGGGCCTCTTAGAGAAATAGTTTAAAATATAATCATAAAAGTAACCTAAATAAGTATTCATTAGTATGATTTCTAAGCATTGTTAAGTTGTTTTCTCTCTGCAAGATAGATTTGAATAGAATTATAAAAAGTTTGAAGGTAACAGACAGGTTTTTAAACATTAGACACAGTTTTGCACCTAAGAAAAGCATCGAACGCCAAAATGTTACTTTAACAACCCCCTTTTTAAAATTAAAAACTATATACTAGGGCACTTTTTCGAGTAATTTTAAAAGATTATTGGGGCTTTAAAACGCTAAGCCCTGTTTTCTTGGGTCACCCTTTACTTTAGATATAGAGTTAAGATTTAGAACTTTTTATTTAGAAGCTTTTCAAAGCCATGTGTTGTTATCTTACTGATTATAATAGTAAGGCATTAGGCGATTATTAGACTTTTTATGAGCCCACTTAAAAGGCATCATTTAGAATTTAAACAGTCTACAATATTATTAAATTAAAAATTTTCTCAAACCACTTCTCAATATTTAACTGCCATATTGGATAAGGTAGTGATGTAAGTCTAGTACTGAATTCTAAGGATTTAAGGTTGATTGATTAATGATTATTATTGCTTTACTTGTCTCTGATCTGTTAATTAAGGTTCTTACTCCAGGAATGGGTTGAGAGGGTGGCCAAGGTTCCAGTCTCTGATGATCAGAAGGTTCCTGAGGTTTGTATAATAGAGCTTGGCGGAACCATCGGAGATATCGAGGGTATGCCTTTTATTGAGGCGTTTCGTCAGTTCCAGTTCAAAGCAGGCAGAGATAACTTCTGCAATGTTCATGTTTCTTTAGTTCCTAAACCTACTGCTACAGGTATAATTATATATATACATTACAATAAAGCTCTTCGCTTTTATACAATGCCAAACACTTCAGCCGGCTAATATTTAATATTTATTCATAAATTTGGTAAGAATTCTGTCCAGAAAAGATTTGTTTCGTTGGAATTTGAGATTTGACAACAGCGATTTGAGAGTTAGTATTTTAGATTTTCACATTGGGAGCTTAATCTGGGAAATAAAAATTGTAATCATGGTTGAAAAAGTTGGATTGAAAACTCCAATGTAAGTAAATGATATTAATCCTGGACTGGTTTAGGTGAGCATAAGACGAAACCAACCCAAGCAAGTGTACGAGAACTCCGAGGTTTGGGTTTATCTCCGGACTTGATTTTCTGTAGGAGTGAGGAGGCAATTGACGAGAGTGTAAGGTATAAAAACGCATACTTCAGAATTTTTATTATTTTATTTTGTTATTTGATAACGAATCTTTCTAATAATTTATTTTCAAGTAGAAAGGCAGGATATTTTTGTCAACTTCTATTAGTCCTTTTTTAGTTTCTGCTAGATTTTTTTTGGACCCATACAACTATAACAGTGAACAAGGAAGTCAACATTTAATCATTATGAGTACTTGATGATGTTAAAAAGTAATTATTTTATTAGTCCCTCAAAAATCGACTAATTAATTGAAACGGGTTTGGGTACACGTGTTTAATGGATTAGTTAAAATCAGTCATCTTCCTATTTTACAGTTCTATGAGTCTCCCTGTATCTATTTTTAGACAAAAGATTTCCAACTTCTGTCATGTTGAGCCGGGACAAGTAATCAATATCAAGGACCAGGCCAGTATCTACCACGTCCCCCTGGACATGCTTCGTCAGAACGTCGTCGGCATTATTCAAGAACGTCTTCAGCTCTCATTTCCTCCGATTAAACCAAAGTTAGTGTAATTCTTCTTTTTTATTCATTTTTTATCTTTCATTCTTTCACTTTCTGTGAACTTTATACGTTAAGAATTGTTAGAAATCTGATATTTCAAAATTCAAATTTTAAAATTTCAAATAAATGCTAAAATTGATACTATTTGAAGTACTAAATGTATTCTCTCATTGTTTTAGGAGATTTATGTCTCGATGGAAGCAACTAGCCGATAGATCAGAGAATACGCGTAAATTTGTTAAAATCGCTCTCGTGGGTAAATATACGCAACTGGGGGATGCGTACGCGAGCGTAATCAAGGCTCTGGAACACGCTGCCCTGGCAACTAATCATAAACTCAAGTTGACAACAATAGCTGCTGCAGATCTAGAGGATGAAACTAAAATCAAGGTTGTTTAGACATTGGATAAGAGGTTTCTAAAATGAGAATTTGTTTTTATATCTTTCATGCTTACTGTATAGTTATTCCCATAGCTCCAGACAGGAGCGTATTTAGGAATTTTTCCAGGGGGGGGGCTTAAATTTTTTTCTTTCCAAACCCCCTGAAATCAATATATTTCACTGGGTTTCTATTATGGGTATGATTTGAAAGATATTCTCTTTAAGATTTAATTCAGCCCGGCCCTTAGCATGTTAGAAATTTTTCCTTGCATTATAAAAACGATGATTCTGGTGGAAAATTGATTCAATTTTGAAAAAAAACGTTTTTAAAAGGAGGAAAACTTTCCAGTTGACGTCGAATTTTTCATTGTTCCTCGGAAATCTTCGAAAATCTTATGGACATGGTTTTAAACCTTAGCATTTAGTTAACCTACCCTTCCCGTTTCAGAGGATTGTTGATGAAATAATTTATTGTAGGAGCCTGTAAAGTATCATGAAGCGTGGAAGGTGTTATGTGAGACTGACGGTGTCCTGGTCCCTGGTGGGTTTGGAGTACGTGGTGTTGAAGGAAAGATGGCTGCTGCTCGTTGGTGTAGAACTAATGAGAAACCATATCTCGGAGTGTGTCTTGGACTTCAGTGTGCTGTTATAGAATTTGCAAGGTTAGATATTTGATATTTTATTTAAGGATTGGTGGAAACTATTTCAAGCAGTGCTTAGGATTCATTTAATTTTGATGCGGATCCGGATCCAGGTTATTTCTTTAAAATTTACTGAGTTTTTTTTTTAACAAAGCAGTATTTTCATATTTTTTGTCTTATTTTGTTCACTTATTTTTATGCTTAAGCTTGGTGAACCATTCGGAAATCAGGAAATTTTTATAATCTCTCTTTTCAATAGTTCAGATTTGGGTTTTAGCAGTTTTTGGTTGATATTTTGATCCGGATCCAGGAAACCAAAATCTTGCGGGTCCAAAAGATCCGGATCCTAAGCACTGATTTCAAGTAACCCACTAAGTTCGCAACAATTCCATTTAAATCTTTTTCTTATGACTCAGTGGACCGAGAACTTTTATACTGTAAGTTGGATGCAGTTGGGTTTGGGGGTAGAGTGAAGAGTCTGATCCAATCCATGTATTACAACGACTGCGTCCGTGTTCGTCTGGGGAACGGCCTATCGTCTCCGTTATGGTTCACGAAGGGAGTAAAGCAAGGGTGTGTCCTCTCCCCTCTACTTTTTGCTCTCTATGTTTCTGGTCTGGGGAAAGTTCTCCACTCTTCGAAAGAGGGGGTAAACTTCTCAGGAGTAGTGGTTTCAGCCCTTTTATTTGCGGATGACCTAGTTTTAATCTCTCGAACAAGGATCCGAGGTATGAATAAACTCCTTCGTACTGTGCATCGGTTTTGCGCTAACATGAGGATGAGGTTAGCGGTTGAGAAAACAGTGATCATCTCCTCTGGTCCGGTTGGGGCCTGTGGGTCGTCTCCGGAGATGAACCAAGCTTAGAGGCGTCTTTGGTAGCCAAATATCTAGGGGTTGACTTGAACATTAAGGGCCGCAACCTGGTTAAGGCCTGTGAGGCTAGAATGATTTCTACGGCTCGGGCCTATGCTCATACTATTATGGGATGCACCCGGACTGGCTTGGACAGATCCACAACTGCTCAGAGGTTATGGGAAGGTTGTGCCGTCCCAGCATTCCTTTATGCCGTGGAGGCCATGGTGGTTTCGGAAGCCACGGTGGTTGAACTAGAGAAGACCCAAGCATCTGTTGCTCGATTCATTCTGCAGCTGCCTAGATCTGCCTCGAAAGTTGTTGGGTATACAGATGCGGGACTCTTGCCCATTGAACACCGGATTGTTGCTAGGACCCTGGTATTCCTCCAAGCTCTCTCTAACAAAAAGAAGGACCCAATTATTAAGGGAGTCCTGTCTGCAGTATTGGAAGACGTTACCGATCCTTGGACTGCACAGGTCAATGCCTGGTCCATGATGGTGGGCCTACCTTCAGTCGTGGGGGTCCCAAGGGCTCGTGTCTGGAGACAGGTAGAGATGTGGAGCGTCTCGAAGGTGCAGTCTATGATTAAGGAACACCGGTCCTTGGTGACCCTTTCAGAACCAAGTAAGTGGTTCTCCCTCCAACCTCATGTCAATGATTCTGCCCAGTCCAGGATCCTTAACCGCTTCCGGGCTGCGGATGTAGGGCTAGGGAATAGGCGCCCAAATGTGTTGGGGGATTCCTATAAGAATTGTCCCTTATGTCTTGAGGAGGGGTATACTTACAAGTTGAATGAAACCCATGTTATCCTTGTCTGCCATGCGGTCGGATTTACTAGACATGCTAGGGGAATTGACATATCAGTCCGGACAGCTTGTCCGCCAGGTCCCAGCTGAGTTAGTTATGAGAGGTTTTCTTGGGGGTGACGGGGCTGATCCTATTACAATGATGGCTAGGGCTAATGACCTCCAATGTGTCCTGGACGATTGGCTTCGTCAGGTTTCCTTGGCATAGTAGGTAGGTTGTCAGGTCCAGGGGGGTGCACTCATTTTAGGGCGTGGTTGGGTATACTTCTGGACTTCGGTTCTGCCTGCCCCTGGGTAATACCTCATCTCCGGATGGCCTGGGGGGCCGGGTGTCCACCCGATGGCGGTCTGGGTTCTCCAAAATGGGGGAGCTTTCAGATCTTTTTCCTGATATTCCTGATATTCCTAATAACTCTAAATTTACTTCCTTGTCTCTGCCGCGTAAATTTTACTGAGAAACTGCAATGTAAAGTTAAAAATTTTCATATAGAATATGGAGTATATCTCCATCTTTTTGTTCATACACCTAGGTTCAATTGGACCGTTGTGAATATAGTAATTGACTCGTTAAAAAGAGATTTGTTTGCTCTAGTAGCAATTTACCAAATATGTTTCTAGTCTGTTAACAATATTTCACAGGAATGTGCTTGGCTGGGAAGATGCCAACAGTACAGAGATGAATCCTGACACCCTTCACCCTGTCGTCATTGATATGCCGGAGCACAATGTGGGTGTGATGGGTGGAACTATGAGACTGGGGAAACGCCAGACAATATTCCAGACAACTGATAGTGTTCTCAGACAACTGTATGGTAACAGAGACCATATAGAGGAGAGACACAGACACAGGTATCCCATCGTTATCTAGTTTATCAAACCCCTCTCTCTGCCAGAAAGTACCCTGTCGGTTTTTTTGTTAAATTTTCGCGATTATAAAACATGGGAAGTTTTCTGCTTTGCTTGTTTATAGCTCAGTATCTTGTGAAAATGTATAAGACTTTTAGTCACGATTTTTGGATATTTTTGGAGCTTGGAATTTGAATAGTTGCATTGTCTGGTGGATAGTTAATATCCATGGCGTCGAAACGGTTTAATCGATTGGGTCCATTTTTGGGACCTATTCGGTTCATATGGTAGTTCACATAGGGATGGCACTTTGGAAGCAGGACGTCCCTAAAAGTCTTGATTTTATTTGATTAAAAAAATGAAGATTGGGTCCCTTATGAATCTAGTAAAGAATATTTTATTAGGTTTGAAGTAAACCCTAAGTTTGTGCCTGAGTTTGAAGCAGCTGGGATGAAGTTTGTCGGACACGACTCCGAAAACACAAGGATGGAGATCATGGAGCTTGCTGGACACCAGTACTTCGTAGCTGTACAATACCACCCAGAGTATATATCCAGGCCTCTTTCTCCTTCTCCTCCTTATCTTGGACTTGTTCTAGCAAGGTAACTATTTAATTAGAACTGAGTTGACTCTGTACTCCTAATTTTACTATTGCACGTTAGATTAGGATGAGTTAGACAGACAGACGAACAGACGGGTTGTACACGTCACTAAGCAAATCAAGAGAGTAGATATATTATTTTTTACTCATAAAAGATATTATCATCTTTAGTCGGACACACTATCAAGGCACGTCAAATTTTAGGACAAGGTCTGGATTTAACAATTATCTATCTATCTATCAGCCGCAGTCTCTAGAGACCACAAACCCCCACCCCTCAGTCAATCCCGTTTGCATACAATTGTATACGGCCAGGATTGGCTGTTAGCATGACATCGTGCAATGATTTATGCAACACGTTGTCAAGGCCTTATGTGAAAATTCCCAGCTAAAAGGTTTCTATAATTCTTCCAGATTCTAGTTCCTGTAATTAATCATGCCATTCACCCATGCCTTAATGAGCCTAATTGACTTGTGTCACACCCCATTTGTATCCTGACTCAAGTTCTACTCTATTACTTATACCACCCTATATATTTTTACAATTTATAGCTGGGGTTTTGTACTCGCACTTGGAGTCTCCCTACCAGTGGTTTTTGGAGATTAACTCAGGCGACTGATTCCGTCCTTCACTCCATGCCCACTTCACTGCTATAAGATTCGTTATAAGAAAAGCACTAAATATATTTGCTTTGGTTAGCTGAGCTGGGGTTTAGTTAATCCTAAATACTAATCCTAATCTCGTTTTCAATTTGCTTTATATGTTTAAACCATATTGATCCTCTGATCCTGGTTCCATAACCTCCTGTAAACACACTTTTGACATCTCGTCCTTTGTTTTATTACAGAGTTTCCAGTAGTATAAAGCCTTCCTTAGCATTATTCTGTATCTTATGGGCTGTAATCCAGCATTGATCCAGCCTGCAACCTTGTAAATTGAATCCGGCAAGTTCCCATTCGTTCGTTGAATTCTCTCTAGTTCCTTAATTTCTCCTACAAAGTCATTGCCTCGGACTCGTTCAAAACTGCTGGAACTGCACAAACCTCCCACAAGCTTCTCATACTCATAATAGCATTGTGCGTGTCTCCTTGCCGTAGCTACCATTTTATCTGATTTTATTGCAGTGTTGGAAAGCTGAACAACTTCCTTAGCCTGGGCTGCAAAACTAGACTTCCCTCAGATGACGACGAATCATCGGACGATGACATGTCACAGCTCGTTCGTAATATGTCTTATCCAGGTATGGGATGGGCGGAAGGAAAGAAAAGGAAAGAAAAGGAAAGAAAAGAAAAGGAAAGGAAAGGAAAGGAAAGGAAAGGAAAGAAAAGGAAAGGAAAGGAAAGGAAAGAAAAGGAAAGAAAAGGAAAGAAAAGGAAAGGAAAGGAAAGGAAAGGAAAGGAAAGGAAAGAAAAGGAAAGGAAAGGAAAGGAAAGGAAATAGAAAAGAAATAGAAAAGAAATAGAAAAGAAATAGAAAAGAAATAGAAAAGAAATAGAAAAGAAATAGAAAAGAAATAGAAAAGAAATAGAAAGGAAAGGAAAGGAAAGAAAAGGAAAGGAAAGGAAAGGAAAGGAAATAGAAAAGAAATAGAAAAGAAATAGAAAAGAAATAGAAAAGAAATAGAAAAGAAATAGAAAAGAAATAGAAAAGAAATAGAAAAGAAATAGAAAAGACAGGAAAAGAAAAGGACAGATTGGGATCGGGATGGAATAGAGTTGGGACGGAATAGGATGGAAGGAAAGGGATTGGATGACATAAAAATTTTAATTTGTTAAATTTAGATAAGTTGCGTGGAGCGGGGGATGGTTTGAACATGAAGAAAATTCCTCAAACTCTTTGTAGCAGTGGATCTAGCGTCGGGAGCCAGGAGCAGATAGATCCTTGACTGAGACTTAAACCAACTCCGGAGTAAGCCCAACCATAATGTGAAGCTCTCCTCAAATCAACCCAATTATGATGTGGAGATTTTCTCTTACCTACTTCGGAGTAAACCCAAACGTAATGTTGAGCTCTAACCATCTCTGGAGTAAACTCAACCATAATCTGGAATTTACCTTAAACCAACCAACTCAAACTCCAGACATTAACAATTTTTAATATGAATTATATATAAATTAACCGATCTTATACATTCAAACTTGTTTTCTGAACCAAATCTAAAGAAAAATGGATAAAAATATCCGTTTTGTTTTTACCTCTCGTTTTTTCCAAAGCTATACCGTGTATCTAACTCGTCCAAATACTCTTTATTAAGTTTGCTCAAAAGGAAGGAAATCTCAAAACTTTGAAACTTAGTTCTCTTAATGTCAATGTCTTAAGTTTTACATTTTTGCCCGCGTTTTTATTATGAATCTTTTATTATAAAAAAGAAAACATGTTTTTTTTTGACTTGATTGTAATTTTAAAATATTTTGAATCGTGAAATTCCTCTTTCTGGTGAAATTTATCCGAGTGAGTGTACTTAGGGGCATTATACATTATTTATCTACACAATGCCGGTTTTTAATCTCGTTAGATTGTTCTTGTACATCATGTACATTGTACAATGTTTAGTTTAGATCTAATTATACCGTATATTAATTGTACAACTTTTTTTTAATCAACATTATTCATACAGAATTATGCAATTTTACATTTACATAATAGTTGCCATTAACTTAAATAGTGTTTACAACAATATGAAGTGACATTCTATTTTTAAACATGAAATGTATTTTTTCCAGATGACAATGGTGAACAGCTTAGTGAAGCTGGAGAAAAAAGCGGAGGAGAAGGAGGAGTATATAAAGCTGCTGAAGGAGAGATTAGGAAACCAGAAGGTCCCTGACCACCAGGAAGAGGAGGAGGACGAGGAGGACGAAGAGGATGGACAAGAGTCGATGGATCATGAGAATGAAGGTACATTGTGCATTTTTCTTCAATCAAAGACTTTACAAGAAAATTATCTGTTGAAAATTAGAAACGCCGCTTTTATAAACCTTTAACCTTTAAGAAAAAAAATTGAAGAAAGATGGGACCGAATTTTATGAATGCTAGGTCGCTGTACTGACAACGCCGGTTCAAAACTTAAAATCTTCGATTCAAAGATTCATGTGGATTTTAGTTAGTGATTCAGAGTATTTGAACCGGTCGCAGGTAGTCAGCGACCTCTCCCAATTCATTCACTTCGACCCTGGGATTAGCGTTGTTTTACTAAACACTAAATATATGTTTTACAGGTTTCAAGTATTAGGTGGAAAATTGTAAAAATAAAGTGAAAAAATTGCAAAAATATTTATTTTATTCAATTCAAAGTTTCAAAAGAATCTATGATAAATAAAAAAGTTATCACAAAAATATCAGTTTAAATCTGCTCCAAATATTACAAAGATGGAAAATGGAAACTTATATTTAAACAATTTGGCTATTCAAAATTAAATTCATAATGGGGAGAATTTCTTTATAGTAAATACATTTTTTTTGCTTAATTTTGGTGCAGATTTGTACTTTATTTTTTATCTCTCTTATCAACGAATAGATTTTTTTTAAATTTTGGATTTAAATAGAATAAACATTTTCCAATTAATTTGTATTCTGATTTGTATAATTTTAGTCTAAAACATTCAACCCCGCAAGAATTTGTGAAAATCAACGTTAATCCCGGTTTTTTTACTAAGCTAGTATATTTTAGAACTTCTGGCTCCTGAGCAGGAGATGAAGGGGGAGGTGGAGGACCGGGCTAAGTACGGCTGCTCTCTCTGCGATTTTGATACCGAGGTTGAGGAGGAGATTAAACTACACATGGATTCACATGAGATCTGTATGGTTTTCAGCTGTAAACATTGTAGTTATCAGGTACAAACAACATGTTTTGAGATAAGTGTAATATTTGATTATTATTGTTAGGTTTGGTTCATTTGATTGATTGGTTTGGTTTGGTTTGATTTGGTTAGTTTTGGTTTGTTTTCATTTGGTTTTATTTGGTTAGTTTTGGTTAGTTTTGGTTTGTTTTGATTTGGTTTGGTTTGGTTAAACTTGATTTGGCTTGATCTGATTTGATTTAATTTGGTTTATTTGGTTTAGTTTGGTTTAATTTGGTTTAGTTTGATTTGGGTTGGGTTGGGTTGGGTTGGGTTGGGTTGGGTTGTGAAAGATATTAGGATAGAAAGAATGCTGTTACTATGCCAGATTTTTGGATTTTTAACGAAGCTTTTAATTTTTAACAAAGCATATTAAAATAAACCGGTATAAGCCTTGTCTAACCTCACTAAAAAACATCTGTGTGATTTTTGGTATTAATAATAATTAACACTACAATTAACATTTACGTCTTGTGTGTATTTTTTGGCTCGAAAAAAGTTTGAAAGAAAAAAAATAATAATAATTTTTCGGATTTATATTTTTCATGTTTTCAGGCCGCGAGCAAATCCTCTCTCCGGTTCCATTTAACCGAGTCCCATGAAGAGCTTTGTTATAAATGTAAGAAATGTGATTATAAATCCACCACATACGGAGCACTCGCCCGGCACATGAGATCGATTCACATCGGAGAGAAGTTTCCCTGTAACTTATGTGACTACGAGGCAACACAGAAAAGTAATTTGAAAACGCACATTACAAGGGTGCATGGTATGCAGAATAATGTGTGTAAGTTCTGTAAAACTGAACTTGACAACAGAATTGATCTGGAGAATCATGTTATATCTGTACATGAAAAGGATTTTCAAGTGTGTACATATGAAAACTGTTTGTACAGAGCTAAAACAAAGGTAGATAATAATTTAATTTTTTTTATCATGGACTTACGTAAAAATTTTAATGTTGAAACTAGGGATTTATATTGTTTGGCTATTTCTCTTATTTTTTCTTAATGCGCAGTTAAAAATGCCATTAAAGAAATTTAATAACCCTCATTCCAATGATTTAAGAAAATTACCCCATCGGATGAAGACGGCTTCGGAAACTATAAAATGTCCTTTTGTTTGTAAAAAAAATCTTTTTCGTGGTAAAGCAGTTCATCTCAACATTTGAAATCGGAGATTCTGATTTCAGAATAATCCACAACAAAAAATAACTTTTGTATTTTATATGGTCTATATCTAAATTTTTGCCCATTATTTGTATGTTATCGCGAGGTGAGAAGGGTTGTTTGGATATTTTATTTTAACATTTATTTTTCTAGTATGGTCTCCAGCTGCATAAGGAGAAGGTTCACCTGGGTCGAAGATACGTGTGTGATGAATGTAACTACGTCGCCACACAGAAGTGCCATCTCAAGTAAGAATATAGAACTTGTAATTTCATTTGAATTGGTCAGGTTTTTGATTGATTGATTGATGATTGATTGGTTGAAATGATTTTTAGCAAATGTCTAAAATTAAATTCAGATCCGGACTGGAAAACCATTACACAATCAGGAATTAAAGCTTTCACTAAAACTCACGATTTGATGTGATTTCATTTCATTTAATTTCATTTGTTTCAAATTGAATTGAATTGATTTGGTTTTGGATTGATTTGATATGTTTCAAATAATTTGATATGTTTTAAATTGATTAGAAATGATTTGGAATGGTTTGTGGGATTGATTTGATACGTTTCAAATGAATGTGATTTGATTAGATTTGATTTGGTTTGATTTTGGATTGATTCGAAATGTTTCAAATTTATTTGAATTGGTTTGGTTTGGTTTGATTTGATGTGATTTCATTTCATTTAATTTCATTTGTTTCAAATTGAATTGAATTGATTTGGTTTTGGATTGATTTGATATGTTTCAAATTATTTGATATGTTTTAAATTGATTAGAATTGATTTGGGTTGGTTTGTTTTTGGATTGATTTGATACGTTTTAAATAAATGTGATTTGATTAGATTTGATTTGGTTTGATTTGGTTTGTTTAAATGTTTGAGAAATTATTTTCATGAAAGGTCACGGTATTCCAGGACTGAACTGTTGCTCGTTAAAATACTTAATCAGAATTTTATTTTTGGCTCTTGGGCGGTAAGATATGTCAAGTATGAAATTTGATAGATTCTCAGCAAAATTATCACAATATTTCTTAAAAATAATATATTCTTCTCTCTTTCAGGGTGCATGTTAAGACAGTACATGAGGGTCGGAGCTTTCCCTGTCATCTCTGCGATCATGTTGCGTCTTATAAAAACAATCTAAAACGACACATCACAGCCATACACTCCGTGGGTGGAATCAGTTTAGATGAGCAATAACCGGACGATGTAGAGTGTAAATGGACTTGACATTCTACAACATTAACTTGGGCATATACTATCAGAGAAATTTCTATTAATAAATGTGATTTTCAATCTGCCGGCCATCTCATTCTCGACATTATTGTAAACTACTTATTTTACCCATGCAATGTCTTTGATAATGCTTTAAGTCGTCATAGTAACGCAATTTAAAATTACGTTTAGCATCTTTTTTTAAATCAATTTTCACCTATGTTCAACTTTAAATACCGGTTTATCATATTTTTTAAGTTGTTATCGTACTGTAAAGTTATCTTGTTTGTAAAAAATACCCTGTGGACTTAGTTTTAAAGCTTTATGCTAGTTTTGATTTAAAATTCACTCTGTTACATTAGTTATTGTTTGCTGTAAATTTGTAATTTTAAAATACTTCTTGATCCGAAGCATGAAATGCATCGGAATAAATGATTTTCCGAAACCTCATTTTTAATAATTGTTGACGCCGCAGAAAAATCCTCCAGACAAGGGCGTATGCAGGGAGGGGCAGTGCCTCCACTAGTCCTCTAAATTGGGGGCGTAGCCCCCCGTTCCTAGAACTCAGAGCTATAACCCACTTTTCAAATCTTAAGTTGAGGAGTGAAGAACATACCAAAAATAGTTTGCAGTGCTGTAACCTAATTTTCCCTTTTAAGTACAAAGAGATATGTTTGAAGGAGAGGTGAAATAGTACTTGCAAGGTGATAGAACTGTATGTGTACCTTGTGCCTGATATCCAAGAAGCCAAATGTTCTGAATTTACAGTTCAAACTTGGAAAAACTTAGAAAGGATTGTCCAATTCACAATGATTAACTATCAACAGGGTGGCTCTGGTGGTTTCGCCCCCCCCCCCCCCCCTCTCGTACAAATTCCTGTATAGTGTATACGCCCCTTTCTGTCAACCGTACACCTCGTTAAAATTTATTATTTTCATTTGTGATTTCTTTGTATAAGTGACTTGCACATTTTTGCTGCCACGACAAAATTGTGAGTCTGACCTAGAGGATTAGTAAAGTGTACTCTTGTAAATCGGACATGATCAGCTCTTCCATAGAACTCATGTTTTGAGTCAAGGAACGGTTTAATGGACGGGAAAAAACTAAAATCTTACTTCATATTTCGAATTTATAATCCAAATCAAATAGATTCTAGTACAATAGACGGCAACGTAGAATTGTACACTCAGTACAGCTGTATTCTTATGTAACGTATCACAGTTTTATGTGTCCGACAAAATTATTAATAATAGTAATAATTTTAAAGTGAAGTCCTAATCTTACGTTAAAATAAGTGAAATTTTGCAGGGGTTTTTTTTCTGTTTTTACACTTTTTATTTGATCTTGGTAAACGTGTCAACAAATATAAGAATATATCGTAGTCCTTATTATATTTGACACTTGTGACGTCGCGTCGTGTATAGTTTTTCCATTACTCTGTTGCCTCCGATTGTACTTGATAATCTATTAGATCCGAATAAACATTGGTGAAAATAACGAATAATAGAATTAATCAACATTTGCTTAATATTTGGACGAAGTAATCCAGAAATATCACATAATTTTAATTTCACAGTTAATGAATTAAAGACGAAAAAGAGTTTTTGTCAATATCGATAAAATTAATGTTATCAATAAATTTATTAAGGTAAAAAAAGATGTTTTTTCTTAAAATATTTTCACATAATCACAATATTTACATATATAGCTTGTCTTGGAAATTCGGAATACATCCTTTAAACAATAAGACTAAGTTTTGAGCGAAGAATACGTCTAGTTAAACATGATTTTTAACAAATATAAAAAATGTAAGAGCTGTTGTATTTTAAGATCTATCCTAGTCTATTTAGAAAACCTATAAGATATGGCAACATGATAAGAGAAATAAGTTTTTATACCGGTTTAAATCCATAATTGAAAAATGTTTACTTCACAGTGAGACCCAAAAAAACTTGCGGCTTTAGAAAGTCGCTAACTTACATAAGAAGTTATCAAGCAAATGTTTGAAAATGTTTTTATAATTTGTCTCTTTCAATTTTGTCAGAATTAATGCCTCAGTTTATTCGGGTCTCAATATAGTGGAGATCTAGTCGACACCGTTGTAGCTGAATCCAAGGAACAGCTCACTCACGCTGTCGCTGATGGACCCTGGCGGGGAGTCAATCGGAGGTTTCGAGGTGAACTCCTTGTCAAAGTTTGAAACATCATCATCACTCTTGAGAATAGGTTTGAAGGGAGGAATGGTTTTCCTATTGATAACTGCGTCCCAGTCAACCCCTGAGAAGAATCTATGTTCCTTGACCAGCTCTGCATCCCTCGGACCAAATCCTAGACGGTTTTCCACCTTCCTGTTGAGCAGACGGGTCAGGATATCCTTGGCGTCCGGAGTCAAAAACTTCTTCAAGTGAAGTTTACTCTTCATCACCCTCTCCGTGACAATCTTCCTGTTTGTTCCTGTGAAGGGTGGGATACCAACCAACATGTCGTGAACTAAGATACCAAAACTCCACCAGTCAACCTCTTTACCATGTCTACTGAAAAAAACTTTTGTATATTTCTTACAAAAAATGCAATTTTAGAGATCCGAATATGGGGATTCAATTATATTGATTGATTCAGTTTTGTCATCCGGATCCGGCAAGTTACTATGGACACAAACTATAAAATACTGACCGAAATTCATAAGATAAGAAATGATGAAGACAAAAATCATTCCACCACTTTTTGGTTATCACTGTACATATAGGGGTTTATTTGTTCAAAAATTACCCAAAAAAAATTTTCGGGAAAAATTTCATCTTAAAATATTTGTAGATACATAATATATATTATATAACCATGAAATAAATTCCTTACCCTGATCTATTAAGAATCTCCGGAGCCATGTACTCCACGGTTCCACAGAACGTGTAACTGATCTCATCGTCGGCACTTTCCTTCACGCACCCGAAGTCGGTGAGCTTTACATGACCCTCTCTAGTAACAGTAAACGATTAAACAATTTACTTTTAGTAATTAAAGGAAAAAATTAGACTCATTTATGAAAACTAAGCTGAAAACTGAAAAACTGTGGATATTCAGATCAATTGCTTGATCTCCTCTTTTTACTAATCTGAAGACTTATTCAATTTTACGTTAATATTCAGGAAATTGTAAAAACTGCAACCAATCAGATGTCGATTGTAGAAACTGAACAGCTAATCAGACTCCGAGAAATTTCAAAATTTTGGCCCGCAATGAGTGAGAACTCTCATTGGTTCGAAGACCGGGAATATCCCAAAAAAAGGATTAAGTAGACAATCAGAAGTGTCAACAAGATTTACAAGATTTGTTAACAATTTATAATTTAATTATCAACCAAATGAGGTTAGGAAGGTTTCTGATAATATCTCGAAGGTTGGCACTTAAGATTTTGGGAACAAACAGCTTTTTTAATTCGCTTTTCATTGGATGCGGGTCCGGATCCAATTAATCCAATTAATCCGGATACTAAGCAATAAACACCTCACCTATCCAGCATGATATTCTCTGGTTTAAGATCCCTGTAAATAATCCCGTTCTCATGAAGATGTTCTAGTGCCAGTAGAACCTGGGAGAGGTAGAAGATTGCTGTATCTTCCATCAGCATTCTCTCCTTCTGTAGTTGCATAAACAGTTCCCCACCAGATAGATATTCAAGGATTAAGTAAACCTGAAATTATTTATTAAATTATAAAATGTAAAAAATGAATACAATGGTATTATCTTTAAAAAAATAATTAATGAATAAATTAATGGGCATCAGGGGTGAAAATTCTTTCAAGAATTGCTTCGAATTTTGAAAAATATCATAAAAACATTCGGCNTGCCTTTCCATGTATACATTTTTATACATGCATGGACATAATCAGTCCCCTAGCCTGGCCTAGTCGCAGCGTTGGGCCTAAAAGTTATCTTAGAATTCATAAGTTTTAAGCTCAGAGGTACGTTTGTTACTCAAAAAATCACCCCCTCCCCCTTGTTAATCGAAGGTTCCCCACCCCTGATGGTGCGTTAACGCAATTAGCCCCAATTTTCTTAAGGGTTTTACAGAAACGAGATTTTGGGTAAAATGTGGGAGAAAACATCGCCATATAAAGTTTAATTTTAATCCAGGGGAACAAAAATCAACACTTCCCCCCCCCCCCTCCACAAAGCGAATTTTAGAACGGAAACAAATCCAAGAAAATAATTTTAACTACAAATATACCTTATTCCCTGAATGGAATGCGTAAACTAAATCTACAATAAACGGGTGTCTCACAGCCTCCAATACATCTCGTTCTAACTAAACAAAATATATTTATGAAGATCTTAGAGAACATAAACATGAAATAAAACTGTTGGTATATTCCAAGAGAACGATTTTTGGACCACCCCTCCTATCAATTTTGTACATGGATCTTGTATGTTAGACATGGATATAATTGACCATGTGGCTGCAGCGCTCGGCCCAGAAAGTGCCTTAACCTAACCCTAAATAATAATAAATAAATACTAATTTACTAATTTCGTAATGTACAAAATTGATAGGAGGGGGAGGGGGGCTGAGGAAGTGGTCCAAAAATCGTTCACTAGGACGGACCCAAACTATAAATTTCAATATTAATGTAAATGTAATTATTTCTTCATTTAAATTAATCTAGAAAAAAACGATTCTAACCTTTGCATGAAGATTAATTTCAGTTTCTAATGTTTTTGTTTCTTTATTTCGAACAATCACAGCTTTCTTCAGTACTTTCATTGCATATATTTGACCACGGTCAGAGCCCGTCAATTTCTTGACTTGAAATACTTTCCCGAACCCTCCCGTTCCTAAAACCAGCTTCACCTCGAAATCCTCGACGGCGACGGATTTAGATTTTTTGTCGAGAACTTTTATCTCTAGCTCCGGGTTGTGGTTAAAGTCTGATGCATAGTTAATCTTCTTCTCTGGGTTCTCCGGTATATCCTCGATACTGAAGACCTCCTCCGACATTATGTGTTCAGGATTAAACTAGATGAGCGTGTAAGGAGGGGTAGGAGATAGAATAGGATTAATATCAGGGGTTGGGCTTAATTCTTCATTTTCAGTGCTACGACCATGCTCTTTGTTTCCAACCTGGTGGACCATATTTTATAGATATTATACTTTAACCTTAACTAGGATTATTTAATATTCACTAATTGATAGTACTTTCATATTATTCTCATCATGATCTCCATTTTATTTGATTTGCTAGAGTTTATTTATAAATTGACACGTTTTTGTCCTACATTCAAAACTAGCAGCAGTGTACTGTGTTGTGAGTAAAAATTTACGTTGTGTCTAGTTTGGGCCTAGTTGGCTGGATGATGCCGTGACAGTACAGTAGGCAAAGCACATCAGGGGGTAGAGTTTTCTGTAGATTTGGCTTTATTAATCCGTAGAGAACATTTTTTAATATTATCAAACAATAAGATTGCATTCAATATTATTATGCATTTGAAATATTTTTATTTATTTTGGAAGTACAATCAGTAAAATAATAATCTTTATATTCAACAATACTCCTTCCTTCATCTTTAATCTTTATATTCAACATTACTCCTTCCTTCATCTTTATATTCAACACTACTCCTTCCTTCATCTTTATATATTCACTACTCCTCCGCCTCCCTATTTCTTTATATTCAACCCTACTCCTTCCTTCATCTTTATATTCAACACTACTCCCTTCATCTTTAATTACATTCAACATTACTCTCCCATCATCTTTATATTCAACACTACTTCTTCCTTCATCTTTATATAACACTATAGTCCTCCCTTCATCATTTGTATTCAACACTTCTCCTCCCTTCATCTTAATATTCAACACCTTCATCTTTATATTTAACACTACTCCTCCCTTAATCTTTATATTCAACACTACTCCTCCCTTCATATTTAACACTAGTCTTCCCTTTATCTTTATATTCAACATATACCCCTCCCTTCAATTTTATATTTAACACTACTGCTTCCTTCATCTTTATATTCAACACTACTCCTCCCTTCATCTTTATATTCAACACTACTCCTCCCTTCATCTTTATATTCAACATACTCCTCCCTTCATCTTTATATTCAACATACTCCTCCCTTCATCTTTATATTCAACAGTACTCCTCCCTTCATCTTTATATTCAACAGTACTCCTCCCTTCATCTTAATATTCAACATATACCACTCCCTTCATCTTTATATTTAACCCTACTCCTCCTTTCATCTTTATATTCAACAGTACCCCTCCCTTCATCTTAATATTCAACATATACCACTCCCTTCATCTTTTTATTCAACACCTTCACCTTTATATTCAACACTATTCCACCCTTTATCTTTATATTTCACTTTTTATTTTGATTATTCTAATATTAAAATTAGTCTTTACATTTATCATTATAATTATAAATATACTTATTTCAAAACTGATTTCAAGCTAAAATACTGAAGTGCTTAATTTATGTGTATAATGTTCACCAGAGATTATACCAAGTTCTGTCTTCTCTTCTACTCTGCACCTCCTCCTTCTCTGTTGAATTATCTAAAGTTAAAAACTCGTCATCTACCCTTGTCATATCTCCTGAACCTGGTCTCACTGCTCCAGACTCGTTTACATTCTCGGAACTATCAAGGTTTTCTCCAGATTTAAACAAAATCTTCTGAACACTTTGACGTGCCTTGAAACTTTTCCAGAAACATTGTAGATACTCTTTTCCATCCCAGATGATTTCAAATAGACCAATCTTCTCCAGGTGGTTAATAAGTACTCCTAGTTGTATATCTACAGCTGTGAAAGTTGATCCTAACAACCATGAACTCGTGGACTCAGCAAACTCTGCCTCACAGTTATTAAGGACTTGTTTAACTTTGTTTAATAGGTCATGGTAGCTTTCTGTTCCACTGAGCCATGTTTTCTTGGTGGTTTCTATTACCTTCGAAAGATGAGGCTCTAAAATGTCATCCGCACCTAAAATATAAAAACATTAATTATACATATAGCTCATATTCTTGGATGCAAATTATAATACCTGAGAGTTGCACCATTTCATCTATTTCTTCTGAAATGTCTTTTACAGTCAACTGATTCTCCAAAGTAAGAAGTTTGCTGCCTATTTCCAATGCTGTCATGTCTATATCATCAAATTGTGAGCTAAAATACAGATATTTCTGGTACAATGGAGGTGGATTGGTGCAAGGAATAAGTGCAGGATATTCAGTAATCGGTAAATGTTCTTCAATAAAATGAGCAATTTTCATTGATCCAGCTTTCATGATATTTTTATCAAAAAGCATAGTTGGCAAGGTTCCTTCAGGATTTATCTCAAGGAACTCAGGAGTTAGATGATTTTTCCGCTTCCTAGAAACCTGGGTTTTGACAAACTTGACTTTCTTTTCAAAAAGATAGAGTTCCAGTACATTGCTTGATGGTTGGCTTTCATCCATATAAACTATGATTGATGTATTAGGATCAAACTCATCATTGTTGTCGAGCTCAAACTTTTTCTCATCTGTTTTCACAATACTGGACTCCCTGTTTATATTCAGGTCAATAGTGTGCTCAGAGCTGAGCCTGTTAAAGCTATCTTTATCCCCTTCTCTGATCTCAGTTTCATCTTCAGGATTGAAACTATGATGAAGTTCAAAAGGTATTGCACCTACCCTTGCAACTTTGCCTGACTTTTCCCTTAGACTAATAGTATCATGCTCTTCATTTACAGGCACTTCTGTTGAGGATTTTAAAATATTTTTCAGCTGCTTTCTTCCTTTCATTCCGCGAAATCCAGCCTGGATTAATGTAGCAGCTTTTTCCTCCTTTGATAATTTTTCATCATTATTTACATCATTTGAAAATCCACTCTCCACAGAAGAGCTTCGTTGAATCGTGTCAAAACTGTGTTCTTCTTCACTAGGTAGAGAAGCCATGTTTTCAGATAGTTCAGGGGCTAATACTGCTAAACAAAAATATGTTAGATTATTAGTTTAAAGAAGTTAGTTTTTTAGTACCTGTGTGAATGTCAGTGCTTTCTGAAAGTAAAGGAGAAATATAACCATCATCTTGAGATGGATAAGAATCATTTTTTTCTCCTAAGGGTTCTCCTAGCACTGTACCCTCTTCTGTTTCTTCTTCACCCACAGCACTGACGTCTTCTGTGGCATTACTCATATTTCCTTCATCATCCTTTGCTTTAGCATCTTCTTTTCTTTGTTTAACTTCTTTTCTTGCCTTCATTCCTTTAAATCCTGCTTGAATTTTGGTTGCTGCATCTTCAAGCTCTTGGTTATCATTATCTACAACTGCTTCACAATCCAAGTCACTATCTACCTCAGGTGTAGGTTCTGGATTTACGTTCAGTAAAGACTCAGTCTTTATTATTTGTTCTTGATATGGGGAAATAATAGGGTTGCTTTCATCTTTCATTTTCTTAACTTCTTGTCTAGCTTTTATACCTCTGAACCCTGCTTGTATTTTGGTAGCTGCTTGTTCTACATCTGGATCTGTGAGGTCAATATTTATTTCAGGGTCATAATTCAGTTCATTTAAAGGATCAACCTTGCTCTCATCACCTTGTTTAGAAGGGAGAAAAGTTGAGCTTTCTTCTTTTATTTTCTTTACTTCCTTTCTAGCTTTTATACCTCTGAAACCTGCTTGAATCTTGGTAGCTGCTTGTTCTACATCTGGATCTGTTAAGTCAATATCTATATTAGGTTCAGATTCTAGTTCATTTTTAAGATCCGCTTGTTCTTGTTCAGTTATCTGAACAAATTCTTCTTCACCTTTCATTTTTTTTACTTCCTGCCTAGCTTTAAGACCTCTAAATCCAGCTTGGATCTTAGTAGCAGCTTGTTCTAAATCTGGATCTGAAAAATCTATGTCTACATCATTTTTATCCTCAATTTCAGGTGCAGCTGATTCTTGTTCAGTTATCATAACAAATTCTTTTTCATCTTGCATTTTCTTAACTTCCTGCCTCGCTTTAATGCCTCTGAATCCTGCTTGAATCTTGGTAGCAGCTAGTTCCATATCTGGATCTGTTAGATCAATATCTGCTTTTGCTTCAGTTTCAGTTTCTAGCTCAGTCTCTTCTTGATTAATTGGCTGAATTAATTCATTTGAATCTTTCATTTTCTGAACTTCTTTTCTTGCTTTTATACCTCTAAACCCTGCTTGTATCTTAGTAGCAGCTTGCTCAATCTCTGGATCTGTTAGATCTATATCTATGACATCTTTATCCTCTTTCTCAGTATCAGTTGGTTCTAGTTCAGTAATTGGTTCTTGTGCATTTATTAAATCTTGATTAGTTATTGGTTCTTGTTCAGCTATTAGTGCTTGTTCAGTTATCTGAAGCGATTCTTTTTTATCTTTCATTTTCTTCACCTCCTGTCTAGCTTTAATACCTCGGAATCCTGCTTGAATCTTAGTAGCTGCTTGTTCTACATCTGGATCAGTTAAATCAATATCTATTTCAGGATCAGGTGCTGGTTCATTTTCAAGTATAGACTCAATCACAACTATATTTTCTTCTTCTAGAGGAATTATTGATTTGCATTCATCTTTCATTTTCTTAACTTCCTGTCTAGCTTTAATACCTCTGAATCCTGCTTGAATCTTGGTAGCAGCTAGTTCCATATCTGGATCTGTTAGATCAATATCTACTTTTTCTTCAGTTTCAGTTTCCATCTCAATTTCTTCTGGTTGAGCTGATTCATTTGTATCTTTCATTTTTTTAACTTCTTGCCTTGCTTTTATGCCTCTAAACCCTGCTTGTATCTTGGTAGCAGCTTGCTCAACCTCAGGATCTGTTAAATCTATATCTATATCAGCTAGTTCTTGTTCAGGTATTGGTTCTTGTTCAGATATCTGTTCTTGTTTTGTTATCTGAATGATTTCTTTTTCATCTTTCATTTTCTTAACCTTCTGTCTAGCTTTAATACCTCGAAATCCAGCTTGAATCTTAGTGGCAGCTTGTTCTACATCTGGATCTGTCAAATCAATATCTACTTCAGGTTCAGGTATAAGTAAGGGCTCAGTCTCAACCTTATCTACTTGTTCAGCAGGGAGTGCAGATTTAATTTCCTCTTTCATTTTCTGAACTTCTTGTCGAGCTTTACTACCCCTGAACCCTGCCTGTATTTTTGTAGCAGCATGCTCTGTTTTAGGATCAGTTAAATCAATATCTATATCAGGATTTTCTATAAGTTTTGAGTCATCTACTTCTTCAGTTTGTTCATTAATTACTTTATCATCTTTCATTTTCTTAACTTCCTGCCTAGCTTTAATACCTCTAAATCCAGCTTGAATCTTAGTAGCAGCTTGCTCTACTTCTGGATCAGTTAAATCAATATCTATTTCAGGTTCTGTCAAAGGATTTGCTGTAAGTTTTGATTCATCTATATCTTCAGTTTGATCAACAATTACTTTTTCATCTTTCATTTTCTTAACTTCCTGTCTAGCTTTAATACCTCGGAATCCTGCTTGAATCTTAGTAGCAGCTTGCTCTACATCTGGATCAGTTAAATCAATATCTATTTCAGGATCAGGTGCTGGTTCATTTACAAGTATAGACTCAGACTCAACTGTATTTTCTTCATCTGGAGGAATTACTAATTTGCTTTCATCCCTTATTTTCTTTACTTCCTGTCTAGCTTTAATGCCTCTGAATCCTGCTTGAATCTTGGTTGCAGCTAGTTCCATATCTGGATCTGTTAGATCAATATCTACTTTTTCTTCAGTTTCATTTTCCATCTCAGTTTCTTCTGGTTGAACTGATTCATTTGTATCTTTTATTTTTTTAACTTCTTGCCTTGCTTTTATGCCTCTAAACCCTGCTTGTATCTTGATAGCAGCTTCCTGAACCTCAGGATCTGTTAGATCTATATCTATGACATTGTTATCCCTATTCTCTGAATTAGCTGATTCCGGTTCAGTTATTGTGTCTCTTTCAGTGGCAAATTCTTTTTCATCTTTCATTTTCTTTACTTCCTGCCTAGCTTTAATACCTCTAAATCCTGCCTGAATCTTAGTGGCAGCTTGTTCTACATCTGGATCTGTTAAATCAATATCTACTTCAGGTTCAGGTATATGTAAGGGCTCAGTCTGAATGTCATATACTTCTTCATCAGGGAATACAGATTTAATTTCATCTTTCATTTTCTGAACTTCTTTTCGAGCTTTACTACCCCTGAACCCAGCCTGTATTTTCGTAGCAGCATGCTCTGTATTAGGATCAGTTAAATCAATATCTATATCAGGTTCTGTCATAGGATATGCTGTAGGTTTTGATTCATCTACTTCTTCAGTTTGTGTAACAATTACTTTATCATCTTTCATTTTCTGAACTTCCTGCCTAGCTTTAATACCTCTAAATCCTGCTTGAATCTTAGTAGCAGCTTGTTCTACATCTGGATCAGTTAAATCAATATCTATTTCAGGTTCTGTCAAAGGATTTGCTGTAAGTTTTGATTCATCTATATCTTCAGTTTGATCAACAATTACTTTTTCATCTTTCATTTTCTTAACTTCCTGTCTAGCTTTAATACCTCGGAATCCTGCTTGAATCTTAGTAGCAGCTTGCTCTACATCTGGATCAGTTAAATCAATATCTATTTCCGTATCAGGTGCTGGTTTGTTTTCAAGTATTGACTCAAACTCAACTATATTTACTTCTTCTGGCGGAAATACTAATTTGCTTTCATCTTTCATTTTCTTAACTTCTTGTCTAGCTTTAATACCTCTGAATCCTGCTTGTATCTTAGTAGCAGCTTGCTCTACATCTGGATCTGTGTCGTCAATATCTATTTCAGTCTCAGGTTCTGGTTCATTTTTAAGTATATACTCAGTCTCACCAATATTGTTGATCATAGTTGATGCTTGTTCTACATCTAGATCTGTAAAATCAATATCAGCTTCAGGGTTAGATTCAGGTTCAGATTGAATTAAAGCATCAGTTTCTTCTGTGGTTGCTCTTTCTATATCAACATGATGAACAGCTTTCCTTTCATCTTGCATTTTCTTAACCTCCTGCCTAGCTTTTATACCTCTAAATCCCGCTTGAATCTTAGTTGCAGCTTGTTCTACATCTGGATCTGTAAAATCAATATCTATTTCAGAATTAGGTTCAGTTTTAAGTGCAAGATCAGTTTCAAGTGATTGCATTGACTCATTTGCATAAATTTGGTCAACATCCACTTCAGGTTCAAGTAATGACTCAGTCTCACCTGTGTTTTCTTGTTCATCAAGTAGCAAATAATTGGATTCTTCTTTCATTTTCTGAACCTCTTGCCTGGCTTTGATACCTCTAAAGCCAGCCTGTATCTTAGTAGCAGCTTTTTCCACATCTGAATCTGTTAAATCAATATCTACCTCTGCTGCTTTTTCCATGAGCAAGTCTTCATTCTGGAAGGATTCAACATCTTCAACAATTTCTCTTTGTTCCTTAAGTTTTTTAACTTCTTGTCTTGCCTTAATACCTCTAAACCCAGCCTGAATTTTGGTAGCAGCTTGTTCTACATTTGGATCCATCAGATCAATATCCATATTTGAATCATCATTTAACAATTCAATTGTATTTTGTTCTTGTTCTGTTGTTTCATCAACATTAACATTTTTCTTCAATTCTTTCCGTGCTTTATGTCCTCTAAATCCTGCTTGTATTTTCGTTGCTGCCTGTTGAACTTCTATATCTTCTAAGTCAATGTCTATTTTGTCAAGTTCTTTCACAAAAGTGTCAGGTTGGTCAGTTGTTTGGGTTGGATCAGTTTTTACTTCATTTATTGGTCCGTCTTCAATATTATCAGCTCTCTCTGTTTGAGCTTTTTCTTGATCTTCAACACTTTCTAATCCTGTATCCTTATTTTCATCATCATCATTATTTGTTTCTTCATCAGCATCTTTTATTTTTTCTGAGTTCAAATCAATATCAGTTTCAGGAATATCTTGTTTTTCAGTGTCTGTCTCTGTATTGTTAAATTCAAGATCTTCAACTTGATTTACTCCTTCAACTTCTAATTCTTGATTTTCAGTATTTTCTGATTCCTCATTTTCATTTATCAATATCTTCAACTCACCGTTTTCCGTTATTTTTTCAAAATCTTCAACAGGTGTTGACGTTTCAGCCCCTAGATCGTAAGTTTCAGTTTCTTGGCCCTCATTAGCATCATTTGCCTCATGTTTTTCCTCATTATCAATCAATTCTAAATTATCCTTTACCAATTCTTCAGTATCATCATCTTTTATTTCAGTTAAAGGAATTAATTTAGCTTGAACAACTTCTAAATCATCTTTTTCTTGTATATTCTCCTCCTCATCATCATCAATATTTGATTTCTCAAGCCCAACATTCGACACAGGAGAACTTCTTTCATCTAAATAATTACAAATTATTAACATAATAATTATGAAAGTTAGCAGAATTAATTTCAATCTTAAAGAAAAAAGTGCTAAAAACTCTGTGATATTGTTACCTATCCTACCTGAAATTAATCAAAAAAAACTTTCAGAATGAAAATTTTCAAGATATTTCTTAATTCTTTTAAGTTATCAATGATTAATTATTTCTTTCCTTATTCTTTTTAAAAATTTTAAAACGTATTTATAGTTTTATTAGATTTTACTTTAAATATTTGATAGCAGGTCGATAGAGTTATACTTTATACTTTATTGCCCTACAATGGGAAATATCATGTCTGAAATTTTAAATTTCAATAGCAGGTCGATAAAGTTTCTTAACCGCCCGTGAAATATTAAGTGTGATAAATTCCCTCAGAAATAGAATTGATTAAAAGTAATATTAAGACAAATATAAATATTGTTACCTTCAATATCTTCTATCTCTGATACATCTTCACCAGCTGAATAAATATAAATATTGTTACCTTCAATATCTTCTATCTCTGATACATCTTCACCAGCTGAATAAATATAAATATTGTTACCTTCAATATCTTCTATCTCTGATACATCTTCACCAGCTGAAAACGCTTTGTCACTGATATCTAAGACTCCTAGAATAGTAATTAAATCACATCTCTACAGTGATAATCAGAAAATTCTGGAATAGGAAGACAACTTTTAAACTCGTTATTACTTTAAATAGTCAAATAAGCATGGGACACAGCAATTGTGCAGTGTAAACAGACCCATTTCACTCAAGTAGTGATTAATAATTTACTAGTAAAACGATATGATTAAATACAAGATAATAAATTACATTATCCTTAATCAAATACTATCTGAGCCCCCCCCCCCCCTGTAGTAATTTTAAGTATATTATTATTTTCATTTATTGGTTACTTTGTTATAATGTTTACTACAGAAAAAAAATACGATTTGATTTCATTTCATTTGAAATACACTTAAGTATTGCTCTATTAAGTCGTCTTCCTATTTCAGAGTTTTTTGGTTATCACTGTATCAGTTTCATATTTCTACACAAACTTTAATTCAATTTTGAATGTCAAAAGATGGTTTCGTACTTAGAAAATAATTTAAATTACAGCAAATAAAGACTGAAATTACATAATTTAGTTGTTAGTCCATCATTTGAATTTATGGCATCCTAAGCACACAAAATGACATTCATATTGCTAAAAATATCAATTTTTGTATGCTTTCAATGATAGGAATAGGTTTATCATTTAGCTAATAATACAAATAAATAAGCTAATATCTACAATTATACTTACAATACAAGATTTTGATTAATTTTCTGAAGATTAGAAATTAAACAGGAAATATCTGAATAAATATTTTTATCATAATTTAAACCTGATTCTGATCGTTTCCTGAGCTGAAGATCAAAATGGTCGGCGGCAAACTCTAGAATATTCTCTGGTTGATGACGTAGAACCTCGCGGGCCAATCCCTCCAGGGCGTCCTCCAGACCAGCTGGCAGGGTCAACCGGATAAACAGGGGCCGGGTATCTGTCATCTCCATTTAAAACCTAGGATATTTGAGATATTTGTAATGTTTACAAATTATGTTAAAGATAGCTAAGAATCCATTGCCTAACTTAGATTATTTGATTTAACAAAATTCATAGTTTGAAATATCTAAGGTCTGCAGCATAAGTTTGCAAAGATATAGGAATAAGAGCTTATAGCAAAGACTCAAGATTCCTTTGAGACAGATCGGTCAAGGGGTTTATGATATAGGATGTGACATACAAACAAACACCAATGTCCGAATTTAATGAATTTAAGGCGCGTCTCAAATCAACCAAAAACCGGTTTCAATTGAGCGCCGGCTTAAATCTTGAAAAACTTAATACGATTTTAAGTGGAACCAACCATATTTGAGCCGCGGTTTAAATTTAAACCGCCGCTTAAATTCTTTAAATTCGGCCTCAAAGCAGATAAACAGAGATTATACTTTATGTATATAGATAATACAAACTCAAATCTTGGCAAAATGATTCTGCATGGAAAGTTCCGATTTGACAAGAACTATAAAATAAAGGAAGATTCTCTACACATATTTTTTTCGATTTGCTGAAATCTCAATGAAAAATGCGCCGAAATAGGCCAGAAATGCAGGGAAATTGTTCAGTTTCAGTTGTCATTTCGAACAAAAAAAGCTGTGATAAGAAAAACAACCTTAACAGTATTTTCAATGATTATCCTAAAGTATGAAATCCGTTAGAAATTCAGGTGATCAAGTCTTCAAGATACATTTATTGTGGAGCATAGAAATGCTGCAAGGATATCATTTATTCAGATGTCAGAAAGAGAGGTTATTTTAGAAGGCGAAGTGAAATCAATAATTAAAGTCGAGGGAAGATGGAACGAGGAAGTAAGAATTGTGCATAATTCTTAACTATCAAGAATAACGGAATCAGCTTTTATAAAATGAACAATTCAAAATTAAAACAAGCACTTCAAAGTTTAGAAGTTCAAAAGTTTATTTAATTTAATTTTTGTATTACGGACAAGGAATACATACATACAGCGTAGTTGTTTTTCCATGGCAAAACTTGTTGTTAAAGTTTTATCAATAATCGTTATTTATCAGTATCATATTTATGACGCTAATGACACACAATAACGTATTCAGGGGGGAGGGCGGTAGTCCTTTTGTCCCAGGGGGTTTGGTCCATAAATATATTACAAACTAGCTGGACTAGGCTTTCAGACGGACAAGCAAAGTATATATATAAATATAGGCGTCTTTTAGGGCGCTTTGCGCCCATCAATTCTATGTGAACATGTTCTCTTTGCGTAGATAGTAAAACAAAACAAAAAAAGTCCGGGATTTAAAAAAAAATTTCGTGGATTTTCAAAATTTTCAAAAATTTAATAAAATCTATTTTGTTGCAGGCAAATTTTTGAAATTTTGATCATTTATAAAACTTCCCTGGGGCCTGCACACAAAATTTGGGACCGATCGGTTCAGCCGTTTTGAAGTTTATTGGATACAAAAAAACAAACAGACACCCAGACAAGCATAGTATATATATATATATATATATATATATATATATATAAGCAAAGTATATATATATACCAGTAAAGTATATATATACAAGTAAAGTATATATATATATATATAGATGAGCAAAGAGCTTATTATTGATCCACAGGATTAGTCATTACCTTGATCCATTGGAAAAAATACATGCATGAAAAACAACTTGATGTTTTCTATTAATCATTTTTACAAGTTGTCCTTTGGTGCCCTTGAGTTACCTAACTTTGTTATGATCTATCAATATTATATATAATTTATTGTCTAATAAAAATATGGTTCAGGGTTATTTTTCAAATAATGATATATGTTTTAACAGCCAAAAAAGTTCCATAACTATGTTGATAAACTTTTACACATTATTAAAAGTTTATTCAGAGACCGAATCTTTAGACCCTCACCTCAAATAATGAAACCCAGTTTGGAAAGGAACATTTTTTTAAACTGATAAAAAAAATCTCGTTAGGAGGGAATAAATAAATTGTAATATCTCACTAATTTTTTAGACCTTAGAATATTTTTTTCTCATTTCCTATTTTCAAAAAAATAAATGTAATTTATATTAATGATGTTTACAAGCAACCATTTTAGTATTTTAACTATCGCTGTTTAGTTAAGAAAAATAAAACGCTTTTTATACACATCAACAAACAAATCTCACAGTAACTTAACTTTTCGAAACCCAGTTTATAATTTGACCATGTAAAAAGTTTCCTTTTCCGATAATTTTATCAATATGTGCCGTGACTCTTTTCAAATATCACAATATAATCTTTCTATTGGACCTTCTACCCAATCAATTAAAACTATTTTATCTGTTTAAGACTTTAAAGGTTTAAACTATGGGGCAATTTTTTGATAAAAATGTCTAGATCATTCTTAGTCCAGTCCTAAAGTTTTTAGTACAGTAAAAAATGAAAATTTTAAGATATTTTTTAGTAATTAAAAATAATATTTACTTTTTGTGCAGATAAGTTTACTACCCAAGTAAGAACCAAAAATGTTAAAATCATATAAATCCACCAAATTATATCTGATTTTGAAACGAAAATTAGTGCAATTGGACGATATTCTCATCTTACATCTCATATTACATCATAGTTTGATGAAATATGATCAATGATCTTTTTATTCTGTATTAGTCTATGATTCGATTGTTTAAATCTTCTAAGGAATCGATTTTTTTACACAAACTCAAATTTTATAATCCCTATATTTGTGCAACATGGTAAACCTTTGATATTTCAAACTTGGATTATTTAATCTTACGAATTTATAACGACAAGATATAGAGGTTAGAAGATCAGATTTTTTTTGCAAAGACTCAATTCCTTTGCTATAGTTTGATATTTTCCTGGTGAAAGATGAAATATACATTTTTCATGAAAGTTTCACCTTGTTAACTTATGATAAATGTACAAATGTAATCCTATTACAATATGGTACACTTCAATGTTTCAAGTTGTTTTTCTTCTTATTTTCAAATTCTATTTTATTTTTAGGATATGTAGTTTAAAATGAATTAGTTTTGATTTACCTCTTATTTATCTTTCACCAGTCATATCTTCATCCAGAATATTCCGAATTGTAATACGGAAGAAATTAAAGGATAATGGATGGACAGGAAAGGTAGTTGACAGCCTGTCAGATGTAGATTAAAACACTCCGTAATGAAAAAAATTGATTTTGCTGGTAATAAAGAAATTTTCTGTTTCTGTATTTCCGGGTTGTTAAGTAAATACCGGAGAATTATTGTAGTTATACTCCCTCCTCAGTACTCAATATATTACTGGAGCACTGGAAGAGAATCAATACCAGGTAGAAACTAAAACATTCCAAATTCCAATATATATACTCATAGAACCATCAGGCTTTATTAATAGCTTAGAGATACTTACAGATAGTTTAGAGAAGGTTAGAGGAGGGTAGAGGAGGGGAGGGTAGAGAGGGTAGAGGAATTGAGGGTAGAGAGGGTAGAGGAGGGGAGGGTAGGGTAGAGAAATATATTTCATGAATTATTAAAGATTAAAAAGATCTACCCCGTGTAAACCCAAGAGGTCTAATTCATTGACTACTGCGACTTTCCTGACTTACTGGTCGACAAAATCAAGATGAAGCATGGAATCTCTGTAACTTGATACAATTTTGTAAATATATTTCCCCCCAACTACCCCCCCTACTTCCCTATTTCCATTTTTAGCCTGGATGTATAATTTAGCTGACAACCCGACCAAGAAAGTTATACCTCAATATATCCTTTATAATTAACACATGTGTTACCCCTCCAATATGCTGCTTCCCTTTTCCCCATTATTGGCTAGATGTCTAATTTAGTTAGAAAAAAGTTACCCCTCATGATACATCTGGATCAAATTTCAGATATGTTTCCAGCTGTGAGAAAATTTCCCCTCCTCTAGCCCCCCCCCTTACCCCAGCACTCTGTTAATATATGCATATGTTTGTGCATGTCTAATTTTGTGTGTTTGTAAAATATACAAGCTGTTGACGTAAAACTTGAATCTTTTTAGTTTCTATTTTCACCACTAGGTGTCTCTAAATGTTTTCCGTAAAACTAAAAAAGTAAGAAATTTTAAGATTCAATTTTCTTAATAAAAGTTTATAATTTAGAAGTGAAGTTTTGGGTTTAAAAATTTTTAATTTTTTCTAAATATAATAATTTCATTAAGAAAATGCACTGAATTTTCTCTCAGGATGTTTTATATTTCTTTTAAGACTCTTTGACAATTATATCAACTTATGACTAGCTCTATAGTGAAATGTTTACACTGAAAAAAGGAATCATTTCCGAAAAAAACTGAGTATGGGCAACCTTTGTGGGCGCTTATCAATGACATGCTTTTATCTGAGTGACATCTAAACGCTGATAATTCAAAGTGACGTGTATTAACACTAGCTTTTTAAATTAAAAAAAAAGCTAGCCTTTAATCAACCTGAAAGAGACTAAATAAGTTAGCAAACTGTCCAAGCTGTCAGCTAGCAGCTGCAGCTACTAAAAATAAACACATGGCAACATGATGATTTATGGTGGGGGGTAATGCACAGAGGTGGGTATGAAACCCGACCCTTTCCGTTTTGAGGTATAGCTAGATTGTTGGTGATCGAGGCCCAAAAAGTCAGAAACACTACTTATGATTCATGTACTTTTAGTCTACTAATTCCGCATGATAAAAGTCAACTTAAAGTCGGAAGAGGGTGACTTGGGGTTTACACGGGACATGATGAAAGGTAATATCTGTAATCCATCTTTACAAATTACAAAAAAAATATACAATGGAATTGAGTTTTTGCCACAAACTAAAATTTTCTTTGCAATCTGATAGTGTAAATATATTTCAGAATTAGATTATTTGATCCAGCAGAATTTATAGTTTGAAAAATCTAAGATCGACGATATTGGGTTGCTAAGATATAGAGAAAATTTGATTTTTCAAAGACACAATTCTTTTCTGGAAATTCCATTATCAATTTTTGCTTGAAAAATTAATTCAATTGAAATGAAAATAAAATTAAAATCAACTTTATTTTTTTACTTCTGATTTGTTTCAAAGCTTATTTGATCTATAGAAATAGCATTGAAATAAGACACAAACGTTTCAAAAAATAAAAGAGTTATAATTAGTTTTTGGGCTTAAATTTTATTTATATTTTGTCCCTCGCTAAAGCTCGGGACAAAATTAAATCTAAAAAGGCTTAAACCTTCTAAGGAGAAAATTTCTGTTCAAAACAGGGGTGTATATAATTCCATTTCCCCCCCCCCTGGGGGGGGAAAAGAAATTAAAGGTCACAAAAGAGGGGAAGGGGAAGGGAAAGGGAAGGGGATAATGGGAAGTGAAAGTGGAGAGGATGGGAGAGTAAGGGGAATGGAAAAAGAAGGTAATGTATTGTCACAATTGTTGTTTCAATTTGCTGGAGTTGAAAACATGTTACAACATTATGTTGACCTGTGTTGGGTATGAGTCATCACTACAGTGTGTAATTATCATTTATCTTATTTAAATCAACACAAGCTACAAGTTTTTTTCTAGGAACCATATTTTTGTGTGTTGAAAAACTTAAGGAACAGTTGAGCCAAGCCAACTGAAAGAAAAATTCTCATGGTCTGATCAAGAAATGATGTCTGGAATTGGGATACCATCAAAACATGTCAACAATCTTAAAAATGGAATTTACAGAACTCATTTGAAACTTAAAGAGACAGTAAAAAGATCTGCTGCTGTGCGCCTGAACTTGGAAATGATATCTGTCTTTCCTGACATCTACAAACATTCAAGATATGAGGATGAGGATGAGGAAGATAATGATAAAGTCAAAAACAACCATCTAACATCTCAGGATATTTCTGAGCAAGAGGTTTCAGTTATGTCTTTGACTGATAATTCTATTGAGAAGTTGAAAAGCAACTTAGTGAGGTATGTGAGGACATCTTTACATCCTTGGAAAAACGATTTAAACCTACTTCACTTGTAAAGGCTTCTGTAGAGGCTTTTCATAGAACAGAGTGGGCTGAAAACATCAGTAAAGACATGTTAGAAACAAGTGCCAGAGTAAATCTAGAGGAGCTGGTTAAAAAATCTTATAGAAGACAAACTTCAGGAGAAGTTTGAAGTTTAGGATAGCCTTCTCCAGACATACATTCAATTCCTGACATTTAAACAAAATTCTGATCAGCATTCCTTGGAAGTGTTATATCAACTGTTCCAAAAGAATTATAGGCAGAGTTTGTCAGCAGAGTCTAGATTCTTTGACCTGTTTGAACATGTTAATATCAAATCATATACTGAAGCCTACTGTGAAAGTGTGGGATCCCTCATGAATATACTAGTTAATAAAGGAAGAAACCTTACATCAAGCTTTTTCTCAAGAGCGCTTATCATAGCTTTTAATGCTCCTCCTCTTCAAAATCATATCTTAAAGAAAAAAATCATCCCTGAAATCAGGGATGAGTTTATGAAGGAGATGACCTTTGTAAGAAAGTTGGACAACGCCAGACTTTCCAGACAGTTCTCCAAACTGAAGTTTGCAGATCTGTCTGCAACTCTTGGACAGCAACGGAAGAACCAAGAAAATCAGTCTCATGTCACTGTAGACTTTTTTACTGTTTAATTAAGTAAGAATAAGTAAATTTTTTTAGATGATACTATAATAAATCTAAGAAGAGTTTAATCTATGTCTTTTGAGTTGTCGAGTTTGGGGAAGGAATTCAAAAAAAATTTAGAGGGGGGGGGAAAGAATCAAAAATATGGAATTATATAATTATACACCCCTGGTTCAAAAACTTTATAACACTGGGAACCAAAATAACAGTGTTATAAATAGTTAACATAGAATTATCAAAATTACAATTAGAACATTGCTTTTACTCTTATTGTTATAACATATTTATAATAAAAATCATAATTATTAAATTAATAATATAATTTTGTTGTTGATATTTTTGTTGTTAAAAGTAAAGAAAGCAACGATAGTAAATAATTAATATTGTTTATTGTGTTGGTATGAGCTGATCCTATGTATCCTAGTGTAAACCGACCACACTTTTACTTAATCAAACTTTCTTGCTCAGTGTAAATGTATATACATATACAAACGTATCCTTAATCTCGATATAATAGACTAAACTGGCCAGGAGGAAAAGGTCAAATTTATCCAACCTTCCTTTTATAAACTTTGTTACTGCTTTGATTTTAAGGCTCAAGCGTGAGAAAAATTAATTTATTCGGTTTCATTTATGAAATTCAAAACATTTTTGTTCTTCCCAATAGCTCTTCAATGCAAGGCACCAAGGATGCAATAAATATTAAATGTATACGCTTGTGATGCTTTAGGACCCAACAAGGTCTTGGGAAGCCTCGGGAATATAATATTCCCTCCTAAATATTTTGCATCCTCATTGCCCCCATGTGAAGAGATAAATATTTATTAACTATTCAACATCAACAAGTCGTTAAACTTCGTTTTTTGTTAGTCCTTTGTGCTCACATTTAGCTTTTGATGAAAACGCAAATCTTTCGGGCAATTTAGCTTTAAGTAATTACCATCATTTGTTATTCTTTTATTTATACCAGAAAGCATTATCTACGTATGCTGGATTAAATTCTAAATATTTTTTGGAAGAATGGGTTTGTCTTTTTCCTCATTCCTGGATCCATTATCTTGATACCTGACCAGTCTCAAGCTTTTAGATTCGAAGAGTTTGGAGAACACTTTTCAGAAAGCATGGAAGATGAAAACGAAACTCCTGAAGAGGTGCAGGATAACAAGGAGGATGTTGAAGAGACTCCAGGAGATGAAGAAACCTCTGATCCTCAGGATGATGCCCAGGAAGGTGAGGATAACCCCGATGGAGAGGAGAATCTCGATGAAGAAGAGAATCCCGACGGAGAAGAGAATCCTGATGAAGAAGTAGACCCTGAAGCAGGGGAGGAAGTGGCTGAAGACGAAGAACCTGTTGATGATGTGGTTGATGTAGAGCTAGGTATCAGAGAGGAAGGTGGAGAACCTGATCCTGGTTCTGAGCTCCAGACTAAGCAAGTGGCCTGGGACGAATCAGTTCCCTCTGATCAGGTTAGAACTGAAGATCGATCAGGAGAAAAAATGGGGATAAATAATTTAAGAACATTTTGGAAAAAAAGAATACAAATCAGGATGAACACCAAAAAACCCGTTTTGGAGTTTACGCCCTCTATCCCAATCAATTTAGGTTCTAAAATTAGTTTTCCCTTATGTTTTCTAATATTGGAAGATTTTTTTAATCCATTTAAAGTCTATTTAAGTAAAACAAAGAGATGATTGGATTTAAAAGATTAGTTCTATGTTAAACTACTTATCGCGCTTGCAGAGGCTTCCTTCCACTCTAATTACATTTTTTCTATCGATGCCCCTGTACTTCAGAGACCCGACCCTGGTAAGGGGCAGGATAAGGCTCTGCTGAGGAAAATGTTATCTGGTATGTGGGCCAGCAAGGAGATGTTAAACGAGACTACGGATAAGCAGGTTGTCATGAAAACAACCCTTAGAGAGCTCATCATCTACTGGTAGGTTCTCAAAAAAATTTGTACTTTTAAAAAGGCTTTATTTTCTACTATTTGATCTAGCAGAATTCATGGTTTGAAATATCTAATGTCTACGGCATTGAATTTAAAAGATCTAGGGATTAGAAATTCAGAGTTTGTGACCAAAACTCAATTCCTTTAAATCAAAGTACGACATTTTTCATATTCTGGAATCTTTGTAGGATTTTTAATAAATATAAAGAGACTCTACACGTAATTTCTATTAACCCTTTAGAGTAAAGTGGCATGTTCGATTGAAAAATTGAATACAACTTTATCCCTCTTTTAAAGACGAAAAACGTATTTATAATGCATAATGGTTTCAATTTTTTTGCAAATAAACAAGAGCCGTAACAATTTTTTTTATTATAAAGAATTTCTTGAGATTTGGTTGAATTACAATCTAGAAATTTATGAAAAATAAACCATTTTGAATAAATAACAGTCAATTTATAACTTTTAATAATTTTTTTAGGGACCTCAAAAAGAATGTATAAAACGACTATCAAATGCAGTAAAAATAATAAAGAATTAAAAGTAATAGTTTTGTGTGAAATAAAATATAAAAAAAATAAAGAAACTTAGATTCATCTTAATCCAAATGATGCCGGAAAACCTCAATCACAGACAAATCTAATTTATTTATTCAATTGTCCAAGGTTTAGTTTTTATTCCATCTGCCCAATTATCGTCGATTTCCCCAATAAAACGTGACGTTATCTAACTTTCAGACATGTTTACCTGGAAATATAAGATTTATATTTTCTATTGATGTTAAAAGGGATTGTACTCGCAACTTGTACTTAAGTTTAAACCTCCCCCTGGACAAATTTCTAACTACATCCATAAACATGACGATATATTCAAATTATTTATCAGATTGAGATAAAGAGAACCGTTACGACTGGCAATCTGTCAAAAATAAGTTCAGTTGACATTACAAAGACACTCCCTTTATTAATGTTTACGACGAGTATTCTAATGTGGTTTATGGTTTGTTTATCCTCTATAATGTGTTTACAATACAATTTAACTTATTTCTCTTTGAATGGAACTAGAACTAAATTATTAATATCTCCATTGATTTCTAAGGCACAACCCAGGAAAAGGAACATAATGTGATAATAGTTTTGAGAATAGCATAGATGTTGTCAGATAATTCATGTGTATATATATGATAGATGTTGTCAGATAATTCATGAATATATATATGATAGATGTTGTCAGATAATTCATGAATATATATATGATAGATGTTGTCAGATTAATTCATGAATATATATATGATAGATGTTGTCAGATTATTCATGAATATATATATGATAGATGTTGTCAGATTATTCATGAATATATATTTGATAGATGTTGTCAGATAATTCATGAATATATATATGACAGATGTTTTCAGATTATTCATGAATATATATATGACAGATGTTGTCAGATAATTCATGAATATATATATATATATGACAGATGTTGTCAGATAATTCATGAATATATATATATGATAGATGTTGTCAGATAATTCATGAATATATATATGATAGATGTTGTCAGATAATTCATGTGTTTATATATGATAGATGTTGTCAGATAATTCATGAATATATATATGATAGATGTTGTCAGATAATTAATGAATATATATATGTCGCGTGGTTCTAAAAGAAAGTGTTTGTTTCAAAGGACACCTAGTGTAATTTATATTTCAAATTTGCCAGAGTAAAAAGTGAGGGTTTTCCATAGTTTTTAGAACCATAATGATAGAAATTAATAATCTGTGAATATTAAATTTACGTTGCAAAAGGATTGAATTTCTTACCACAAACTCTGATTGTGTAATACATATATCTTTGCAACCCGATGTAGTTCACCTTATATATTTCAATATTTGAATCAAATAATCAACTTTATAAATATCCAAAGCTTTCTACATCATGTTGCAAAGATATAGCGTTTAGAAAATTTGAAGAGTTAAATACAATATTTTAACCTTATTCAGCATGTTCTTGTTCGTGATCGTGTACATGACGTTCAGCCAGTACTCCAAGGACTACTTCTATCTCCGGGACAGGATTGCAACACTGTTTCAGGCCGATATGGATAAATTAACAGAGGTCGGGGAAAATATAATTTTCCATAGATTAAAAATAATACAGTGGTAGGCAATTATACAATACAATTAAGACGACTTTCGGCTTCAATTTTGATTGATATCAAGTGCTTAAACAGCGTGGATACACAAATAACTGAAAACAAAGAAAAGCTGTTAATCAAAGAAAGGCTGTTAATCAAAGAGAAGCTGTTAATCAAAGAGAAGCTGTTAATCAAAGAGAAGCTGTTATTCAAAAAAGCTTCTCTTTAATTACTTGTTAACCTGTAATTCGAAAAAAGCTTGTTAACAATAAAACTGGAATAAAAAAGTCGTCTTCATTATATTGATATGAATGTAAAAACGCAGATTATTGTCCTTTTATATTTAATGNGCGGGGGGGCCAGGGGGGACTAATAATCGTATACTAGGAATTTACCGAACTATTTATTGACTCAATTGAACTATGTTTTTGCTCATATGAAATTTTTTTTTGTCATTTCAACTATATGTTTTTGCTCATTTTAACTATTTTCTATTCATTTGAACCATTTTTTTGCTAGTTTCAACCATTTTTTGCTTATTTAACTATTTTGCCATTTAAACTTTCTACTTTTGGGCTTAATTGAAATATTTTTTTCAATATAGTTCAAATGAGCAAAAATTAGTTCAAATGCGCAAAGAATGTTATCGTTTGAACTATTGGTCGTTTGAAAGCTACTACACGTGGATCACGTGCAACAGTTCAAACGACCACTAGTTCAAAAAGTCAATAGTTCAAACGGCAGTAGTTCAAAATATAAAGCACCTCTTTCTATTTTGCTTTATAAAATTTTATCCTAGTTTTTTTTTATATACATATATTACTAGGCTTTTTCACACCCATTTTCTATTTCAACCTGTAATTTGGCTCTTTTCTGTCAGCTTTTTCTCTTTGTGCGTTAAAAAATGTGAGCAGCGCCAAACTCTGTTACCCACGAATGCTGCAATGAATTAAAAGAAGAGAGATAAGTATATATTTTAGGGTTAGATTAGGCCACGTGCTGCGGCTAGGACAGGCTAAGAGGCCGAGGCCGTGGCTGGAACTGGTTTTCTCGCTGTCTTATAATTCATTACGGCATTCGCGAGTAACAGAGTTTGGCCGCTGCCTAAAAAATGGTTTGCAGATTTAATAATTTTATTTGTGGGTGTTCAAAATTATAAAAAAATAAAAAAATTTTGCAGAACACTTTTTGAAATTTTCAGCAACCATGTAAACCTCCCTTGGGTAATGTGAGGCCATCCACACAAAATTTTGGCCTAATTGTCCCAGCCGATAATTAAAGAAACAGATAAACAAACAAACAGACAGATAAGCAAATTATATATAGATATCATATTTTATGTTTTCAGGTCCGTGGGTTCTGGGACTTTGCGGAGGGGAAACTTCTGGGTGAATAAAAAACTTTTTTTAAAATAATATAAATTTGAAATTTTTCATACAGTGCTTAACATTAAACAGCGGAATAATTGTTCTTCATTTTTTCCCTTATGTAATGAGAAACATTCTACACCTCTAACAATGTACTCTGGACATTTTGAAGAAATTAAACAGTAGCAGATACAAATAAAATCTTCATTGTGGTCTTTCCAATCAAATTTAAGAACAAAGACGACATTGTTTTCCACTGTGCAGCGTTTAGTGTTCATAAGATCTGTTGTAGATGGATTGTACTGGGAGACCTTGTACAATAATGGCCGACCAACGACAAGGTTTATTTGTCCGGGATCTAGAAGTTTAGCTAGAGGACCCTGTCCTGTCCCACCAACAGACAGGTATATACATACATCAAGTACAGGAAGTACAATCAGTACAATGATAATGTACAGTGCACATTGCACATTACATTGTTTGTATCGTGCATACTGCATAGCTTCAAATTGCAATATTTATGAATTTAACAGAAAAATTAAATTACTTCAAAATTATTTATGAGAATTTTCATGCAAAAAATTCAGGGTTCTTTAAGTATTTTTCTTTTAAGCTTGGAGATTTTTCAAGAATGATATGGGACACTTTTTTTAATTTTATAATTTTATAGATTTTATAATTACAACTTATTCTAATCTTAGAAAATGAGGAGAACAAAATAATTGTGTTGATATAATTTGAGAAAAGAAAAACTTAGTTAAATTGTTGGTGGATTTAGGATGTTTTTTTATTACATTGATGAGAAATCAAATATAAAGCCATACCAACGAAGAACCATCAATGTACTTCGTTGGTACAATTTGTGTATTTTCACATAGTGTATATAGACTCTATATCAAGGTTCATGAAAAGTGTAAAGTGTTCACGCAAACTGATTTCAACATAAATTGCTCAAATTAAATGTAAACGATTCTGTTACAAAAACTTCTATTCAATCCGCATACCCTTTTCTCGTCAATAACTTATTATATGCATTTAATGTTCTACCATTTCATTGGTACACTTCTCAATTTTTATGTTTTGCATAATCCAAGTAGCCTTGATTCCAAATTTTTATTTAAAAATGTATCCGTAAATTAACTCTTATATAACTCTCTCAAGAAAATGTAAACGAATTTGTTGTAAAACTTTAGTATTTAACTCATGTAAACTATTATGTACAATTTAAATAATCTCGATACGGAGACAATAAATATCTAGATCTCAAAAAAAAGAAATCAAACGGGCTAAACTTTCAATTGTAAAAGATTACGTAAAGGGTAAACCAGAAATGATGTAACTTCTAAGACTACCGTTCGGAATCTTTTAAGTTTTTCTAGTTTTCTGCATACCATTTCAAGAGAATGTTTAGACAAGGGATTAAATGCAACCTTCCGATCCTTTTATTCAAAGACTTTTGCGAGTGACCCTGTCACATAGATCAAAACTGTTATAAAAAGTTTTCGAACCACTCACTCACTCAAACTTCTTTCTGTAAAAGCTTCCGGACGTAAAGGAGAATAAACAGTGATAACCAGAAAACTGTAGAAGAGGAAGACGATATTAAACCAATACTGAAGTACATTCGATGTTGTTACAAAGCAATAGCTGTACTGGAAAGTTTTAATATCTTTTATAATGTGTTTATCCTGCACAATTGGTGTGACTCAGGTTCATTGGACTATTTTAAGTCATAACTTGAGTTAAAAAGTCGAAATTCTATTCCAGAGTTTTAAGTAAATTTAAGTGACCCTCCATGCAGAGATGGCAATGCCCGATTTACAACGGTACCCTTGAAAGCTTTGTCTGATCAAGGATGAATTAGATATTAATGTTCTGTTTCCTTAAACTGAGCTGAAAACTTTAGAATGAGATATCCTTGATCCCGATTGGTAAATTAATCTGGAGATTATGAAAAAGATTAATCTCGATATCCACCATTCTAAAGTTTTCTTTTCGGCTCTGTATATTTTCATTTGCGGTTTCTCTGGGAAAGTGACTTGCGCATTTCTTGACCTTAAAGAAACTAAATCTGCAAAAATATTTAAACAAAGAGTAATCAATATTTATCTTGAGAATTATGAGAGAGGTAATAATTAAAAAAAAACATCTTAAATAACTGAAACTTCATTAGCTTATTTCTGTTTAAGTAACTACCATCATTAACACCCTGTATTTTAATTTATCTCTACATAAAAACCCCTCTCATCTCACCCTGCCACAGATCACCTGAGAATCTCCTTCCTTCCAATAAACACCTTACCTATCCAAAACATATCTTGATATGTGTAACAAATTATATTCAGTATCGTTACTTAACTTCGGGCCAACCACTCAAAAAAACCAACCCTGGTTAGTCGGGTCCAAACTGCATAGTAAATTGTGATTGCTTATTTTTATCTTATGCTTTGTAGTGAATAAAAACATGAAATATGAAAAGAATTAATGGAGAAAGACGCAATAGTAGGCTCTTTTCCGGGTCAGAAAATCGACGGTATCTTCCACATTTTTGATCCGATAAAGGTTTCAACGTTACGATTGTAAATCGGGCATTGTCATCTTTGCATGAAGGGTCATTTCATATTACGCTTACGTACATTCCCTTTAACAGGAACGTGATGTATGAGAACCGAATGTTGGGAGTTCCAAGGATTAGACAACTCCGAACCGCAAACAACTCCTGTCCTATACTACCAGATTTTAGTAAAGCTATTAAACGATGCCATGCTCCATACTCAATGGCTTACGAAGATACATCAGGTTTGGTTTTTTTGACAGAAAAAATAGATAGATAGATAGATAGATAGAAAGATACACAATTTTACTGTTCTGTTATTGTTTTTATAATTCTAGTCTTACTTTGTAGTCTTTTCTTTACGTGTGCTATTACATTTTTTTAANAGGGGAAGATGTATTGTAGTATTGAGAGGGGAAGATGTATTGTAGTATTGAGAGGGGAAGATGTATTGTAGTATTGAGAGGGGAAGATGTATTGTAGTATTGAGAGGGGAAGATGTATTGTAGTATTGAGAGGGGAAGATGTATTGTAGTATTGAGAGGGGAAGATGTATTGTAGTATTGAGAGGGGAAGATGTATTGTAGTATTGAGAGGGGAAGATGTATTGTAGTATTGAGAGGGGAAGATGTATTGTAGTATTGAGAGGGGAAGATGTATTGTAGTATTGAGGTATTGAAAGGAAGAGTAGATTAAGAAGAATGATTCTGAAAAGTTTTTAAATGAATGAGCGGAAATTGTTTATTTCTTTGTGTATCGAAATATTTGCTTCATGAAAAGCCTCGGTAAAGTAAAGCAAACAGAATAAAATATAAAAATTTTATATTTTCAGATATATGAAAGGAGTAATGTTGAGAAGGGCTTTAACTGAGGGGGGGGGGGGCAACGGGACAAGTGCTCACCCTGTAAGAGATCAAATTTGAGCTGAAATAAGTGACTTTTTATAGTTTACCCGATGCCCGCGCCGCCCCTGTTAGTTAGAGGTCAATCTGTAATCAACAAAATTCCTAAAGATTATATTATAAAACCGAAAATGTAAAATTATAAAAACAAAAAAATATTATTTAGAGCTGAGGTTTCCTCAGCCTCAGTTCAGAAAGTACACATCTGAAGATGCCTGGAGGTATCAGGATGCTGTAGCTACTCAATCCTCATCAACTACCGGAACGGTTAGTTAGATACTTTTAATCAAGGGACTGTTCACCTATTTTTTATTTTAAAACCATATTAAAGGGAGTGTCCACGAAAAATACAGGGGGTATAGACTGACCTCGAATTGAATTCGGGTTTGATCGCTACTGATCAGTTGCGTCTATAAGGAGAAAATGTTTAAAAACGTCAGACACCGACGAGAGCAGAACCCATACAAAATCACGGAGCTTCAGTATGTCACCCAGACTGCCAATTCAATTAAATTTAAAACTAAACATTTAAATGTTACAAGTCGAATTCAATTCGTGGCATTATGTTTGTGCTCAAATGTGTAACTGAAAGTCATGTGCAAAACTCAAAGAGTGGCAAAACTATTTGTCAAGTGTTTATCTGAAATGCAGGGTGTCCCACGAAACATGACAGTTGGTGAATAGTTTTGAATGTCTTCTTCCACAGACTGTATTAGATATTTATTTATTTTGCAGTTTATTTAGTTTTAAAACATCTTTTACTCAAATATATTTTACTTTGAAATCAATTTTATACTATAATATGACTGCCAAAAAATATTTTTATTATTCTCTTTGGTATCAAACTTCTTAGCAAATTATGGAAGAAGACATTTTAGAATATTCACCAGCTGTCATGTTTCGTGGGACACCCTGTATCTGGTTTTATCATGGTGATTTTCTCAAGCCGTTTAGATACTGTAGACATACAATTAATAAAACATTTCATCTATCTATAAATTTGGCTTGTCTGTCTGTTTGTCTGTCTGTCTGTTTGTTTGTATCCAATAAACGTCAAAAACGGCTGAACCGATCGGGCCCAAATTTTTGTGGGAAATCACGTGACCACAGGGAAGGTTTATGAATGATAAAAATTTTAAAAAATGTGTTTTAAAGGTTTTTAATTTTGTAAAAAAAATTTAAATTCTTGAAAATCCGCGATTTTTTTTAAAAAATCCGCATTTTCTTCTTTGTTTTAAAATGTAAACAAAAAGAACATGTTCACAATTTAAATAGAAGATGGGCGCGAAGCGCCCTAAAAGCCTAGTTATTCAGAATAGATTCAAAAAAACATTTATAATTCTGAAAACTTATTATTTTCAATAGTGGTTTCTCTACAAAAGTGACTTGCGGCGTATATGCAAAGGAAAATATATTATAGTAATTATCAGAATTAAAAACTTTTAATCCTAAAAAAGGACAAGGTCATTCACATTTTTGATCAAATGTTAAGGTTTTAAGGGCATTGCTTTACATGGAGGCACGGCCCGCTTATAGATACTTTTTGGATGGGCTTCACAGCTGATATAGCTAGTGGACACTGAACCCTGACTTATATAGTGAAATTTTTAAAAAAATTTCATGGTAAACTTAAGGCACTCCTGTATAACGAGTCCATTAGCGCCTAATCCAATCAGGGTTCAGGAATGTGTTTGTTGTCTATTCTAAACCAATAGAAATAGTATGGCGGTAACATCCATCTTTCTATCTATCTTATTAGAGTTACGAATCCTTTGATCAGCGCTATCAGTAAATGGAAATATTTACTTTTAATAAAACTATAGTGAAGGGTTCACTTTGACAAATTTTCATTCTATTTATCGTTCATTCTTGAAAAATAACTAGTTCATTAAAAAAATGTTGGGAGGGAAGTTCAGGGCCCAAAACAGAGTTGAGTATTTTTAAGTGGTGGGCTCTGGAGTAAGAAAAAAACTAGATACTATAACTAATATAACATGACTTGCCTCTCAAGTCATTAGTAGCATCAAATGTTCCTTGTTTTGGAACTTCCAAAAAGTGGTGTGCCATTTTTGTACCTTAATAATTGACTCTGAGATATAGAGATTAAGTTTAAAATTCAAAATATTAAATACTACCAAGGTTTTTTAAATCTTTAGTATCTCCGCCAGTTTCTTTGATACGAAGAAGAAGGCTAATTTTTTTCCGCACACTTTGCGGTGACGTTTTTGGACTGCTGAAGAACTAGTTTTTGCGTAACAACAATAACAAAGGCAATCCGATCTAATGTAAACAAACATGAGTTAGTATACGGTGAATCTTCATCTAACACTAGAGATGCGCCAGATGTCTGTTTATCATTTGTGTTATTGTTTACAATCTTTATTATTGTTGTTACGCAAAAACTAGTTCTTCAGCAGTCCAAAAACGTCACAGCAAAGTGTACGGAAACCCTATCGCCCCCTCCTTCTATTCAATTCTCCTTGTTTACAGCCATTTACCGTTTTCATTAAATAAACTCTAGCAGACATAATAAAACTATGGTTTTATAAATTAGGTATTACATTGCTAATTCATAACAAAGACGATATCGAATTCTTCACTGAATTCCCATGTTTATTTGGACACCCAGTACATAACTAAATTTTCATTTTCTGTATCTTACATAATTCTTTACATTGGAGATAAGAAAAATGGCCATATTATTTAAAAATGCAATTATTGAATTTGCATGCATTTCTAAGAATTAAAATTTATTGCAGCTTTCTCTTTGGTGAATTTTTTAGATTAACAATTTGTTTCAGCTGTCCACCTATGGGGGAGGAGGGAATGTGCAGAACCTTCATTTCCAGAAGAACGAATCTGCGGCTATACTGGCAGAACTCAAACAGAACCTTTGGATAGATCAAGGCACAAGGTATAGGAGACAAGGAACAGGGGGACGAGGAACAGGGGGCAAGGAACAGGGGGACACAAGGTACAGGGGGACAAGGTACATGTGAACAAGTAACATTGGACAAGGTTTAGGGGGTCAAGGTACATAAGACAGGGGACAAGGTTCTAGGGGACAAGGTACAGGAGGATAAGGTACAGGGAGACAAAGTACAGGAGACAAGGTACAGGGGGACAAAGTACAGGATACAAGGAACAAGGGGACAAGGTACAGAGGGACAAGGTACAGGGGGACAAGTTACATGGGGACAAGGTACAGGGGGACAAGTAACAGGAGATAAGGGACATGGGGATAAGGTACAAGGGGACAAGGTATAGTGGGACAAGGTACAAGGGAACAAGTTACAGGAGGACAAGGTACAGGGGGACAAGGTACAGGGGGACAAGGTACAGGGGGACAAGGTACAGGGGGACAAGGAACAGGGGGACAAGGTACAGGGGGACAAGGTACAGGGGGACAAGGGACAAGGGGACAAGGTTCAGGGGACAAGGGAGGGACAAGGGGACAAGGTACAGGGGGACAAGGAACAGGGGACAAGGTACAGGGGGACAAGGTACAGGAGACAAGGGACAAGGGGGCAAGGTACAGGGGGACAAGGTTCAGGGGAAAAGGGTTAAGGGACAATGTTCAGGGGGACAAGGGGACAAGATACAGGAGGACAAGGAACAGGGGGGGCAAGACAAGGTAGGTACATGGTGACAAGGTACAGGAGGAACCACAAAAAATGAGACTTCCGGAAAGCAGAGCCTGAGTTATTAAGTCTTTATATTCACGCTGTAAACCTTTTTTTCTTTGCTTTTCCTTTTAATTTTCTATTCAAAGATTTTGCAAGGAAGGAAATATTAGGTCGTAATCAACCTTCAACATATTGGGTCTTTAAAAGAAGGTATCAATATTTTTTTCCGAAACACTCTTCAAACCTAGTTGGCTTAAATTCATTGATTTCAAACTTTTCTGAAAAAATACTTTTTGAAGCATAGATAGGCATTGATATAAAGAGTAATAGATTAATGTTAAGTCGTCTTCTGTCTCCATATGTTCTTCTGACACAACTGCAATTATTTTTTTCCGGACTGGGTTACGACAGTTAGTTCCAATTTTCGGGACACAATTCAGAATAGAAAAATATAAATAAAAATATTGTATTTCTTTAGGTTTGTTGCAATTGATTTCACAGTTTACAACGGAAATATAAACTTGTTTGCAGTTTGTAAACTCTTCTTTGAGTTCCCTGCAACAGGAAATAAACAGATTTTATCAAACTAAATATTTCTAAAGAATATGAATTATGAATATGTCAAATAGCTCTTTAATTATATAATGAATGATTTACACCAGAAACCACAAATCCTCTCTGCGAAATCACAAAACAATCAATTAATCTTAATTTTTATTTTTTGATCATTAAAATATACATTTTGAAAAGATGATTGAAATATATGTTTTGAAGATGAGTCCCATAGATTAATAACAATACAGGTAGACCACTAAATGTCGTCTTTTCAAGATTTAGTGTTTTTTTCGTTCACAGAAACCATGAGATAGAAGCCCAAAGGAGTTACGCGCATGCCGCTGAATTACAAGACAGGCAGAGAGCATATTCGCGTAACTCTTCAGGGCTTCTACCTGAGGGTAATTGTGATCGAAAACCCCCTAAATCTTGAAAAGACGACATCTAGTACGTGTTCTATATGTATTGTTATTAATCTATGATTGATGCACAGTGCACACTGCTTGATGATAAAGGTTTCTCAGTACAAGTTTAGGAATTGTTCCATGTGACTTTTCTTGCATTTCTTTGATGTAAAAATATTTAAGAATTATAAATTCAGGATGCCTCATGCCGCCCTACAATTTTTCGTTGTTTTTTTTTATAGCATAAAATCTAATTCAAACGTGTTTGGTAAAAAGTCAAATTTTATTTTCAAGACTTTTTCAAACTGTTTTTTCATTTTTAGTTACGTTTTGGTTCATTTGTTTCGAATGGAGAATCAAGTCTTTGTTTCATGTTTGCTTCTCAATAAATGGCAGAACCGACGAGAAAAATTATTTTTCAGATTTCCAATTTCCAATACAACCAATATGTGCTAAAACATATCTAAAACTAAAAATTTAAAACAAATCAATTAATGAAAGATTCCAGATTGTAATGTCAATACTTAATTAAAACCTAAGTTTTAATTAAAACTTATCTTAGGTTTTAGAATTCAAAAAGAATTTAGTTTAAAGGGAAGAGTAAAAATGTTTGCAAATTGAAAGGATGAAAACTGATTAAAACCCCTGATATGTTATATATAAATGTTATATCTGTAGTTATACAGGGTCACCCGTAAAGGATGCAAATATTTACAGAATGTATACTCTATGTTTCCTTGTAAGCTGGAACCTATATTTACAGAATGTATACTCTATGTTTCCTTGTAAGCTGTAAATTAGCCATTTTAGAAACACATTCAAGGCGAAGACTTAATTTAACATTGAGATAGTTATATTTAATTAGTTTTAGATCGTCTTTATACGAAGTCTCATAGTTTCCGGGTAACCCTGTATATCATCTATGTAAAAACTGTTTATATCCCTGGCTAGGTGGTTTACTACCAACTGTAGATATCCAGATCGTAAACCTTCTCAAGTATAACGAAGGAACTGATTATGTACTGATGGGAGTAGAGGTTCTATTCGCAGCGTTCATCATCTACTATCTCATAGAGGAAGGTTTAGAGGTTAAAGCTCATGGAATAGCTTACTTCATGAATGTAGGTAAATAGCATCAAAAATTTAGTTCTTGTATAAATATATTTGGTTTGTCTCTTTGTTTCTTTGTATCCAATTAACGATCGTGGCCATTTTTTTTGTAGTACCTCACTTGATCCTATTGCCGGTGAGATGAAAAAATGATGATTCTTAATTGAAAAAAAAATCACCATAAAGAAAGCTGAAAAATCTGTGAAAGTCAAAATTATTATTTTTATATAGGAAACTAGAAGCATGAAAAAACCAATGCAAATCTAGAAAGCCCCGAAAGCTAAGAAGGCTACAAAAGCTACAAAAGCTTAGAAGCATAGAAAGCTAAGAAATAATAGAAAGCTAAGAAAGCTAAGAAATAATAGAAAGCTAAGAAAGCTAAGAAAGCTAAGAAAGCTAAGAAAACTAAGAACGCAAATAAGAGGGGTGCGATCTCTTTGGCAGACTTTCATCACTGATTAAACTTTTTGATTTTAGGTAATATTCTGGATATTGTTGTGCTTGGAGTTTCTGTCACCCAAATCCTTCTCAACTTTATTAACTTTGTGATGGTTCAGCAGGTTCTAGACACCCTGCTCCAGCTCCCTTACGAGTATGCAGACTTCTCCCAGCTGAGTAACCAAGTGAAGGCTCTGACCTACCTCTCCGGGTTCAACGTGTTCGTCGCCTGGATCAAGGTTTTCAAGTATCTCTCATTCAACAAGACAATGAATCAGCTCTCTGGGACCTTGTCCGCCTGCTCCAAGGATCTCTCCGGGTTTACCGTCATGTTCTTCATCATTTTCTTCTCCTTCGCAGAGCTGGGTTACTTACTGTTTGGAACTCAGGTTGTGGATTTCAGAGATCTGACGAACGCCTGTTTCACCCTTTTCAGAACCATTCTTGGAGATTTTAACTTTGTAGTGATAGAACAGGCAGACTGGATCTTTGGACCGCTCTACTTCTTGTCCTACATCTTCTTTGTCTTCTTCGTTTTGCTCAACGTGTTCCTTGCCATCATCAACGACACCTACGGGGAGGTGAAGGCGGATATTAAGAGCCGTAAACCTGCTTTCCAGATGGGAGATTTCTTTATGGTTGGGATGAATAATATGAAGAACAAGGCCGGGATACGGGACCGAAAGTTAGATGTTGAGAACGCTGTAAAGAGAGCTGCCGAGGATGACGGGTTTGTTACATATCAGGAGCTCAGGGAGAACCTGAAGCACAGTAACTTCTCCGACCTTGAGGTTGATCTGTTCTTTGATATATTCAAGGAGGATCCTCAGATGGCAGGAATTCTTATTGGTAATATTTACATATGAATTTTCTAAATTCCTGAATAAAATTCTGCTGAACAGTAAAATTTTGTATTTGAGAAGAATTTTTATTTAAATTCAGTTTTAGAAATTTTCTTCAAACTTGTTGATTATTTTTCTAATTAATGAAACCATGCATGGTTCAAAGAGTTTATAAAATAATTTATTCTTCACATGATATGAACTATTTCTATATGCAGATGAGGATGAGAAGCGCGAGCAGGAGCTTGAGGAGGAACGTATTCTTAAGCTAGAAGGACTACTGGATGATGAGGATGAACAGGACGGAGATAATCAGAACTCACGTCCTATGTCAGGTATTGGAGAGCTAAAATGTCCTTAAGATCTGTTGTGTTTACGTCCTATACTAAGTACTGGAGTGTTTACGTCCTAATTTCAGGAACTTATTTCAGGAAATTTCATGAACAGGTATTTACGTCTTATGTTGAGTACTATAGTATTTACGTTCTATATTGGGTACTGAAATCTTACCGTCCTTTATGAAGTAGTGGAGTATTTGCGTCCTTTGTTGGGTACTGTACTATCTTAGGCACTGGAGAATTTACGCTCTATGTAAGGTAGCGGAGTATTTACGTCCTCTGTTAGGTACAGAAGTATTACCGTCCTATGTAAGGTATTGGATTATTTACGTTTTATGTTAGGTATACTGGACTATTTACGTCCTAAGTTAAGTAATGGAGTATTCACGTTCTGTGTGTAAGGTGCCGGAGTATTTACGTCCTATGTTAGGTACTGTAGTATTACCGTCCTATGTTGGGTACTGGAGTATGTACGTACAAAGTTAGGTGCTGGAGTTTACGTTCTGTGTAAGGTACCGTAGTATTTATACTGCCAATGTCAGGTTCTGGAGTATTTACGAGTATATACTTCCTATTTTAGGTAATAATGGAGCATTTACGTCCTATGTTAGGTCCTGGAGTATTTACGTCCTATGTTAAGTCCTAGAGTATTTGCGTCCTATGTTGGTATTGTTTACATTTCAAACAAAATCCAAGAAAACATTCAAAGAACAGAAGATGCAAGTTAGATTAGATATGTGAAAATAAAATTTACTGCATCTGTTAAAAATGGTCGGACTAGTAGATCTTTAATAATAAAATCTGGTAAAGAAATTTAGTCTTTGCCTCAAACTCAAATTTTTGAATCCATATATCTTTGGAACCTAATAGTGTAAACCTTAAATATCGAAAACTCAGATTAATTAATTCAATAAAATTCATAGTTTAAAATATCTAGGGCATAGGAAATTGTGTTGCAAAGCTCAGAAATTAGAGTTTGTGGCAAAAATTCAATTTCTTTAGGAAAACATGCTCGACAGAGTAGATCTGCAAGGATTAAGGCAGCAAAGTTTGGAGAAGAGCCATTACCTGCTAACAGGTAATACATATACTTTATAATAGATAGTTTACCGTATTTATTATACCCAAGATAACAACATTTCCCCCACTTGATTGGTTCAGTTATATACACTTTTATTTACACAAACTTAAGATTAGATTAATCTTGAAATTAAGAAGAAGAAGAGAAGATTAAGCATTGATCTCGATATATATTCACAATTCTGAAGTTTTCAGCTCTGGTCTACAACCAATTCATACTCCGTAGGTTCTATGAGCTTCAGGAGAGAATGGCAAGAATGGAGGCGACTGTTGGACCAATCATGATCAACCTGGATACTCTACTAGAAAGGTCTGATTATCAAACATTATGCTAAAATAGTTATTAAACCCTCTTCTTTGTTTGGTTGTTTGGAAAAGAAAACCTCTAGAGCCCTCTTTTTTCCTGTTGCTATGTTATTTTTCCTATTATACTGTGTTCTTTTCCTGTTGCTATGTTATTTTTCCTTTTACTGTGTTCTTTTCCTGTAACTATGTTATTTTTCCCGTTACTGTTTTCTTTTCCTGTTACTATGCTATTTTTCCCGTTACTGTTTTCTTTTCCTGTTACCATGTTATTTTTTCTATTACTGTGTTCTTTTCCTGTTGCTATGTTATTTTTCCTTTTACTGTGTTCTTTTCCTGTAACTATGTTATTTTTCCAGTTACTGTTTTCTTTTCCTGTTACCATGTTATTTTTCCCGTTACTGTGTTCTTTTTCTGTTACTTTGCTATTTTTCCTGTTCTTTTTCCTATTATGTTGTTTTTCCTGTACTAATTTCGTTTACCTGTTACTCGGTTTTTTTCCCGTTCTCGTGGTAATTTTCTTCATGGTCTTACACTGCTCTTTTTCCTGTTACTATGTTAAAAAGATGATATTTTAAACTTTTAAGGTTGTCATATGTAGGTAATTCTGTATATTCTAAGTTAATTAATTTTCCCGGTTTATTTATTTCTTTTCTCCCGGAACCCCAGACCTGATGCAGTGTTCAGAACATGGCTCTCATTTTTTTACAAAACATTTTCCAACTTAACAGTTCTAATGATATTATCTAAAGGTTGGATGATATGAAAAAGTCTGAGATGAGGAAGAGGAGAAACTAAATCTCGGAGTATCTATATTCGTCCTTACTCAGGCCATGGAATATAAATACAGAGATGTAATTTGATTAGATGCATTTTTTGTAACTAATCTACTAAAAAACAAGAAAAAATTTAGTTATGCATATCTACACGTTTTCTGTATCTTGTTGTATAAAAAAGAAAAAAAATTGATTAAAATATTTGTTCTTAAAGGGCCAGGATTTAAAATAGAAATAGTTTAAGGGTTTTCAAGAAGCGTTATAGAGTTTAAAAAAAGATTTCCTTTAAATTCTAAGAGAATAAAAAAGAACGAGGTTAACTATGCCTGCAATGGTTTTAAAAAGGATTTATTGATAAAACTTGTTTCTGGAGGTTTAGTTTGAATATCGAACAAATGCAGGATTGAAAAGGTTCCTTGAGGAAGTAAAAAATGTAAACATAGAAAATAGAAGTTTAATGAGTTCAAATAGCAATGAAGGAAAAACGTGGTAATGGGTTAAGGCGTATCTTGTGTCTCATGTCCTAGTTGAAATATATCAAATATTTATTTTATTTTATTAATTATGTAATGTATCAAAATCATGTGATTAACTCTAAATTTAGAATCGAGTAACATTTGCTTCTTTATTTTATTTTTAATTATTTTAAAAAATGTAATATGTTTGTTGACTACTAACCCCTTTTTCATGGGATAGTTATATCTGAAATAAATATCTTTCCTGAGTTTTGAATTTGAAGACAAACCACGTGTTTCTGGCTTGAATGCATTATGGAGAATCACCATTTTGGAAATAGAAATGTAAATAAAATATTTGGATCTGATTCTGAATAATTTTCTGTTCTCTTAGTCCTGTTTAATGTTTATGTAGTTCCTGTTCTTTTAGTTCCTGTTCATGTAGTTCCTGTTCAATGTAGTTTCTGTTCTTCTAGTTCCTGTTCTCCTAGTTCCTTTTCTTCCAGTTTGTGTTCTCCTAATTTCTGCTCTCTAGTTCCTTTTCTCCCAGTTTTTGTTCTCCTAGTTCCTGTTCTCCTAGTTCCTTTTCTCCTAGTTCATGTTCTCCTAGTTCCTTTTCTCCTAGTTCCTTTTCTCCTAGTTCCTTTTCTCCTAGTTCCTTTTCTCCTAGTTCGTGTTCTCCTAGTTCCTGTTATCCTTGTTCCTGTTCTCCTAGTTCCTGCTCTCCTAGCTCCTGTTCTTCTAGTAGTTGCTGTTCTTCTAGTTCCTGTTCTCCTAGTTTTTGTTCTCCTGGTTCCTGTTCTCCTAGTTCGTGTTCTTCTAGTTCCTTTTCTCCTAGTTCGTGTTCTCCTAGTTCCTGTTCTTCTAGTTTCTGTTCTCCTAGTTCGTGTTCTCCTAGTTCCTTTTCTCCTAGTTCCTTTTCTCCTAGTTCGTGTTCTCCTAGTTTCTGTTATCCTTGTTCCTGTTCTCCTAGTTCCTTTTCTCCTATTTCATGTTTTCCTAGCTCCTGTTCTAGTTCCTGTTCTTCTAGTTCCTGTTCTCCTAGTTTTTGTTCTCCAAGTTCCTGTTCTCCTAGTTCGTGTTCTCCTAGTTCCTTTTCTCCTAGTTCGTGTTCTCCTAGTTTCTGTTCTCCTAGTTTTTGTTCTCCTAACTCCTTTTCTCCTAGTTTTTGTTTTCCTAGTTCCTGTTCATATCGTAAATTGTGAGGCCATTCCCTTAGATGTTATTGTGTCAGTTATAAATAGTTTGAGGAGAAGGATCAAGGGTTACAAACTGCTCACGTGCAGTAGACTTTATTTTTCTTTAATTTCCATGATGTATAATCTATATTTCAGATCTAATGGAAATATACTGCATCCGAATAAATAACATATTGAAACAAACAGGGAGCTTATAGTAGTCAGGGCGCCATTTTTCATTTTAGTAGTATTGGCAGACTTATTTTTTCCACTTCTTCTATATTGACGGTTATATAAAGAATTTTAGATCATCCAAATCCCCCTCTCCATGATTGACATAGCTGAGGTTAAAAAAACACCTCCCCTACCCTACCCTCACCCCTCCCCTAACAAAAAGATAAGGATCCTAGGTACAAGGTTTAATAAATGCCCTGTTTCTAGGGAATTGTTTATTCGTCAATTTTAATATCAGTTTTCTTTCAATAGACCTTATTCTTACCTCACTACCCCTCATCCTTACATCACTTCCCCTCATCCTTACCTCACTACCCCTCATTCTTACCTCACTACCCCTCATCCTTACCTCACTACTCACTACCCTTCATCCTTACCTCACTACCCCTCATCCTTACCTCACTACTCACTACCCCTCATCCTTACATCACTACCACTCATTCTTACCATACTACCCCGCATCCTTACATCACTACCCGTCATCCTTACCTCACTACCCCTCATTCTTACCTTACTATCCTTACCTCACTACCCCTCATCCTTACATCACTATCCCTCATTCTTAACTCAATACTCCTCATCCTTACCTCACTTCCCATCATCCTTACCTCACTACCCCTCATCCTTACATCACTATCCCTCAATCTTACCTCACTACTCCTCATCCATACAGCTCACTACCCCTCAATCCTTACATCACTATCCCTCAATCTTACCTCACTATTCCTCATCCATACAGCTCACTACCCCTCATCCTTACATCACTATCCCTCAATCTTACCTCACTACTCCTCATCCATACAGCTCACTACCCCTCATCCTTACCTCAATATCTACGTATAACACTGCTATTTTGATTAGCAATGTTTTAAAGTTTTTGGAATTTTTTTTTCTCTTTATCGAGAAGGTTCAAGTCTTTTTAGATTTAATTCTGTTCCGAGCTTTAGCGAGGGATAAAATATAATCTACTAAGACAAGAACCTTCGAGATAAACAGAAAATAAATTCCAAAAAATGTTTTGCATGTCTTGCCAAAATATTAGTGTTTTAGGTAATTTTATGAAACGTTTGTGTACTTGTCTTATTTCAATGGCTATTTCTAGATCAAATAAGCTTTGAAACAGAGCAGAAGTCAAAATAAAAGTTGATTACAATTTTATTTTCATTCAATTGAGATAAATATTTTGGAAATGTCCTAAACTTTTTGGAGAAATTCCGGTAAGTTAGCACGATGACTACTATATAGCACGTTCATTATGAAATTCCCGGTGAAGTGAGTAATAATGATAAAGTATATAATATTTTTGTTTAAAAAAATAGAAAAGTTAGAACCAACGAGGTTATAGTGTATAGAGTGATGTGTAGGCTAATCCTTTACTATAATTGTAAAGGCCATCAACTATACCTAGAGCGTACTGCATATTTGTTTATTATAAGAAGATTCTGGTCTAACCTATAGTATATCAGTATTAGTAAACAGTTGTAAGTGTACAGTACAGCTAACTGAGCACACAAGTAGGAAACTATCATCCCCCTGGTTAGAAATTTGTCCAGGGGCTTAATTTTTTCTTTCTTTCCAGGGGGGGGGGGGGTTCAGCACCCATTGGGGTCTGAAAACCCCTTGAAATCCATAGATTTCCCTAGCCCCCTCTCTGAATACGCCTCTGCTGAAAGGTTCATATTATTTTTTTTGATACGCCCTTTGCCATCTTCGAACATTTTTGGAATTCCGTTGTTTACAAAGAAACTTTGAATTTCTATAAAAATTTACGTCATGTTATACAAGAGGGGAGGAAGAAAGCGTAATTTATGGGTTCAAAAAAAATTTTGTTGTTGCAATTTTTGCAATTTTCAGAGCTAGAAATTGAATTTATTTCTTCGTTTCTTTCATTTTTCATCACTAATTAGTTTTTTTTACAAATCATATTATTTGGATTGATAAGACTCAAAAGAATATTAACATCAGCTGCAATTGTAGTTTTATGAAGCACTATTTTTTATATTTATTTTGCGTTTTTTATCGTTCATATTCTTGATAAAATCTGCGATGTGGGGCTGATTTCACCCCAAAATAAAAAAATTACAGTTTTCTTGTACTTCTCTTTGTATACAAAAAATCTATGTTGAATACGGGTAAAAACGTGTTTATAACTTATTCAAATGATATATGAATGTGCTCTGGATCAGGATTGAACTGGATAAGGAATAAAGATATAAATATGTCCCAACAGGATCCTCTCCGACACAGTGTTCTCCGGGTTGTCATCATGATCAGAGCTGTCTCCTCCTAGCGAAAACTTGCATTTTACCATCATTCATTCTGAAACCATTTCTTGTCATCCATTCTGAAATATTACTAAGATATAAATTATAAATACATTCTGTAAATCATAAATCATTCATTAACCATGTCTCCGAAACAAGAAGAATCTAACCCTCTCATGGTTCAATTCCTCTGCGAGACCGAAGTCAACTATAAACCCAGTGATCTAGCCATTGATCAATCTGAGCTCTACTTCTCCGCGGAGGAATCCCAACCAGGGAGGAATACAGAAGTAAAGAGGAACAGTCGATGGTGCTGGGTTGTACTTGTAGCTGGATTTCTAACCCTAAGCGTCCTGGATGGAGTAGGATACAGTTTTGGAGTCCTATTGGATCCTCTAGTAGCAGAACTAGGAGTAGGACGAGGAGGGATATCTATAGTTGGGAGCCTCCAAACCGGAGTATACTCCATCTCAGGACTTATTGCCTCCAAGGCTACCTCCAGGTACTTTTAACTACAAGAGATATTCAAACCAGTATTTGTTTTATAATATCTTATTTCTAACATTTATCTTGTTAAGGTATGGAACAAGAAAAGTTTGCAGTTTCGGAAATATTATTGCAGCTCTGGGATTAATTCTATCAAGTTTCTCTTGGGATTTACCCTCTCTGCTCCTCACCTACTCTGTTATCACCGGAGTAGGGTTTGGGTTCATGTATATACCAGCCATAGTTGCAGTAGCCGAGCATTTTACAGAACGGAGATCTTTAGCCCTCGGTAAGTTTTCCATCCATCAAGATTTTTATTTAACTTTTAAAATTCAAACTTATCATAATCTGTATTCAGGTATTTGTGTTTGTGGAACTGGAATCGGAACCTTTGTAGTTGCTCCTCTAGAGGCAGTTATACTCAGCAGTATGGGATGGAGATGGACCTTAGTTGTATTGAGTGGGATGTGTATCATCTGCTTGGCTTGCTCTGCTACAATGAGTCCTGTCCAGAACGAGGATGAGGAGGACGGTTCAACCCCGATATTCTATCCTGGAACTAAAAATAGATCTCTTCTCCAGCAGGTTGGATGCTGTATACTTGGAGAAGAATTGTTTTATCATCCGAACCTTCCAACTTTCCTCATCGTAGCTTTAGCTGATGTGCTAGGTAAATCAGCCAAACCCTTTCTAGATCTAATTGGAGCATAAAGTAATATCGTAATTCACGACAAAGCGCGGGTAAATGGTTGGACTAACTATGCCTCCCCGGGCAACGCTGGGTTCCCAAGCTAGTAATTAAATGATTTTGTTTAGGAACTCTAGCCTTGTTTGTTCCGTTTACTTATCTCCCGGAGCTAGCGGAGTCAACAGGAATTCTCCCAACCCAGGCAGCCTTCCTCATCTCAGCTATAGGAATTGCAAGCAGTGTGGGACGTATTCTCTCTGGATGGATTGACGATCAACCATGGAGTAATCCCATCCTACTCACTGGTCTAGTTATACTTGGAGCTGCTTTCCAACCTGTCTTCTTGACTTGGTAAATCATTTTTTCAATTATCCTTAATTAAAAGTTTTTTTTAATTGAAAGAAATTTTCTATCTTGACCCGGACCAATTTGTTTTATCCTCCAGGTGCTCTGGGTACGCTTCGTTCCTAGTGTTCTCCTGCTTGTACGGATTATTTACCGGAGTCTGGATTGCTGCCTGTTCTCCAATTCTGCTTAGTATTCTCAGTCTTCATCTCCTTCCACCAGCTTTCGGTCTTATGACCGCCATCCAGGTAATTATCATCCAACCCACTCAAACTGGAAAAATTTGTTTTTTTTAAGCATAGAACAATAAATTATTTGGTCACATATTAGAAATGCAAAACATATAATTGTTCTTCTCCATATCTTTCTAACCAGAGAAGTTATGTTTGAAAACATATAAAATTTTAGTTGTTTGTTCAATTTAATTTAGTTTAACCTGATCTATTATAATGCAAATTGAAGACGGATATGAAAAGAAATGCTTTTTATTAATGTTGTGTGCCTAGCGGCGAAAATATTTCATTAAAAAGAATCCTTTCTTTTTGTTTCTTTTATAAATTTCAAAAGTCTTTATATTTTGCAGATTTTAAAGGATATCTTGGTTCATTATTAAATATTTATCGGAAAGTAGTCTGTCGAGAAAGCGTCTGTGAACTGATTTAATCAATTATTATTATTAACTATTTGATAAATAATTGAAATTATTTATATGAAATTTTTTTATATCGTTACTTGAAAAAAACGCTTTATATTTATTTTCTAAATATTAAGGGATTGGCGGCGCTGCTAGGATCTCCTATTGCTGGATTAGCTGTGGACTATTTTCAATCTTCTAGGATTGCTCTGCTCCTCTCTACAGTGTGTCTCAGCTGTTCAACCTCAGTTTTCATGCTAGCATATATCCAGGACCGGAGAACTAAACATAGGATGAGATACCAAGAGATCCTCTGATTTAAACTATTAATCTTTATTTCAGATTTATCTTATTGACAGATCTCATGCAATTCAAACTGCCATTTAAAGGGACTGTAAACGTAATTTTAAGTGACCTTGCATGCAAAGAAGGTTATAACAGATTCACAACGGTACACGTTAAACCTTTGACGGATTATGGATGAAGGAGAATGTCTAAGTTCTCTCAATAAAAAGTCGTATTATCTGCGTTTTTGCGGATAATTCTTAACTGGCTGACGTACATGGAAGTTTTTTATGTAATTTTCTTATTCCAATATCACTTTTTAATACCGCAAAAATTTTTTTTTCTTTAAATTACGATTACAATCCCTTTAAACTTACACATCACGCATAGTATACACGAACTATAGACAGCTGTCGATTGTCAATTTTTATAAAATTTACGATTATAAAATAAAATTGTATATAATTAATCATAAACTAGCAGCTGAAGCTATTGTTGCTGTTGAGGTTTTTCCATTTCCTTTCTACGTAATGTACATTAGATTTTTCATCTGAAACTTTATTCCGTTTATTACAAATGGATAGGTGCAGTGATAGAATTGAGTTTCTTGTATTACCAAATGATGTTTTTAACTAAAACTTGGATGTTTGCTATAATTATATTTCTTATTTTATTTAAAATAATTTTCCTATTCCAATTCAAACTTCGCTTAAATTGAAACGCCTGGTTTATTTTAGATCAACGTTTAACCCGTTATTATCTAATGCGACTTGATATGGAAACTATGGTTCGTTTCTTACAATTGAAATATTCAATTTCAATCCATTGGAACCTCTCTTATTTCTTCGTATTTACAAGAAAATTTTAAAACCCGTTTATTGGAAATAAAAGATTTGATAAAACTAAAATTAGGGGATGCTTCATTTTTGTGTTTCATTTGCAACAATTTAAAATTTGCTTTGTTCCTTTAAAACAAGGCCTCTTTAACTATTTTTAACTTAAATACTTCATTTTAATTAAATTTTACAATATTTTTCAATTTCAATATGGAAACATTTTGAGACTTCTATATTTCTTGTTTTTCGTTCTTTCTTCTTGATCTTCCATTCCTTGTCCATCATTCAATCATACTTTGGCTAATTTTGAAAGGCCTCGTTAACTATAATCGAAAGGTCTTAGTTTATTTAAATTCATTAGAAATTTTTTTTAAAAATTGAACTTCAGCGTATTGTATTCCGATTGGATGTTTGCTTTAATTAAAGTTCTTTTTTAATTTTTACCCCAAGTTCTTTATTCCTATTGAAGCTTTGCTTCCTTAGCTTCAATTGAACCTTTTATTCGTTTATCAAAAGTAAAAAAGTTTATTCCAATCTACTGGAACTTTCCTGGTTTTTTTCAATGAAACTTTGGTCTTATCTATTCAGTACTATATTAGCTTTGTTTCCTTTCATTGGATTTCTTTGTTTATTCTAACTAGGGATCCTAACGTTTTCATTTTTTTGAAAAACGATCTTTTCGTTATGAAAACGACGACGAAAAATCGAAAACAAAACAATCGTTTTTAAAAATGACTGTTTTTCAAAACAATCGTTTTTATAAAAATCATCGTTTCGTTAAAGATCGTTAACGACGACCCTTCGTTTTTAAGAAAATATAAAGAAGTTTTAGCTCCCCTGCAACTAGGGTTTCCAACGTAATAGATTATTCTCTTACGCGTAATTACGTGCATTTCGTTCATTTCGTGTAATTTCGCAGGATTACGCGTAATTGGGGAAATATTCATTTCGCGAAATTACGGCGTAATTTCTACAACGTAATTTCGCAAAATTTCGTAATGATTACGCGTAATAAGCGAAACTATAATTACGCATAATTACGGCCTAATTTCGCGTAATTTCTACGAGGTAATTTCGCGAAATTTTGTATTGCGCGTAATTAGCAAAACTTCAATTTCTACAAAGTAATTTTGCGAAATTTTGCAATAATTACGTCTATGAAATTTTGAAGTTTTAACTTTTAATTTAAATAAACCAACTAACTTACAAGGAAAATAATGTCACGCAAGTTGAATCAGAAATTTCAGCCAATACTATGTTGATGTAATTTTCACGTTCGAAAACTAAGAAGTTTAACAAAGGGCCAACAACATAATCTATAAATTTTCAATTTTCATCTTTAGAAAAAATTTTAAAAATAAAAGTTCTTTTTTAAGGGTTTGACGTCGAAAAAAGGAAATTTTCAGTTGTTGCATGCAGATTTGGCTGTGTTCAATTAAATTCTTTTTCTTTTCTTGTGTTTTTAAAAACATTTACACTTTCAACAGCTGTAAAATTAACGTATGAGTCAGTCAATTCTTTTCATGTGTGCGCGGAGCGCCAAAGAAAATTTGTTAAGTACCTTGTTCAATTACAGATATAATTACAAGAAATAATCAGTTTTATTATTATATTATCAAAATACATATATAATTTTAATCACCTACATTGAAAAAGTACAGATAATGTTACGTTTTCTCCTGAAGTTATTGAATATATGATTAATCATTCTAACCAACATTTATAATCTTATTTCCTTTTCGATTTTATAGAAGTTCGTTTAAAGAAGATAAACAGGTTATCAAATATTATAATCAGTTAGAAGTTTGCCAGAATATTCTCTAGATTTGGAACTGAGTTTTTGCCACAAACTCAAATATTCTAATCCCTAAATCTTTGCACCGAGTGGTGGAAACCTTTGATATTTCAAACTTAGAATATTTCACCAAAATAATTCAAAGTTTGAAGTATCTGCACATTTGAATTATTTTCGTGCAAATTTTAAAGATATTCAATTTTAAAATCAACCTTTTTTAAAAACAAATTCTAGGGGGGGATATTTACCCCAGGATTCTAGGGGGGGGTAATTACCCCCAGGATTCTAGGAGGTGGGGGTACATAACCCCAATAACCCGCCTATTTTACGCCACTGATATTTCAACCTACTTTCTCAAGTTTACCTTCCTTGTTTGAAAAATATGTCAATAAAATCATCAAAATATTTTTGACATGGTTGTAGCGGGCATATCCTTACACATACTTTCCCGCTATAATTATTTCTGAGAATTAAAATGTACTTTATTTATTACGAAATTGTTTCGTATTACGTAATTTTGCGTAATTACGCCTTAATTACGCGAAACTAGTTTTTCTTTCGTAAACGTAATAAATGCGTAATTACGCGTAATGTTGCTGCGTAAGTAACAAGTAACGTAATTACGACTGGAAACCCTACCCACAACTTTTTAACTTCATGTAAGACGACATTCTATAAAGTTGCATGTAATTTTTTTTTAAAAACTACCGTTTTTATAAAGTTCGTCGTTTCGTTAACGATCGTTAACATAATTGTCAATAAATTTTTTTTTTTCAAAAACGATTGTTTTTTCAAAAGCGATCGTCTTTAAAAAAAACAATCGTATAAAAAACGATCGTTTTCAAAAACGATCGTTATTCGTTTTTTAAAAGTTCAAAACGAGTGGATCGTTTTTAAAAACGAAACAAATAACGATCGTTTTCATAAATAATTAACATCCCTAATTCTAACTGAAGCTTTTGCGCATTATTTCAAATTGTATCTTTGATTTCTTATACTAATTGGTACTACGTCTTTACATTTTTAATTTTGGTTGAAATTCTTCGTTTACTTACATTTTGACTTTGTGGTACTTAGATTTGAAAAAAAGTTATAAAACTGAAAATACCTTGGACCTTGGTCCCATTTTGATATTTTAACATCTTAATGAGATCAAAATTGTTCAGTTATATCATAAACATAATTTAGCATTATCTTATAATAACTTATTTTTTCGGCGAGGTTTATTGTTAAGATATAAATAAGAAAAAGTAACAATAATGAAGGACAACCTTGAGATACTTGTTACTAGACTCTATTTTTGTATTTCCAAATTTCCTATTTAAGTAAAGAATAATGTAAAATTATTTTAAGTTTCTACGCTTTTAAAATGTTTTTTTATTTGGAGGTACAATGTACAATATACACTGTAGAGGGTGAATAATAATAATAATTTGTTGTTTTCGGAAAAATAATGAAGTGGTCAGCTGGGACAATGAAGTGGTCAGCTGGGACAATGAAGTGGTCAGCTGGGATAATGAAGTGGTCAGCTGGGATAATGAAGTGGTCAGCTGGGACAAATGAAGTGGTCAGCTGGGATAATGAAGTGGTCATCCGGGAAAATAAAGTGGTATCCAGACAATTCAGCCAGGACAAGAAAGTCGTCAGCTGGGGCAATAAAGTGGCGAGCCATAACAATATAGATTAGATGCCCTTCCCTACAATAAGGATGGCAGCCGGGACAATACAGATGTCAGTCGGTACATGAATAATGTGCAAAGCCGGGAAAATCAAATGTACAGACAGGACAATACAAATGATGTCACCCGGGACAATAAATTGGTCAACCAGGACAATAAAGTGGTCAACAAGGGAATAAAGTGGTCAGCCAGGACGATGAATCTTGGATGAACAAGTGTCTTGAAATAAGTTGAAAGTATTTGTTTCGAATTAAACTTTCTCAATATTTATATATATTATATATACCCTTAAACTAATTTGAAGTTATTTCACGCTCAAAATATATTGGTATTTATTGGCAGAAATATATATAATTACGATATAAATAATCATAACTATAGTGATACATGAAGACATACATAAATCATATATCTCGTGTACATACTATGTATATGTACATACTATGTATATGTACATCAAACATGTAAATTTAAATCTGACATTTTAGGTTAGAAATAAGCATATTATAGAAATTTTAGTTTGAACAGATTCAAAGACTATTGATTGAAAATAAACATATTTAAGAGATGTTTGTTTTAAAATCAGCATATTTAAGAAACTAAACTTAGAAAATAAACATATTTAAGAGATGTTGGTTCTAAAATAAGCATATTTAAGAGACTAAACTTAGAAAATAAACATATTTAAGAGATGTAGGTTCTAATATAAACATATTTAAGAAACTAAACTTAGTAAATAAACATATATATACAAAAAGATATTTTGGTTTAAAAACAAGCGTATTAGAAGGATATTGATTAAAAAACATATTGAAAAGATATTGGATTGAAAACAAACATATTTTAGAGATATTAGTTTGAAAAAAACATATTGAAAAAATATTGGTTTGAAGACAAAAGTATTAAAGGGATATTGATTAGAAAAACATATAGAAAATATATTAGTTTGAAAACAACCACATCTAAGAGATAGTTTGAAAACAAACGAATTTAAGAGATGTTGGCTTGAAAACAAAGATGTTTATGAGATATTGGTTTGAAAACAAAGATATTTAAGAAATATTGGTTTGAAAACAAACGTATGAGATTTTGGGCTTGAAAACAAACATATTCAAGAGGCTTTGGTTTAAAAATAAGCATTTTCAAGAAATTTGGAAAAATACATATTAAGGATTTCAGTATTTTTCATTCATTTATAAACCTATACAATTTATGTTCTTTGATAAACCGTAGCTGAACCATCCTGTTTATCTCTTAATCAGATTTTCTCAGTTTTTCCTTGGATTTCCTGGAAAAAATGTAAATATGCTTCTAAACAGTAAATATATATATATTAGTATTCTATTTTGTTTTAAAGGGACCTAGAGAAAGCTAGGATAAAAGAAAGAAAGCCAGGATAAAAGATAGAAAGCTAGGATAAAAGAAAGAAAGCTAGGATAAAAGAAAGAAAGCGATAAAAGAAAGAAAGCCAGGATAAAAGATAGAAAGCTAGGATAAAAGAAAGAAAGCTAGGATAAAAGAAAGAAAGCTAGGATAAAAGAAAGAAAGCTAGGATAAAAGATAGAAAGCCAGGATAAAAGATAGAAATCTAGAAATCTAGAAAGCTAGAATGAAAGATAGAAAACTAGGATAAAAGATAGAAATCTAGGATAAAAGATAGAAAACTATGATAAAAGATAGAAATCTAGGATAAAAGATAGAAATCTAGAATAAAAGAAAGAAAACTAGGATAAAAGATAGAAATCTAGGATAAAAGATAGAAAACTAGGATAAAAGATAGAAATCTAGGATAAAAGATAAAAATCTAGGATAAAAGATAGAAATCTAAGATAAAAGATAGAAATCTAGGATAAAAGATAGAAATCTAGGATAAAAGATAAAAAGCTAGGATAAAGCTAGGTGATCGAAGAAAAGGGTGAAGCAAAGGATGAATGTAAGGATGAATGAAGCAAAGTATAAATGAAAGGATAGATTAAAGAAAGGGAGGATGAAGCAAATGAATGGATGAATGAAAGAACAGACGAATGAATGAATGGTTTAGTACCTGGAGCTAGTTTTACAGATTTTGTCCGGGGAGAACTTGAATCCTTGGTTTTCAGGACAATGACTAGAGTTCGACAGGGGTTAATAATACACAGATAAAACACTCTTTCAAAGGGACTGTACACGAAATTTTAAGTGACTCTTAAGTCTCTATTCATAGAGTGGCATGTTCGATTCTCTAAAAAGTGACCTGCGCATTTTTGTTTCAGAAACAATTGAGGAAATTGTTAGAAATATACACTTTTCAAACTAAAAAAACTTTCACATTTTTGTTCAGATAAATGTTTAAAGGGTACCTTTGCTAATCGGATATTCCACCCTTTTAAGTAATTTTAAATTACAACGAAATTATAAAACCAAAACCGAAAATAAAATTTGTCAAATCTTTAAAAAATAATATTTAGAACAACGAACAAACTGTCCCCTGGAGAATATTAGGAGTAAATTCAATTTAGAATAGAAAGTAAATTCTTTAAATAAATCATAAACTTTACATTTCAAAAGTTAAAATTTTGACTCACTGAAAGAAAGAAAATAAAATCTTATTTCAATGTAATAAAAAGTTTCCTTTATTCTAATAAAAAATGTTAAGATTAAAGAAAAAAAGAAACTAAAGGTCTACGACATTTGATATTTGTGTAAAATGGCGCTATATACAACGTTTGATCTCGATATCTATTATATTAATTTGAGAGATAAGTGTTTAATTTTAGTTATCCCTGCAGGATACGATCACCACAGGATACCCAAGAGGAATTAAATTTAAATGAACAAGATGGAGACCAATAGTAGATCCCAAGATTAACAAGATGGAGACCAATAGTAGATCTCAAGATTAACAAGATTGAGATCAATATTAGATCCCAAGATTAACAAGATGGAGATCAATAGTAGATCCCAAGATTAACAAGATGGAGATCCAATAGTAGATCTCAAGATTAACAAGATTGAGATCAATATTAGATCCCAAGATTAACAAGATGGAGATCAATAGTAGATCCCAAGATTAACAAGATGGAGATCAATAGTAGATCCCAAGATTAACAAGATGGAGATTAATAGTAGATCCCAAGATTAACAAGATGGAGATCTATAGTAGATCCCAAGACTAACAAGATGGAGATCAATAGTAGATCCCAAGATTAACAAGATGGAGATTAATAGTAGATCCCAAGACTAACAAGATGGAGATCAATAGTAGATCCCAAGATTAACAAGATGGAGATCAATAGTAGATCCCAAGATTAAAAAGATGGAGATCAATAGTAGATCCCAAGATTAAAAAGATGGAGATCAATAGTAGATCCCAAGATTAACAAGATGGAGATCAATAGTAGATCCCAAGATTAACTAGATGGAGATCAAATGTTAGATCCCAAGATTAACAAGATGGAGATCAATAGTAGAACCCAAGATAAACAGCACAAAAGTTTAAACCTCAGTTTAAAAATATAGAATATTGGAGATTAGAGCAAATAATCATTTCCTTCACATTAATCTCCCTAGAAGGGGATGATTCATTTAGCGTACCGTACCGTTTACATACTGTACAACCTGGTCTAGCTGCCTACAAGTTGGTACAGTACTTCAAATGAGCTGGAGTTTTGAGTGCCTTAACCATTTCAAAAATAAACTTTATTTGTAATTTGTTAATCCTGTTTCCTGGGGTTGTGTGCGTTATCTCCCTAAAATAATTCCAATATAAATATATATATACATTATTTTTACTCCTATTTACAATCATTATTATTAATATTTTGATTATTATTACAAATGTCGTTGTACCATGATTATTGTTAATATACTATCATTATTATTATTATTGATTTTATCATAATTATCATTATCATTAGTATTATTATCATCATTATCATTATCATTATCATTATCATTATCATTATCATTATCATTTTTCATAATTTTTTATTATTTTATTTTAATATCATTTTCCTTGTCATTATCAGTATCATTATCATTATCATTTTTATAATCATTTTCAATTGAAGGAATTGACTCTTTGCCACGAACTATGATTTTATAATCGCTAACTTCAACCCGATGTCATAGACTTTAGATATTTCAAATCATGAATTCTGTTAGATTAAATAATCTAAGTTTGAAATATCAAAGGTTCACACCTTTATGTTGCAAAAATATTGGGATTATCAAATTAGAGTATGTGGAAAAGATTTAATATCTTTACCCAAACATAATACTAAATGCTGACAAATTCTTACAAGAAAAATAGAAAAGTTTTCTGATGACTATTGAAATATTATTATTCTATTTTAAACAGAAAAATTTTATGTTTTCTTAATTTTATAAAGTATGAAGGAGGAGCAAAGAAGGAGGAAAAAACTCTACGCAATTTGTTTCTCTAATCTGGTAATCATCCTTACCGTAGCATTGCATATACTGCAAACACAGCGCATGAGTATAGGACAGGTCACCTAGAATATACAACTTAAAGAGTTAATTCAAAAATTAAATAAATCTATTTTTTTATCAATCTATTTATAAAAAAATTCAAAAGTAGAAAGACTAAAAATTTCTGCGAACGTTTATAAACAAATTTTCAGTTTTAACATTAAAACTATCTATGATATTTGATATAAGTGACAAACAAAAGCTTGGAATCATATTTGTAGCAAATTTTATTCACATATACAGATTGAGAAATCAATCTTTTATCAATCTATTTGTAAAAAAATGCCAAATTAGAAAGAAAATTGTTTTTTTTGTTGACAGTTTTATTTTCTATAATGTTTTATAACTAATACATCTAATGTTATCAAAGTAAAAACCTATGATGCATCTGTTTGCTAACATCGCGCGTCATTATTAACGAGTTTTAAAGGGAGTGTTCGCGAAAAATGAAAGACTAACTTTTAGCGCGCTTCACGCCCATCTTCCTAGTAACAATTTTAGCTTTTAAAAGCTTGCGGCGAAAAACATTCAACTCGGATCGTAAAATAATCAATTTAATTCTTAACAAATCATTCAGATATTAAAAATAATTCTAATCGATTATTTTTCGACGCATTTTTATATACTTAATATTTCATAATATTTTTGATTTTGCTTTTTTTAAATAACGTTTTGCTGGCGCTGGATTTTCGAACATTTCCGGAAAATATGAAAATGTCGTCTTTATTTTATGTCGTTATAAACAAATTTTCATTTTTAACATTAAAACGTCCTATGATATTTGATATAAGTGGACAAACAAAAGCTTGGAATCATATTTGTAGCAAATTATATTCACATTTACAGATTGAGAAATTCTCATTACTGTCTTTTCAGAGTAAATGATACCAGAGGCTCTTTTTTAAACCGGTTTGCCTTTTCTTCTTACAATACATGTACTATTTGCTATCAGTAACATTAACGATCCTAAGATATAAAAAAAATAGTTTTTCTATTAATTTCAAACACTTTAATTGCAAATATAAGTTGCTAAAAACATGATACGAGGTTTCCGCTTGCAGATTGTAAATTTTCATAGATAATTCTAGTGTATATAATTCAGTTCTGTTTATTTAGAGGCTTCTGCCTGTACAAATTTTACCTTATTGTTTTCATCTCTGATCACGTGGGAGGCGTAAACTCTACAATACATAAGTTTATGTACATAAATAATCGTCTTTTTTTGCACTGCACACTGTACACTGGTTCACTGTACACTGGTCCACTGTACACTGGTCCACTGTACACTGGTCCACTGTAAACTGGTCCACTGTACACTGGTCCACTGTACACTGGTCCACTGTATACTGGTCCACTGCACACGTTGGTACACTGTACAGCGTACATCTATGTTTCTGTTGTTCACACTTTTAGTATAATAGTACGTTTTTACTTTCATATTAACTACTTTCAAAAGTAATTAAAAGTTTGGAATTTAAAAGTATGAAATTAAATCAATATTGATATAATTTTGTGCACGTTTAACAGTTTAACCCTGAGGTATTTGGTTTTTTAGTACAACAACAAATTTAGAACAACCAGAAATATGATATTTTGATATTTTCACGTAAGAAACAAGGGACAAAAATGTTAATTAAGAGGGACCAAAGGAGTTGAGTATTTTCTACAAACTAGAATGTTCTAATTCCTATATCTTTGTAACCAAATGATATAAACCTTTGATATTTCAAACCTAGATTATTTGATTTCACAAAATTCATAATTTGAAATATTGGGTGGCGAAGAAATAGTATTAGAAAATACATTGAAGACGACTTTTGATTTTAATTTAAATTTATATTAAGCTGTTAAACAGCATGAATAAACATAAACAAAGAATTCAAGAGATGCTGTCATTTACAAAAGCTTCTCTTTGATTACTTGTAAGCTTGTTAAAAATCAAAACTAAGAAAAGTCGTCTTCATTGTATTGATACAATCGCCTACAACTTTCTTATCCCCTTAATTTAAAATATTACTTACTGAGCCGGTTCTCCAGCCTTCTTACACCAACTTTAACAAAATTTTATTAGAACCTGTAGATTAAAAAGTTTTGCTCTCTCTCTACTGAAACCAACTTTTTCTTACGTCAGTGTACAACAAATTACTGCTTTAACTATGCTTAATAATTTTTAAAGATTGAAATTAAAATTTCCTGCAGAAGGGTCCTGTGCTCCCAGTCGACTTTTCAGAAGTTCGACGGAGTGTCGACTGTTCTCTCGTTCGTCCTTCCTTTCTCAAGTCTAATGATCCTTCTCCAGGTTCGGTAGGCTCTCCAGGTTCGGTATGCTCTCCAGGTTCGGTAGGCTCTCCAGGTTCGGTATGCTCTCCAGGTCCGATCTTTTCTCTAGGTTCCATAAGAGACTGCTGATGAATGAATTGCTCCGACCTAAATAAGATCTAGCTTGTAAACATATAAAAAATAGAAAGATTCACCTCCGTCAGGCGCAACATGTAAAGTGTATATTGTAAATATAGAGACCGTATACAAGGTTGATACTTCATAACATTACTCATCAAATGAACCTGGCATCCACAATATTTAATTGGAACCAATCTTTTCTTTAAGGGACTGTACAGGAAAAATGAAAGGGGGTATAGGATGAAACCTGAGAATCTCAAGCTTTGAACGGTACATATAATACATCTATCTGATGTTCCTGTCTCGAGAAATTGACATAAAACTGTGTCAAAATTATGCGAAAACTCATATAAACCGTATAGTCCGTATTACGTCACCAGAACTTCAGCCAATGGCAGTACAGTATATACTGGTCAAAAATTATAATAGGAGCAAACCTGAGATTCTCAGGCTCCTGTGGGATATAGTCGTTTTCAGATTGGTTGTGTATTTACTGAATATGATCTGTTTAAGCCTACTTTTTTATACAAAATTGTATATATATATGAGTTTTCGTATAGTTCTGACACAGTTTTATGTCAATTTCTCTAGACAGGAACATATACAAAGAGTACATTAAAAATATCAATGTGAAAATGAGAAATTAGAATTAATTTAACATTATTTGTAAAAATGAGAATTTTACTTCAAAATAGAATTATACGTAACAGTGAGAATTTCAAACAAAATAAAATTGTTCTGTAAGGACGATAATAAAAAACAAAACATAAAAAGTTCTTCATAAACATTAAGTCATCTTCATACTATAGTTCTTAAAACTGGTTTTCAAGTAAAATTACAAATGTTTTTGGAAAAGTAAAAAAAGATTTGATTTTAGGGAAAATCAATTCCTAATTGTGTCATGCCTAGATCTAGTTCAGCTTGAACTAGATCTAGTTCAGCTTGAACTAGAGCACAAGAGAAGTGATTGAAAACTTGAACTAGAGCACAAGAGAAGTGATTGAAAACTTGAACTAGAGCACAAGAGAAGTGATTGAAAACTTGAACTAGAGCACAAGAGAAGTGATTGAAAACTTGAACTAGAGCACAAGAGAAGTGATTGAAAACTTGAACTACGTTTACTAGGTTCAATTCAGCTGGTCCAGCTATTCATAAAATCTGGTCCCTGGGTACGTTATGTTGAATTAATTTGTCTAAACACAAGAAATTTCATCATACAAACAGATTAAAACATTCAAACAGAATTCTACGATGATTTCATAGATTCCATGATCATTATTTCAATTAAAGCACTGTCTGGTTCTCATGAGACCCTGTTTGTGTTTGCTACAATAATCAATTCTAAATGGAAACTTCAAAATAAAACTATACATTTTTGCTGGAATCTCCAACATTACAAAGGAATTAAGGTTTTCTAATTTCTTTATCTTTGCAATCCAATGGTTGCAATCCAATGGTTGCAATCCAATGGTTGCAATCCAATGGTTGCAACCCTATGGTTGCAATCCAATGGTTGCAATTCGATGGTTGCAAAGTTGAAAAGATTAGTAAATTTAAGTTTGTGGTAAAGACTCAATTCCGTTGTATTTCCCTAATATTTTGTAATTTTTCTGAGATTATATATTCTTTTGAGGAAACCCCCAGCGGTAGCGGTTAAACGAACAGTTTTGAAAAATCAATGAAAATGTCTATTTTTATAAATTTATGTCTCCAACCAATAGAAACACAAATACTTCTTTGTTTCAACCGCTGGAATTTCAAATTTGTTGTACAACTGGTTTACCTTCTACCCCTGCAAAGTGCAAGTTTTTTTTGCTTTTTTTGTCTTCTAAAATCACATTTTCATGGCAAACAAATATACGCAAAAACGTGAAATCTAGAAAGAATATTATTTTAGAGGTTGAATAACTTTTTTTATCGTCACTATAGTTTCAGTAGAATGAAATATTTCCATTTACTGATAGCGCCGATTGAAGGATTCATATCTCTAATTGGATAATGAGAATGATAGAAAGATAGATGTTACAGCCATACTATTTCTATTGGTTCATAGTAGACAACTAAACCCTGATTGGATCAGGCACTAATGGACTCGGCATACAGGAGTGCATGAGAAAGAAAGAAATTGCATTTCTTAATCTAAATCTTCGTCGTAGAGTCTTGACTAGATCTCAACCGCTCGTTAAACCGCTACTGCTGAGTTTTTTTCTCCAAAGTATATATCAAAGAAACCATGTTGAGGTCTGTCAACACATCTACTGGCCTACCTGAATACAAGGGTATCCGGAGTAAAAGGAATATGATCTGGATCTCCGAGATAACTGCGAACCTAAACAAACCTTACGTAAAGGAATTGAGTTCTTACCGCAAACTCAAATATTCTAATTCCTATATATTTGCAACCTAATGGTGTAAACCTTTTTAATTTCAAACTTGGCCTATTTGATCTAAAAGGCTTTGTAGTTGGCAATACAAAAGGTCTACGACATCGTATTATAAAGATGTGGGGATTAGAAAATAAGAATTTGCGACAAAAACTCAGTCACTTTTAATCAATTCTTATCTAATGTTATTTTTATCAAATATGGTATTAAATTTTAAAAAAAATAAACTACTGTTTGTTTTAATTCTTGGGAAGGGAATTAAGAATACAGAAAACTAAAGTTATTTCTAACTAAAACATTTTTATACAGAGGAGTTTATCTTATTTTTACTTTTTATCTATTTTTAACATTACATTTTTTATTGCCGTTGAAAATTTATACAATTACAGTTGGTATGCTAAAGGACGAGATATAAGAATAAGGAGCTAAGAAGTTCTGATTTTATGTGAATGTTCACTTATTTGTCAATGCATGTTTTAAGCAAATATTGTCGATACCATAATATTATTGTAAACATTGCAACGTTGGCTAACATAAACACATTTTGGTGGGTATTCTATCTAGAGAATAAAAGTATTCTATTTAGAGAATAAAAGTATTCTATCGAGAGAATAAAAGTATTCTATCTAGAGAATAAAAGTATTCTATCTAGAGAATAAAAGTATTTGATCTAGAATAAAAGTATCCACTCTAGGAAAAAAATATGCCATAGTGAAAAAATATTCAATCTAGAATAAAAATATTCAATCTAGAATACGAATGTTTCACCTAGAATAAAAATATTCAATCTAGAATAAAAAGATAAATCAAGAAAAGAAATATTTAATCAAGAATAAAAGTTTTCCTATAGATGAAAAGTTTTTCATATAGAATACAAGTTTTCCATCTAGAATAAAAATATTCCATCTGGAATAAAAAGATATAATCAAAAAAAATTTATTATGTGGATAAAAATTTTCAATCTAGATTAAACATATTCATTACATCTAGAAAACAAATATTCGATGCAGGATAAAAATATTCCATCAAGAATAAATGTATTCAATCTAGAATAAAAGTTTTCATATATAAGAGTAAAAGTATTCTATTTAGAATAAAAGTACTTTATTCTATCTTGAATAATATGAATACTGTACCCTTGAAGAAAGTGAGTTATATCTCCGTCTTCTCTCTAAATCTCTCCTAATAATATTTAGAATAGATTTTATTAAGGAATGATAAATAAATCCACCCTGGCGCCCGCCAATATAAAGTTTAGATGTCCACTCCACTTCTTAAAATAAAACCTCGTTCATAATTTAAAAATATACAAATCAAAAATTTAAATTTAAAAAAAAAATACAGGAATGGCGACATCGACAAAAAATGTCTTTTATCCTTTTATTATTTAAAAAAAATGAATTCAATTAGATGCACTAGTCTTAGTTTGAAATATCAAAGGTTTCCATGATTTGATTGCAAAGGTAAAGGGACTAGAAATATCAAAGGTTTCCATGATTTGATTGCAAAGGTAAAGGGACTAGAAATATCAAAGGTTTCCATGATTTGATTGCAAAGGTAAAGGGACTAGAAATTTATTTTCCAAACTATACACTCTTGGTAGGAATGATTGTACTAAATGCCGTACTCTTAAAAGTTCATCCCCCAAACTGTATCAGTTTGGGGGTATTTAAGATGTGGGTATTTATTTGATTAGCGAGGGTAGATAACGCAGTTAAGCTATCTCCCACACATGTTTAAAGGTTGAATGTATGTATTAAAAGGGTTTAAGCTAACCCTACTACCTATTCATTTGAAACGCAATTCAAATGAATAATGGGTTTTTACGTAGAAGTTTACAAACATAGATAATTATTAATGTACAATGTACTGAAAGTTTACAGAATATCATGTGACCTGATATTTATTACATTATACTAGTAATATGTAATATAGCAATAATAATTCCTCTTCGATATCTATTAGTTGTTATACCCTGCAGGACTAATTTTAATTAGGAATAAAGCATTTATTCTCAAATTTAAAAATGCCCACATTGGAAATCTAGATCATGCGATCAAGATTAAAAATACTCCCCATGGAAAGGTCAACTATATTATCTAATAAAACTTTAATGCACATCAATGAACATCAAGTATACATTTATATTTATAAAAAAGTACGAATCTATGTTTCTTCAATCTTCATGGTAGGTGTTAATACATATAATTGCATGCATTTTGCAGTTGAAATCTTAACTGTGCATATAACTCCAAGGATTATTTAACCCTCCCACCTCCTCCCAAGGGTCGGAAAGGGGGGGGGGGAAGGCAATGCATTTTTCCATGCTTGAAAGTGAAGAATAATTTGGTAGGGGGGTAGTTATGGGATGCAAGATCACTAACTTTAGATTGAACGAAAATGTTTCTTTTTGGTCAACCATGCAAAACACTTTGATCGGTGAGATGAGAAAACTTTTCTTTCATTGGTCAAAAGTTTTCAGGTTTAACCTCTGAGATAACAATTTATCTTCACTCTGATTATAAGGGAGTGTTCTCGAAAAATAAAATGGGGTTTACGCTAACACCAAATTAAATTTAATATCGATCGCTACTGATTTTACTTTTATCTGTTGCACATACAAGGAGAAAATGGTTAAAAACGTCTTATACCCAAGAGCGTAGTGTCCATATAATTCACAGAGTTGCATTCTTCCACTGAGAAGATAAATAATTGAATTAAATTTTAAAATTAATTATTCAGATATTATAACTTATTATAAATGTCGAATTCAATTCGATGCATTCGTAGATATTTGATATTTCCAAATGTGTATTTAAAACGACGATTTGTTTGCCCTTTCAATTTTCGCAAACACTCCTTTTAAATTAGTTCCATTCATTTAAAAGTTACTTGCTCATGCTGAAATAAAAGGTTGTGAGAACTTGTCAGAAACTCTTTTCTTGCAATTTACAACTTTCAGCACTGGGAAACCAGTCGGACAAAACAATTTCAAACTTTTTGAGAAATGGAACTGAGATTTTGCCACAAACTCTGATTTTCTAATTATTATATCTTTACAGTCCAATATCGTAGACCCTTGATATTTCAAACTTTGAATTCTGTTAGATCAAATAATTTTATTTTGAAATATCAAAGCTTTAAACCATTAGGTTGCAATGATATAGGGATTAAAAGTTTGAGTTTAAGGCAAAAGGTTAACTGAGTTTTAGCCACAAATTCTGATTTTCAAATCGCTATATCTTTGCAACCTGATGGTGTTAACCTTTGATATTTCAAACTATCATTATTTGATCTAAAATAATTCATAGTTTGAAATATCCAAGGTCTCTAACATTGAAATGCAAAGATATAAGGATAAGTTAATCAGATTTTGTGACAAAAACTCAATTCCTTTCAGTTACTTTGATTATTTCTTGTCATTTATTGCAAAGCCGGGGGTAAATTGATTTAAAACTTAAAACGCATTGCATAAACGTTTAAGAAAAATTAGAAAATATAAAATAATAGCGTTTGAACACGTTTGCGATCTGCTTCCTTGATTCAAAAGAATGCTAGAAAAATAATGGGAATTAATTTAAAGAAAAACGATGGGACAATTTCATATTAACAAAGGCAATGTAATTTCAATTAACCCTTCACTTGTAAGTGATATGTCAGATTTAAACCGTTTCTAACACTCAGCTATAAAATAAGAATATCTCCGTCATGTAGAAAATTTTTTGAAAGGTGAGATTGTGTGTGAATCGGGCTTAATAAATAATATTATCAATTATCTATATAATAAAACAAGACATTTGTGTTGCGTATAACCGACCGAATTTTTTTGTAGACACTCATGGGTGCCCGCCTGGGTATTATAGTCTAAAAAAAGTTCTAAATTCAGCTAGTATCTATTAAAAATGCAAAATAAAAATTAAAAAATTATAATAGGAGCAAACCTGAGATTCTCAGGTGTCTGTGGGATATAATCGTTTTCAGATTGTTTGCGTATTTGCTGAGTATGATCTGTTTAAACCTACTACTTTTATACAAAATTTCATATATATAGATTTTCGTTTAATTTTGACACAGTTTTATATCAATTTCTCGAGACAGGAACATTACATAGATGTCTTATATGTATCGTTCAACGCCTGAGATTCTCAGGTTTAATCCTATAACGGTCATTTTTCCTTTGCAGTCAATTTAAATCGATGGGATACTTGACGTCTACAGTCGCTGTAAAAGTACTTACCCAGCAAACTCGTAAACTTCACGTAGGCCTAGCATATTTCCTAAACAATTTAATTTTAAACATTTCCTTATTTTTTCCTAAATAATTGAGTTCCAGAACAAAATTCCTAAGTAATACGATTCCAGAACATTTCCTAGATTGGCCTGTAACAATTAAATTCTAGAATCCACCAGTTTCCTCTGTAAATTTTTTAAACATGACACTTTTTACATTTTTCATCTTTTACATTGTTTTATATTTCTCTGCTTCTCGTTTTCAACCTTAAAAGCAAATTTTTCTAGATTTTAAACAATGTGAAAAAAATGAGGTTGGCAAAATTCCTAGGAACAGGGTAAACCTAAACAATAAAGCTTTATAAGACATCTGTACAGATTTAATACAATACAGAAATAAAGAAACTAAACACTTCATCTTGTATGGTGCAACATTTCAGAACAAAATAAAAACTAGGACAGTTCATATATATGACATTTCATGGACAGTACATTCAATAGACAGGACCTTTAATAGAAAGGACATTCAATAGACAGGATATTACAGAGACAGAACATTCCATATATTTGACATTTCATGGACAGTACATTCAATAGACAGGACCTTCAATAGACAGAAAATTCAATAGATAGACATTAAATAGAAAAAATATTTAATATATAAGACATTTTATAGATAATTCAGAAACACTCATAAATAGGACATTTCAAATACAAGACTTTTTTATGAAATTTAGTTGACAGGACATTTTTATCATGTCTATGTCTATGTCTATGTCTATGTCTATGTCTATGTGTATGTCTATGTCTATGTCTATGTCTATGTCTATGTCTATGTCTATGTGTATGTCTATGTCTATGTCTATGTCTATGTCTATGTCTATGTGTATGTGTATGTCTATGTCTATGTCTATGTCTATGTCTATGTCTATGTCTATGTCTATGTCTATGTCTATGTCTATGTCTATGTCTATGTCTATGTCTATGTCTATGTCTATGTCTATGTCTATGTCTATGTCTATGTCTATGTCTATGTCTATGTCTATATCTAATCTTTATCCATCCAGGGGGCTCAAATTGCTCCGGGGGGGGGGGGGGGTTGCTAACCCCCCAAAAAATTAATCTAAAATTGAACAATTTTAATGTATAATGTACAATCTCAATGTGAAAGAAAACATGTTCTCTAACCTTTAACCTTATCCCAATCCCAGAGCAGGGAAACCTCGACAATCGAATCAAAATCTATGTAATATTCGTCCTTTGTATCCTGCTCCATCCACTTCTGAAGTAAGCTCCATTGGCCCATTCTTTGTTACCTGTTTTCTAAAAAAAAATAATTGTTTAGAATTAACGATTTTTTAAAAGATGGAGACAAAATTTATCTCAGGAACTATTAAAAATTTCGTTGACATTTTCACTTCTTTGATTTTTTGATATTTTGATGAACCTTTTTTGCTGTTTTAAATAATAAAATAAATAATTTGAAAATTCATTTAACAGATTTAAGTTTTCATTTAAATTCCAATCATGAAATAATTTTGTAAAGAGTAGGAACTTTAATAGAATAATGAAGTTCATGATAACATATTTGACAATATGCACAAACATATCATTGTTTTACAAAATTTGCACATACAACATGAATTGCACATGGAATATGTATCAATATATAAGTTGTAATCTCTGTTTGCCTGTTTGTTTGTCCGATCATAACTCAGGAACCACTTGACCGATAATTTTGATTGGGAGACAAAGTAGAACCACGGATATGTTCTTAACTTTGATTGGAAATACAAATTTGAGTTGGTTGACTTTTAAATCGTAAGTTTAGTTAGTTTCCAGTCAAAGCTAGGTTCCCACGCTAGTATTGTATAAAGCTAGGTTCCCACGCTAGTATTGTATAAAGCTAGGTTCCCACGCTAGTATTGTATAAAGAAAGCTAGGTTCCCACGCTAGTATTGTATAAAGCTAGGTTCCCACGCTAGTATTGTATAAAGCTAGGTTCCCACGCTAGTATTGTATAAAGACTCTTGAGACTATAGAGTGTATAGATCAGGGAATAGGAATATAGGGAAGGGAAATGGCGCTGGTCTGGCATGAGAGAGTCAGTCGCACTACTTTGCAGACGAGTTCGTTATTACACACGCACACTCTTTTGGTACAGACACACAACATGACTACAGTCAAGAAAATTGCAGAACAATGTCGTCAATTATAATTAAGCTTCAATAACAAGTAGTTTATTGTAAACTTTAATCATATTATATTCTTTACATGAAAATTTGGCTTAAAGTGTTGACTTAAATATATAAATAATATACTAAATGTATATTAAACTTATTTTTAAGTAAACAATTAACAATAAACAAATGTACTCTTCTAGACTGTACAAATAACGAGATTCTTATGTACTGCAAAAAACCTACAGTGCACGTCTTCGGTTCGTTATTACTTACACACACTCTTTTGGTACAGACACTCATATATGACGTTTCCGCCCCCTGGTGTAGATATTTATGGATTGACTTGATGATCCAGTCACCCCCTCTACTTAGATAAACCGGCGTAAACAAGTGCTGCCCCCCCCCATTCAAATCAAATGAATTTATTTGAATATTAAATCATTGCTTTTATCACCCTTTAATTCTTTAAACAATACCAATTATATTTAATCGTCAGTTGTCAGACTTATCGCTGAAGATATGTGGCGAGAACTGACCATTAGGTTACTTAAGCGTACTGGTGGAGACGGGTTGGGTAGAGAAGGGGGGGGGAGAAGGAGTAGATGAGACGAGGTTGAGGGGTAGAGGAGGGGTAGGATCCAGCGAGGCTGCCCTTAACCTGATCCTGCATGGTTGCAACAAGAAAATATGGGGTCATTGATTCATGAGTCATAACACATGTGCACAAATACAGAATTATCAATATAAATAGATTTCAATTTAATTCTTTAAATATACGTTTAAAGTTGCCATATTACCAAACTAGAGTAAAATTACTCTTTTTAATATAAAGACGAGAATATATAAATATTTAAGCTAGATAAGGATCTAAACCTGGATATTTAGATCAAGAAGAATACGCTATGTGAACCTGGATATTTAGGTTTTGAAGAATAAACTAAACCTGCATATTTAGGTTTGGTAGAATAACCTATACCTGGATATTTAGGTTAGGAAGGATATATTTAACCTAGTTATTTTTGTTAGGAAGAATACTCTAATCTTGGATATTTAGAAATTATGAAGGATAACCTAAACCAGGATATTAAGGTTAGGAAGATTGAAGAATACTCTAAACATAGATATTTTTGTTAGGAAGGATAACCTAAACCTAGATATTTATGTTAGAAAGAATAACCTAAACCTGGATATTTATGTTAGGAAGGATATCCTAAACCTGGATATTTAGGTTAGGAAGGATAACCTAAACCGGGATATTTAGGTTAGGAAGGATAACCTAAACCTGGATATTTAAGTTAGGATGGATAACCTAAACCTGGATATTTAGGTCAGGAAGAAAACCCTAAACCTCCATATTTAAGTCAGGAAAAATACTCTGAACCTGGATATTCAGGACAGGTAGGATTTTCCAAACCTTGCTATTTAGGTCAGGAAGGATACTCCAAACCTGGATATTTAGCAAAACCAAAATTCACTAAATCTAGAAAAACCTAGAAGTCCTAAGTTCAGCCAAATATTTGATACAAAAGTTTAGCTCTAAGATTTAGTATTTTTAGCATGAACTTAATTTTTTGCATTAGTTTAATGTTTAAATTTTGAGCATAAAAAATTCATATAATTTTTATTTAATTTTATTCTATTGAAAGTGTCGGAAAATCCCTAGAGTTTAAGAAAATAAAGATATGTAGATTCTTCTTCAATTTAAGTTTGAATACAAAGGTTTGCATAGGATAATATAGTATTGTAAACAGCTGAAGAAAAATTGTAATTTCTATAAACTTTATATTTTTATACAAGTTGAGACCTTTCTAGATATGCCCGTGAACCTTGGCCGATTCAATGTTTTTGAGATTTCCAACTTGAGCTTGCGAATTTGACTCATTTTCAACTTTTGGTAGAAAACAAATCTAGATGTTCGTAATTGATCTAGCTATATCTACATGATCAATCCAGATACAAAAGATCAGAATTCAGTTTTAGAGCTTAGTTTCAGAATTCAGTTAACTCATTTTCAAAACTCAGTTTCAAAACTCAGTTTCAGAACTCAGTTTCAGAACTCAGTTTTAGAACTCAGTTTCAGAACTCAGTTTCAGAACTCAGTTTTAGAACTCAGTTTCAAAACTCAGTTTCAAAACTCAGTTTCAAAACTCAGTTTCAGAACTCAGTTTAAGAACTCAGTTTCAAAACTCAGTTTCAAAACTACGTTTCAAAACTCAGTTCTTGTAACAAAGGAATTGAGTCGGAAATTTAAGAACGTATCTTTTCCCTAAACTCCATATTTCCCAATTTTGGGTTTATACATTTGCGTAGATTTTAATTTAAGAAATCTGAAAACAAAAAGAGAATTTCAAGAAACCAGATGATATAACATTTCTTAACAATAATATTGGTATTCACAAAACCTGATATCTGATATTGGGTTTCATTACGATACTCTGTCTTCTAAATTTCTCTACCACAACTTTCTAATCCCTATATCTTTGCATCTTGATGGTGCGAACATTTTTTAGTTAGATTATTTGATTTAACAGAATCCATATATTCTATAATATCTAGGGTCTATAGCATTAGGTTGCACAGAGTTTGTGGCAAAGACTCGTTTCCTTGTAATCTTTTTTCTTAGCAAAACATATTATGAATCGCAATATACACAATTGCTCCAGCTATATTGAAGTAAACAAACAAATAACCTGATTTAATTAGACAATTATACATAAATATGTGAAAATGATATTTTGTGCAAATCAAACGTTGATGCGTGCTTTTTGATTTTTAAAAGTTAAAGAAGAAAATTCTTCATTCTATTTTAAATTAGTTTTAAAATTCCAATCTATGTTTGAATAGAGGGAATATAAAGGATTCAGGTGTAGAGCATGTTTAAAAATCAAAATATATGTCGCAAAATGATCAGTATCATAAATTCACTGACAGGTCTGTTATCTAAATAATCAAATTTTTTATTTCATATTCCTCAAGTTTGGTTTTTATCGAAATGAAAGGTTTCAAAACACTCAACTTTAAAAATGAGAAATTCAAATTTTTTGCTAAAATCTCATTAAAATGTGCTGTAAATGTTTTACTATTTACGATCTTATTTTAACAAATTTATCGATATGTCTACATATTGGTAGCTTTCAGTATTTGAGTGTATTGTTATCAAGGTTATAATGCAAGGAAAGTTAGTTGCAGTCACGTATACTCTGCGTACACATTGAAACTCTGGGCGGAATTTGTAAACAAGAATAGAATTAGATGCAACAGTGTTCGTTTAGTATCCAGGAGGTTAAAAGCATTAAATTTTGATAATTCACATAATAGTTTCCTACGGCTAGAATATTTCATTGATTTTGTATGTGAAAGACCGGATCCTTTGTCAGGAGTCTTCATCCGTCTTGTGTTTACATTTCCGCCCAGAGACAGAACACTGCAGTACAAAAGATGCATACACCTCTGAAATAACTTTCCTTGCATTATAACCTTGATTGTTATCATCCAAATTATTTCACTAAAAGGACTGCAGAAATAAAGTCCTAAGTTTTAGATTCCTGGGACTTTTTTCCTAAAATAATTTGGGGGTTGCCAATAAAGCGTCAGGAAATTAAATCACAGGAATTAGTCATGAAGAAAAAAGTCTTGTGAAAATGAGGTCAATTCTTAGATGTTTTCAGAAAAAAGACAAGTCCTTTTTTTCCATGGTTATAAACATCCTTTGTTCCCATGCATTTTCCACTATAATAGAACTTTTTTCCAGGGAATTTTTTTTAAAAATCATACTGGAGCCAGAAAAAAAGTCCCAAGAAATAAATTTTAAATGGTAGGATTTTTTTCCCTAAGCGTATTTATTTCAAAGACTTTTTTCCGCAGGACTTTTTTAGTGCCAAAATTTAGGACTATATTTCCGAAAACTTTTTTGGAAAACTTATTTGGCCATGGCCATATGTAACGTCTGCTGTGTTCAGTCCACACTTTACGCTATACCGTGTACTTTTACGTCAACTTAAACATTATTTTAGAAATATTATATACCCTTGGAACTACGCTTACAGTATAGAAGTGGGAATTAATCAATGTCGAAAAATTGCAAAGAAAAGTTTCGCAAAAATCAATTCAACAATCCATGGCAAATAGAAATATTAGAAGCGGGATAAACCAGTTTGTATTATGTATACATGTACATATAATTTTTAAAAAAGGCTATATACGTCCTTCAGTTCAAAGTGAAATTATTGTTAGATTTATATCTAGAGATGGGATTAGTTCTGTTGAACATATTAGCCCTGCTGGCAGTTGTACAGGCAAGTTTTACAAATAGTTTCTATTTAAGATTTTGGCTTCTTTCTCTGGTTTCTGATGAATTTTCATTTGATAAAATCATTTTCTATATCTTTGAGGATTTCAATATTGGTTTTGGAACCAAATATAAACTTTTCTTGTCTGTCTGTCGATTTGTTTGTTTGTGACTGATAAATGTCAAACCAGCTGAACCGATCGGGCCTAAATTTTTTGTGGGAACTCTCATAACCCCAGGGAAAGTTTTTGGAACATTAACAAAAAAATCCTGGAAAATAGTTGGATTTTTTTGAAAATGCGTTAATTCGAAAAGAAAAATCCGCCAAAGTTTGAAAATTATTTTAAATGACCGACTTTCAGAGCAACAGTTAAAAGCTATACATTTTTCCAGGAACGGGCGCGAAGTGCTCTTAGCACAGTAAGATATAAAAATTTAATATTAAGTTTTACCTTTATTTGGAGATGTATTTACTTTTAGTGACTACTTATTGGGAACTAGAAATGTCGTCTTTGATCTTCTGAAATGTCATTAAGGATTTTGTTATTTGTAATTGTTATGTAATGTAACTATAAGATTCTTCGGGGCACTTTATTTAAAAATAGTTTAGTTGTAAATTTCTAAATCAATCAAGGAGCGACTTTTCAATTTTCATGATAAAAAAAACTATAGAAATTTGTCTTTTTTCCCCTAATTATGCCTAAAAATATTTAAGCATGAAAAAACGTAAATATGTTTAAGAAATAAAGTAACATTAATATTTACAGTGATAACCAGCATTGGAAGTTTTAGACTCAATAGATCACATTAAATAGTCCAATGAACATGAGGCAGAGCAGTTGTACAATGTAAACACACCCATTTCACTTAATACATAGTACAGCTATTTCCCTTGTAACAGCATCAAATGCACTTCAGTAATATCGTCTTCATATTCCACAGTATTCTGGATATCACTGTACAAGAACAAACTGCACAGTATTCTGGATATCACTGTACAAGAACAAACTGCACAGTATTCTAGATATCACTGTACAAGAAAAAACTGTTTTACGAAATAAATATTTATATCTTTAAAAAATTAGAAAGGATGAAAAGTACATTAGGTTTACAGATCGCTTCGTTTCAAGTTCGTGCTCATCTTACGCCAATAATATTTGCTTTTTAAAGCTCCTGAACTTTTTGCAAACCTTTTGTAAACTTTACAATAATAACAATAAAACTTATTGGAATTTTCGGCTGTCAATGGCGGATTTCCAACATTGGGCGTGATCCGTGCTGACTTGTGGCTTTTTATTGGATACAAACAAACAGACAAACAAGTCAACTAAATGGATAATTTGTTCTCCTCTAGGGTGGTGTTGTAAACCTGAATGTAGAAGAAGATTCGACTGAAAGTTTTAATATTTCCCTTCTTCAACCTAGGCTAGAGTTCCAACTCCTTGTAAACGAAACACAAGGTAAAATAACTGATTACTCGCGTCTCAAACAAAAATTTTCTTATCCCTATATCTTCGCAGCCTGATAATTGTGTTTTAAGCTTTGACTATTTTATCTTGCAGAATACATAGTTTTAAATGACAAAGATCTACGACATTTGGTTGCAAAAATATACGCACAATAAAATTTGGTTGAAAACACATATACACAATAAAATTTGGTTAAAAAGATATATGCACAATAAAATTTGGTTGAAAAAATATATGCACAATAAAATTGGGTTGAAAAAATATATGCACAATAAAATTTGATTGAAAAGATATATGCACAATAAAATTTGATTGAAAAGATATATGCACAATACAATTTGGTTAAAAAGATATATGCACAATACAATTTGGTTAAAAAGATATACGCACAATAAAATTTGGTTGAAAAGATATATGCATAATAAAATTTGATTGAAAAGATATACGCACAATAAAATTTGGTTAAAAAGATATATGCACAATACAATTTGGTTAAAAAGATATACGCACAATAAAATTTGGTTGAAAAGATATACGCCCAATACAATTTGGTTGAAAAGATATACGCACAATAAAATTTGGTTGAAAAGATATACGCATAATAAAATTTGGTTGAAAAGATATATGCACAATAAAATTTGGTTGAAAAGATATACGCACAATAAAATTTGGTTGAAAACACATATACACAATAAAATTTAGTTGAAAAGAAATACGCACAATAAAATTTGGTTGAAAAGATGTACGCACAATACAATTTGATTGAAAAGATATACGCACAATAAAATTTGGTTGAAAAGATATACGCACAATAAAATTTGGTTGAAAACACATATACACAATAAAATTTAGTTAAAAAGATATACACACAATACAATTTGGTTGAAAAAATATATGCACAATAAAATTTGGTTGAAAAGATATATGCACAATAAAATTTCATTGAAAAGATATACGCACAATAAAATTTGATTGAAAAGATATACACACAAAAAAAATTGAGTTTCAGGCAGGTAATTTTTTATTTTTATCAAAATGAAGTTTAAAATACAAAACTAGGGGTATAATCTAAACTGAAATGACATGAGATCACAGGATTTCTTTCTAACTTATACTTTTACTGTCTTTATTGCTTTTGATACAGAGTTCATAAAATTAAAATGTTAATATTATCTAATTCTTCGCATATAGGGCCACTTGATATTTCCCAGTTGACTCCCAAACTAGAACAAGTTCAAGATAGAGCAACTACATCCTGCGGTAAGAAATGCAAGATTTATATCTTTAACAAAATCAAACCTGAAAATTTTGATCATTTAAAAATTTTATTTCTGTTTTCAGTTAGTTTAAAGACAGTTTATGCTCTGTAAACAGCTCTCACCTATGTATATGTAGGATGTGAATACTCTGTAACTAACCCTAACCTATGTATTGTATATGTAGGATGTGGATACTCTGTAACTAACCCTATCCTATGTATTGTATATGTAGGATGTGGATACTCTGTAACTAACCCTAACTTATGTATTGTATATGTAGGATGTGGATACTCTGTAACTAACCCTAACCAATGTATTGTATATGTATAGGGTGTGGATACTCTGTACCTAACCCTAACCTATGTATATGTAGGATGTGGATTCTCTGTAACTAACCCTAACCTATGTATATGTAGGATGTGGATACTCTGTTATCACCCCTTACCTATGTATTGTATATGTAGGATGTGGATACTCTGTAACTAACCCTAACCTATGAATTGTATATTTAGGATGTGGATACTCTGTAACTAACCCTAACCTATGTGTTGTATATGTAGGATGTGGATACTCTGTAACTAACCCTAACCTATGAATTGTATATGTAGGGTGTGGATACTCTGTAACTAACACTAACATATGTATTGTATATGTAGGATGTGGATACTCTGTAACTAACCCTAACCTATGAATTGTATATGTAGGATGTGGATACTCTGTAACTAACTCTAACCTATGTATTGTATATGTATAGGGTGTGGATACTCTGTAACTAACACTAACTTATATATTGTATATGTAGGATGTGGATACTCTGTTATCACCCCTTACCTATGTATTGTACATATAGGATGTGGATACTCTGTAACTAACCCTAACCTATGAATTGTATATGTAGGATGTGGATACTATGTAACTAACCCTAACCTATGTATTGTATATGTATGATGTGGATACTCTGTAACTAACACTAACTTATATATTATATATGTAGGATGTGGATACTCTGTAACTAACTCTAACCTATGTATTGTATAGGATGTGGATACTCTGTAACTAACTCTAACCTATGTATTGTATGGATACTCTGTAACTAACTCTAACCTATGTATTGTATAGGATGTGGATACTCTGTAACTAACTCTAACCTATGTATTGTATAGGATGTGGATACTCTGTAACTAACTCTAACCTATGTATTGTATATGTAGGATGTGGATACTCTGTAACTAACCCTAACCCTGCAGCTGGCCGGATAGTGGGCGGTGTACCGGTTTCTCCTCGTCATAAACTACCCTATCAAGTTCTACTCAAGGTTAAATTTAATTTTAAAGAAAATTTAGTGAATTTTATTTTTCCATTCAAAAAGTTCAAAATGGTGATTTTGAATAGAAAGCATAATAAAAAGAACACACTAAAGATGAGACTTTATTTAAATCATCTATACCTTGAATAAAGTCTTTAAACGGTTTATATAATGATTTGGCCAAAAAAACCCGATTTGCGGTGAATTAAAAATATAAAGAAACAGACATAAAGTCTCAGTCTTCCTATGTAATCCTGTAGTTGAAAAATGTAAAGAAGTAACTTAACACTACAAACTAAACATAACGAGATAATCAAATTTATGCGACATTACTGCAACAACCTTGTGATCTCGTAGCTCCTCTAATTTTGATTGTAAGTGTAATCAAATCTATCCGGTGAAATATTAGAAAATACAAAATTTTTTGATCTTCTCGATAGCTGTACAACAAGAAGAGTTATGATTGAAAATATCTAAGATTTCAATATTAAGTTCAATTTACTTTAGTTTAACGTGTTAAATCTTACTACTGATGATCATCGTTGAGATTATCTCAGTCTGATAAATCCTAAATTTCTAAGATGAGAAATACCGACCTATGATTTCCCTGGCAGAGGAACGTTTAGTTACTATACGTCCCTTGGGACAATTTAGTAAAATAACCACACGCGAGAAATTACAGTTTTTACTTTACTAAGGGTTCCCCAGACCAATTTTGCCTGCAAAACTTCCAGAGCGCAAAGTAGTGTAAAGTAGTTGTAAATTATTACAATGAGACTGTATGTATTAAACACCTACTCCATATCAAGCTCTCGAATGTATCTATCCAGGTACAATCTGTGCACTATCAAATTCAATCAGGACTGAATCCTAGGCTCTAAATGCCACACAGGGACATAAGTGCAAGCTATCAAAATCCAGCTACTAATACAGTGCTCTAAATGCCACACAGGGACACAAGCCAAACTACCGATAAGCAACCTATACCGATCCTAATTAATGGGAACGATCCGATGCTCTGAATGCCACACAGGGACACAATCCTAGCTTTACAAAAAGCTATAAATCGATCCCAAATTCGAGGAGACGTTTCCAATTGTTTATAAAAACAGGGTTTCAGGTTTACTCTCACGCAGTAAACATTACGGAGTTACTCTATAAAGTGACTTTATTTGATATCTTACGTCACAAGTTAACATGAATTGATGTAATTACAATTTAAGAAACTGTCTCAATGCTTCTAGCTATATGTTTTCTCTGTGACTGATGATCTTGGTTGAAACTGACCGTTATTAATCCTTCATCTTTCTTGCTTGCTGGCGCCATGTACACACTATCCCTATCTCTATGGTACCATCTCGTCCTCTCTCCACTTTGGTCTTGTTTTGGTATCCTCATCTCTTGCCTTGGTTCTCTCATCATTAATCCCCGTTCTGTCTCACCCTTATCTTGCCGAAATTCTTCATTCAAGCCGAATAGCTGTATTTTTCCTGCTTGCCTAAGTGTTCCAGTTTTTCCTCAATGTTTTCTCTGACTTTGATCTCCGGTTCCTTATCCTGGTTAGTTCTTGTTTGCTTTGACTCCTCTATTCTTCAATTTCTCTGATTCTTAATGAAATCCATGAATCTCCTTTTCTTCTGTTCCAGCTGCATTTTCCTTGACTCTGTAATCTCTGTCTAGTGTCTACGTCGTCATTGTTCTAAGCTAGAGCTGTAAGGGTAAGAGGGTTAGAACCTGTTTTAACAACTGTGTTCTCAGCTAGAGCTGTAAGGGTAGGAGGGTTAGAACCTGTTTTCACAACTGTGTTCTCAGCTAGAGCTGTAAGGGTAGGATGGTTAGAACCTGTTTTCACAACTGTGTTCTAAGCTAGAGCTGTAGGGTAAGAGGGTTAGAACCTGTTTTCACAACTGTGTTCTCAGCTAGAGCTGTAAGGGTAGGATGGTTAGAACCTGTTTTCACAACTGTGTTCTCAGCTAGAGCTGTAAGGGTAGGAGGGTTAGAACCTGTTTTCACAACTGTAAGACTTACTCTTACTCCCTTCTCTTCTGCTGAACTTTCTGGTTGATTGTCTGGAACCAGATTAACTTTCTGACTTTCCTTGGTGTACCTGTCTAAATCCGTATTTGTTCACTTTTTTTGCATGTTTTCCATATCTTCAGTTTGAACCTTCTTGCTTTCCCTTGTCTTTATTTCTACTCTAGGTACTTGTTTTTCTGTGTCTTCCTTCTTGTTTCCACTCTAGGTATTGGGTTTTCTGTGTTAATACATAACATGTTGATTTTCCTGTAATGCTCTGATTCTTTCTTCTGTGAAAATCTTTCCAACATTCCATCCCATTCCTTGTGTTGAATGTCTCCATCCGTTTCTCTGGTTTCCTTCATGTTGTTTGTCTTCATGTGACACTTTTGTTCTTAATCTTGGTGTTTCTCCTGGTCTTCATGTTTCTCTTGATCTTGAATCCAGCCGTTTTTCTTCATATTCGATATTTTACTATTCGATTCCTTAGCTGTTCCTGCTGTATCCCTTTCTAGATCTCCGTAATGTTTCTGGATTGGCTCTATCAACGAATGTACATTTTAGAATGGGATCCTTTAAACCTTTGTTAAATATAAGATGCCAAAAATATTCTTGTCTTCAGCTTATTCACTATATTAACATTTATTTACTGGTGTCATTAATGGATATTAACTACAAATTCCAGCAAATTCTCTAGATATGACTGAGAAATCCCTTTAAGTAAAGAACTGTTAATCCAAATATCTATTTTAAAATTATATCTGTGTTTACTGTTTAGCCCTGTTTTGCAGAAGGGTGTGCATTATGCGGAGGTAAGGTCTTAAACATTTTTCATAATAAAATATTTTCAGAATCAAGAACTTTACATTATATTTAAGTTACCTTGTTTTTGTTAGGAACCCTACTTAACAAACGTTATGTGTTGACCGCTATGCACTGTGTTAAAAGTGGAACTGCTTCAGCCAGAAGTGTTACGGTGAGTTTTGAATTAAAAAACATCGAAAAAGAAAGATTTTTGATTACATAAAATTGAACTACTTTTAACTTTAGTCAAAGAAACTGAGTTTTTCCCACAAACTCTGATTTTCCAATCGTTGTATTTTTGCAACCAATGGGATGACCTTAGATATTTCAAACAATGAGCTCTGTTAGATCAAATAATGTTTGAAATATTTAAGGTTTACACCACCAGGTTTCAAAGATATAGGGATTAGACAATTTTGTGACAAAAACTCAATAATTCTTTGGATTTGGCCAGGATTTGGTTTAATATTGTCGTATCCTAAATCGGTGTCGTAATAAACATGAAGCTAGGTCCGACCCTGTCCTTGCAGAGAAAAATTATGGATTAATTTATTTATTGATAATTTTTCCCTTTTAGATTTATATAAATCATTTAGTCTTTAGATCCGGTCCTCAAGTGATATTAGCAAAGATGAAGAACATTTCGTTGTTTGCAGAGAGAAATTTAAAAAATCTACTGCTTTGAATATTGAATATTCGTTAATGGTGTTCGCCAATTTTATATTTAATTTAGGCAAAAAATGGAACAAATGATATGTCCATCCTTTGTAGATTGCCAGCCCTCTAAATTAATATATATAAATTTGTAATCTCTGTTAGATTGTTAAATGTCCGATCAAAACTTGGGAACCCCTGGACTGATTTTCCTCAAATTTAGATTTGGGAACTTGGTAGAACCACGGGAATGTTGGTTAACAATTCTATATTAAGTGGGTTTACGTTGAAAGGAAAAATCCAGGCAAAGTTGGGTTCCCAAGCTAGTATACAAATAGTCATAATTGCAAAGTGTAAAAGAAGAATTTTCTGAACAAAAATACTAAGTGTGTCCAGTTGCTAACCCTGGGATAAATGAAAATATTAAGTGTGTCCAGTTGCTAACCCTGGGATAAATGAAAATATTAAGTGTGTCCAGTTGCTAACCCTGAAATAAATGAAAATACTAAATGTGTCCAGTTGCTAACCCTGGGATAAATGAAAATACTAAATGTGTCCAGTTGCTAACCCTGGGATAAATGAAAATACTAAATGTGTCCAGTTGCTAACCCTGGGATAAATGAAAATACTAAATGTGTCCAGTTGCTAACCCTGGGATAAATGAAAATACTAAATGTGTCCAGTTGCTAACCCTGGGATAAATGAAAATACTAAATGTGTCCAGTTGCTAACCCTGGGATAA